CTTGTCGAAATTGAGAAACGCTTTACCAAAAGCGATAAGGCGGAAATGAGTACTCTTCTCAAGAGTCTCATTACCATGAAGTATAACGGCAAAGGAAATATAAGGGAATACATCCTGAACATGTCTAATACTGCTTCTAAGTTGAGAGCACTTAAGTTAGACCTTTCAGAGGACATGTTAGTCCTATTGGTTTTGCTCTCACTTCCTACTCAATACGATCAGTTTAAAGTCAGTTACAACTGTCAAAAGGAGAAGTGGACTCTTAATGAGCTCATCTCTCACTGTGTTGAGGAAGAAGAAAGAATGAAGCGTAATAAGACTGAAGAGGTACATATGGTGGATACCTCAAGGGATGCAGGCGGCAAGAAGAGAAAATATAAGGCCGTTAAGGTTGAGACTGCTAAGGCTCATGTTCCAGCTCCAGCTCCTCGGGCTCGTCCTGAAAAGACTTGCTTCTTTTGCAAGAAACCTGGACATGAGAAGAAGAATTGTACTAAGTTTCACGATTGGCGCGTGAAGAAGGGTACGTTTCTTACTTTGGTTTGTTCTGAGGTTAATTTAGCTTCAGTACCTCGAAATACTTGGTGGTTAGACTCTGGATCAACTACTAACATCAGTGTTTCAATGCAGGGTTGCCTGAGCTACCGAAACCCAACTGATGCTGAAAGACGCATTTACTTTGGAAATGGGGACTCAGTAGAGGTGGAAGCCGTGGGCATTTTCAAGCTGTTATTGAGTACTGGACATTTTCTTGAATTGCAAGACACTTTTATTATACCGTCATTTAGACGGAATTTGGTTTCTGTTTCTTATTTGGACAAATTCGGTTATCATTGTTCTTTTGGAAACAATAAAGTTGAGTTGTCTTTTAATTCATGTTTGGTTGGTTTTGGTACTTTTATGGTGAATGACAGTTTATATATGCTCGATATTTTGGTTTCCTATAATGAGGCACTTAATATGGAATCAAAAGGTACTAAGCGAAAATTTCATGACTCTAGTTTATTGTGGCACAAACGTTTAGGTCATATTTCAAGAAACAGAGTTGAAAGACTCATTAAGGATGGAATCCTTAATTCCATAAATTTTTCAGACTTTGACGTTTGTGTCGATTGCATTAAAGGTAAACAAACCAAGGTTAAAAGGATAGGTGCTTATCGAGCTACGGATGTCTTAGAATTGATACATACAGACATTTGTGGGCCTTTTCCCACTCCTTCGTGGAACGGTCAACAATATTTTGTGTCATTCATAGACGATTATTCTCGATATGGTCATCTGTACCTTATTAAGGAAAAATCTGAGGCACTGGACATGTTCAAAGCATTTAAGGCTGAAGTTGAAAATCAACTAAGCAAACGCATTAAGACTGTCAGATCTGACCGTGGAGGAGAATATTACGGCAGAAATGATGGCTCGGGTGAACAACGTCCAGGTCCTTTTGCTGACTTCCTTAAGGAGTGTGGAATCGTCCCTCAATACACCATGCCCGGTTCACCTAGCATGAACGGTGTTGCTGAGAGACGAAACCGCACATTGAAGGATATGGTTCGAAGTATGATTAGTCAATCTACTTTGCCACCATCATTATGGGGAGAAGCATTAAAGACAGCAGTCTACATCCTTAATCGAGTGCCAACTAAGGCGACTGCCAAAACACCCTATGAACTCTGGATTGGGCGCAAGCCTAGCTTAAATCATCTTAGGGTGTGGGGTTGTCCAGCTGAGGCGAAGGCCTATAGACCAAATGAACCAAAGCTAGCACCTCGTACAGTAAGCAGTTATTTTATTGGCTACTCGGAACGGTCAAGGGGGTATAAATTTTATGATCCCACATTAAGAACTATTTTTGAGACGGCTACTGCCAAGTTCTTTGAGGATGTTGAGTTTAGGGGGAGAAATACAGTTTTAGACTTTACCTTTGAGGATCAAGAAATCACTGATGTGATTGATAAAACACCTCATGAGTTAACAGTCATTCCAGCTCCCATAGAGTTTCAAAGTGCGACTGAGGAACCCGTTCGCATAGAACAGGAACCTATACCTATGGAACAAACTCAACAAACTCAAGAACATACAGTTCAAGAGCCAACGCAATTGCGTAGATCCACTAGAGAACGGAGAAATGCCATTCCGGATGATTATGTGACATTTCTTCAAGAAAGTGAGGATAATGATGGCATGACTGAGGATGATCCAATTAATATTTATCATGCCATGAAGGGTCCTTATTCAGATAAATGGATTGATGCGATGCGTGATGAGTACAAGTCAATGCAAGACAATAAAGTTTGGGAACTTGTCCCATTGCCAGAAGGTGCAAAACCCGTAGGTTGCAAATGGATTTTTAAAACCAAACGGGATGCAAATGGTAATGTGGAGAGGTATAAGGCACGTCTTGTAGCTAAAGGCTATACTCAGAAAAAGGGGATTGATTATAAAGAGACTTTCTCTCCGGTTTCTTCGAAGGACTCTTTTAGGACAATCATGGCTCTTGTGGCATACTTTGATTTAGAGCTCCATCAAATGGATGTTAAGACGGCGTTTCTGAATGGTGACATTAATGAAACGATCTATATGGTACAACCAGAAACTTTTGAGGTCGGTGACCCAAAGCAAATGGTTTGTAAATTAAGAAAATCCATCTATGGGCTCAAACAAGCGTCTCGACAGTGGTATCACAAGTTTCATCAAGTAATTCTCTCATATGGTTTTGAGATGAATGTGGTTGATGATTGTGTTTATCATAAGTTCAGTGGGAGCAAGTTTATTTTCTTGGTTTTGTATGTGGATGACATTTTGCTTGCCACAAATAATGTGAGCATGTTGCACGAAACTAAGAAATTTCTCTCGAGTAACTTTGAAATGAAAGATCTTGGTGAAGCATCTTTTGTATTAGGGATCCAAATATATCGTGATAGATCTCGGTGTATTCTCGGATTATCTCAAAAGAGCTATATTGATAAAATACTCGAGCGATTCAGCATGCAGAAATGCAAGCCGGGAGATACCCCTATAGCTAAAGGAGAGAAATTAAGTCTCAGCCAATGCCCTAAAGCAAATCTGGAAATTGAGGAGATGGAAAAAATCCCCTATGCCTCGGCAGTTGGGAGCCTCATGTATGCACAAGTATGTACGCGTCCAGATATTGCGTACATAGTCGGTGTGTTAGGCAGATACCTTAGTAATCCTGGATTGGATCACTGGAAGGCAGCCAAGAGGGTGATGAGATACCTGAAGAGAACCAGTAATCACATGCTCACATATAGGAGGTCAGACCAATTGGAGATCGTTGGATACTCTGACTCCGACTTTGCAGGATGCCAAGATAGTAGGAAATCTACATCTGGCTATGTTTATATGTTGGCTGGTGGGGCCATCGCTTGGCGCAGTGCCAAACAGACACTCGTTACCAGTTCCACGATGGAAGCTGAGTTCGTGGCGTGTTTTGAGGCATCACAACAAGCGATTTGGCTAAAGAACTTTGTCGCTGGGCTGCGAATCATTCCGATGGTTGAAAAACCCATCAAGATTTTCTGTGACAACAATTCAGCCGTTGAATACTCCAACAACAATAGGAGTTCATCCAGGTCAAAACATATTGACATTAAGTTCCTAGTTGTGAAGGAGAGAGTGAAAGATCATCATATCTCGATCGAGCACTTAGGGACGAAATCTATGTTAGCAGACCCCCTAACTAAAGGTGTAACGCCTAAGGTCTTCCATGAGCATACTGCTCATATGGGTGTGTTACAATTTAAGGAAGCTTCACTGTAGTGGGAGTATGCATTTACATTCTTTTGTCCTTCACTTGATATTTGTTTTATACTCTTTTGATCATTATTTCGGTTATGATGTTTTGGACATTATGATTAAGTAATTTACGATCTCATTCAGTTTGGACCAGTAGAAAATTGACATATTTAGATCACACTTATGTAATTTTCTCTCTGCACGTTCCATGATTGATCTATGTCATTTGATTACACTGATATTTGTGATTACTGTGAGTTTAGCTGTTGATACGGCGAATGCTTCTTTAGTCCTATATTGCTGTGATTGATGGATCAGATTGTTGCAAGCCTTGTTTTATAATGACTGAAAATTGAGCTCATAAGGAACAATATGTTCATTCAGACACATACTAGATCCAGTGGGAGATTGTTGGATTTGGGATCAAATATGTGTATCGAATATGTTGTTAAAGTCATTATTTTATTCAGTCTTATTATTTAAGTGATCTAATTAATATAATTAATTATTGACTGATAGGTTTGATTGTTATGGAATGAAAGTGCAGCTACCCGTATAATATTATTATTTTGGTGACGTGACAAATTAATAATATTAATTAAGGGCATAATTGTAATTGCAATTATGTTTGCCCTATTATAAATAGGCTAGGGTTAGGTCCCCATGATCAGCACGCCGTAAAAGAGATCTAATTCTCCCTGCAGTTTCTGCTCCTCACCCGTCAAGGACAGAAAAGAAGCCGGCTCTCTGATCTTGGAAGACCAAACCTTTAATCACCCAAGATTTGTATATGGCTTCATCAGGTACGCTTCCGCTTTAAAGGATCGGGCATTTAAATTCAACATATTACTCCATCCGTCCCACGTAACATGTCCACGTTACCGTTTCTGTCCGCTCCACGTACCATCTTACTTTCCGTTTTTTAAAAAAATGATTACATATTTTAATTTCATTTAAAATTTTTTAATATTTTTTTTAAATTTTAATTATAGCTAATTAGTTACCTTAATCTTAATTTATAATTATTTATATTATAAGATAATTATTTTCACTAATACATTCGCGGAGGAAGTATTATTTTTATTTAATTAATATAATTTTTCGTATTTTATATAAAAACAAAATTTCAAACTAAAAATAAACCACCACACCCAAACAAACCCAAGAAATCTTTGGCAATTGATGCTATTTTTGTAGTTTGGGCTTGGGCCTTAAGAAATAGAACAAGGGTAAAATTGTAAATTTACAGAGGTACTGCTATTTGTGAATTTTTGGCGCCTCTCTGGATTGCTCCGACACAATCATGCTTTCCGGCAAACGGCCTTCCAAGGCCAACAAGCCCTTCGTTCCGCCGTTCGCCCGGCCACCGCCGGAAAAGCTTCTCAAATCAAACACCGGCGCCGCCGATGTTGTTTTCGACGCTCCAGATGAAGCGGTTTCGTCTACGGCTTCTGAAGAGCTTGGAGATGCGCGGTTGCTTCAAAGTTGGAGTCCAGTGAGCAAAATGGTGTCTGTGTTGGCTGACGCAGGCTGTTTGCTGGTCAACTCCGCCGGAACGCCGTGTCTCCCCTCGAATCTCTACAAGTTCCGGCAACGTCTTGATGGAGTACTCTCCGGCGATTCTTCCCTCCGACTGCTGTTTCTCAAGGGGTTCTCGGAATACATATCGTCCACCAGCAATATGCGCCGGTTAGTTACTGTTTTGCAATTTTATAATGAAGTGCTCAAAAGAGCTAGGAATTTTGTTTGGATCGATACTGATATACATTAAGCGACGGTAGGAGCTGTTTGTAGTTTAATGTGTGTTAAGGATAATAGGAATAAACCGAATTTATCAAAATAATTAGAGTTATATCGTCATATATCTATATACACATACCATGTTGGATGCGGGTTTTATTTTTTGGGTTTGTATTTTTAATAGTAAAAGGTTAATTTGAATAGTCGTCTGACAATAGAGGTTGATGTTGTGATTTGAATGTAAAATATATATGTAGTATAATATAAAGAAAGAAAAGTAATTGTTTGATATAATATTTTAGAGAGAAAATAATAGGAATATTACAACTTATGATAAAACACCCAAAAGAACACAACCTCAACCTCAGGGGAAAGCATCATTAACTAATTTATCAGCAGAGGGGAGGTCCCTGCACGCCCCTCAAGTTTAAGTAGAGGTATGCGAAACTTACATGCATATGCCGCAAATGGAGACGGTGGGATTCGAACTCGAAACCTAAGGCTCTGATACCATGTTAGGATAATCGGAATAAGCTGAATTTCTCAAAATAATTAGATTACATCGTCATACATATACACATTGGGATATGGGGGCTATGTACATAAATATAAATATATATATACATTATATATCTACAATGTGTATGGATGCTAATCATGCTAGCATTTTGTATTGATTTCCTCTGGTGAATATAGGGTTTTGTTACCCTGTCAACGAGATGGATTTAGCTCTGTAAGAAGCAACGAAAGTCTGGTTCGACTACTGTTATTGGTTAAATGCATTCAGCAAGAACTTATAGAAATGTTGCTGGAGAAGCTTCCTGAGTATTTTGACACGGATCCTTCTGTTGGTGGTCATGGTTTCTCATCTACATTGCGATTCGAAGATGATGTAGCAAGATTGATTCTGAACCAATTCCGGTGGCTTGACTTCCTTGTCAATTCCAATAATTTTGTGGAGAAACTGCTACAGGTCATATATATTTGCCCACATACTTTGAAAAAAGAGATGATAGGATCATTGCCTGAGATCATAGGCGATCAGAATAACAAGACCGTTGTTAGTTCCCTTCAAGAGATGCTTCAGGAGGACTCGTCCCTTATTGTTCCTGTACTTGATGCGTTTTCCAACCTCAATTTGGATGATCTGTTGCAAGATCAGGTTGCTATAGTAGTTGACATGGTTACATGTTTGTGCTATTCTTCTTTGCTTTGAGTATATATATATATATATATATATTTAACTGCTCATGTATTCATTCAATCACACAAGCACACACAAACTATCTGAACCTTGCCAAAGCATCATTTTCCTTCATTTTCATAGTTAGTCCATTGCTTTTATGTATACAGGTGATCTTGATAGCTTTATCCTGTATCCGGACAATTGATGTTCAACACATGCCATACCTACTTAGATTCTTGCTGATCTCTGCAAAGCCATCAAATGCCCGGCTGCTAATTTCTAAAATTCGAGATCAACTGAAATTTCTTGGAGGATCTAACACTCGAGCTTCACAGCTCAGTAAACTTAAAGGAAAATCGGTTTTAGATAATACAGAGGCTTCAATACTTGATGCCCTGAGATCTGGTCTGCGTTTCAAAAGTGTTAGTTTAAAGTTGAAGTACTTGTGCAATTTTCTCTCTCTCTATATAAACATATATGCCAAAACACACATTCATCTTATTTTCTTCGATGTCTTGTAGATGCTTTGCCTAGAGTTCCTTAAAGAATTGAAAAGCTTGAAGGAAGCTCGCGATCATAAAGCTATTGACATATGGTTGCTTATACTCATATCTATGAGCAGCGAGCCTTTGCAAAAGAGCGTTCAAATGGTATTCAAGAAAAAAATTATTGAAGGATGTTTTCATGAGCAAATGTTTGATCAGTGCATTCATGGAATTAGGGATTTTTCAAAGGTATTGAAACACTTTGAAGCCAACCTTTTTTTATTGGAAACTTAAACGCTCACTCCTGCTCTCTTTCTCTGTGTCTGTGTATCACTATATTTATATGTGGCCATAAACTAGGATTATCTTGCTGCATTTCTTTCATTATCTTCATCCTTGTTGTGTTGCAAACAACAAAGAGCTCAAGAATTTGGAATACACATGTATACACATCTGTTTGAAGAATTTTGTGATGCTTACTCAAGACAAGAAGTGAGTTCACTGGAGTATTTATTTTCTCTATATGTGTAGATACTCAGTCTTCATGCCTTATGTCATGACTTTGGTTATTTTTTGAAGGTTCTAGGGGCACTAATAACTCATGTGGGATCTGGCATGAGCTGCGAAGTAAGTGCTGCATTGGATGCCATGGTTAATCTTGCCACCAAGAAATCCTCGGAGTTGAGTTCATTCTCCTCTCACATAATAGGTTGGCATACCTCATAGTTTTCCTCCGTTATATTAAACTTCTATAAATTTTAACAAGCTGTTTATATATATATTGCTTTTCCTTTATCTTTTTACAGGCATCTTGGATTACTTAGAGGGTTTTGGGGTTGACAGTCTTCACAAGGTCCTTATCAACATTCTCTAATGCCACTTCTGACTGCAGGACCCAACTTCTCTAACAACTTGCATTTTGTAGGTGTATGATGTTTTCATTCGCGTTGCAGTTTCTGCTCAGTCTAGCTCACAGCCTTATGGATGTTCCATAGCAAATGAACTCCTAATGATATTGAGGAAGCAGGCAAAATTTAAATCTCTGTTTTGATCGTCTAATCTATTCTTACATTTATTGTCATGACTAGTTCTAGTGGTTTTGTGCTAATCATCTATATGCTTTCATTATATTTCAGATCAACAACTCAGATCTTATGTACAAGATGATTGGTGTGATTGGGACGCTTAAGATAGTTTCCTACATTGCAGATACAAATAATGATACTCTTCCTTCACTGTCACAGGTAGCATGCCTCTGATCTCCTTACTGAGCTTGAAGAATTTGTTATTTGGTGTATGATGTGTTTGTCTCATTTATGCTATTGGTTTTCTGGTTTTGGAGTGCAGCAAGTCTACATGAATGAAAAATAAACCATACCCACCTCTTTCATCTCATTGCTCTTGTGCTTCCTATATCTTGCTAGCGATACATTCGTAATTAAAATCACATAACCGATTCAGCTAATGTTACAACAAGAATTGGTCTTAGATTGTTTACCTCCTACAGTATATGTTAACTTAGTTTTCATTATATTGAAGCTAATTTCTTTCTTTCTTCTGCTTCTTTTTTATTTCAATAATAATTTTTTAGTTCTAAAGCATCAAATATATTGTTATCAAGTATATATATATATATATGTATTACGTTATAACCTAAACATTAACCAAACATCTCAATCCAAATAGTAAAATCGAACTTCCAACCGCCATCTAACACGACAACCAAACGGACCTTATGTAACCCTACGAGCCGTTGTGGACATGGGAATCTCCTGAAGATCTTGTAGTTTTTTTGATTAGCTAGTGACCTTCAATAATTAATAAGGTCCAAAACTGAAATAGGCAAGACATACAAGATTCCTTAGATGCGTACGAAATATGTTGAAATGGTAGGCACTAATGACTAACGAGCAATGCAAGAAGAGGGGAGCATTCAGTATCGAAATGGCAGAGAGGCCAAAGAATGTTATTGGCTAGGCAGCCATGGGATGCTAGAACTTTCTAACAGGGAGGTCACCTCTAACAAACTTCTAAATGAAGTGTTGACTCTATGAGGAGCATTTTTCTTTCGAACGAATTGACTAGAGACTCATGGAGGAAGACTTCTAGAGTCCCCTAACCCATCGGTAGGTTTGGCAGGAGAACAAACTTTGGCTTCTAGATCAGTTTATCTGGGAATGTTCTAACAAAATGAAGATCAAAATTAGTTACTCAAAATCTCTCCACAAATCATTTTCTCGATTGAAAAGTTGGCAACAAAGTTTGATATCCCAAATTCAAGTGTTCTCTTTCCAGTGCTCAAAATCTTCGATAAATCCAGACTTAGAGCAGGCAATCAAAAGTAGTTACAGAGACCCAACACGAAAGTTTTCCCTTGAGACTGAAGTTGAGATTTACGCATTGAAGCCCAAATGCCAAATGAAATGCTACATGAAGGATAGAATGCCAAATAAACCAATGGTTGATACTTGATAGTTGATACCATCCTTACCAGTTACCACAAACAACACTTCTCCAAAAAGTGACACTCTTCCAACAAGGTTTTTGATTGTCTTCTTATTTTTTATTGAATGAAAAAGGAGATTTATCTTGAAGATATGCATTTCTTTCTTGTCTTTATGATTTCTTATTGAAAATTTTGAAAGGAAGTTATGTAAAATTGATCGCCCCTACACTTATACGATGAATTCTTTGCAGAGGTCAAATTATGAGGAAGCTATGGAGCTCTTGGAATTATCCTTTAACTCTTGCAGACAACCTTTACCTTTAATGCTGTTTTATGAAGAGCTTGTTTCAGCATTGCAACGAGTGACACTTCATCCAATTATTATGGCCTGGTATGTCACATCACCAATGTTATGTTTCTATATTCTACTTAAACATATATCTTTTATTACGTCCTATACAGTGTTAAGCGAAAATTTCATTTTTATTCCATTTTCTGCAACTCCAATACCATCCTCATATGCAACATAGGTTTACCCTATTAATAAAATCAAAATTATGTAGTTTAGGAAGGCAACAGTAGTTGTGCAGTTTGTAAGCAAAAGTTTCCACTTCTTTATCTCATTGGAGCAAATAATTTCACACACTCATATACTCGCTCTATTTAGACATATAGATGCCATGTTAGATATTATTATTACTATGTTCACTAAACTTCTTTCAATATAATCAAGACACTGTTTATCATTTTGCCATCTTTATTTTTTTTCCCCGCAATTGTCATGTTTTGCCATAAAAATAAGGGTATTAACAGGTAATCTTTCAATCTGATTAATATTATACCCAACTTGAGGATTAGCTTTTAATATTTTTAGTTGCACGTCCTTTTTCATTTAACTTAATTATTAGATGTTTGTTTTCTGCATTTGGTGTATATGATTCCATTTTCTCTTACATATTCTTTTTGTGTTTTGCGTAAGTATTAGAGTTCAATTGTCTAAAAGCTTGAGCATGGACGTTAAGTTCTGTTATGCTATCATATGGCATTGTTCCATAGATCTTGTTAGTCATATTTTCAATGGATTTTTGCCTTATAGGGTTGGCAAACAATTGGGAGAATTTGAGCCTGTATACTTATCTGACCTTGATAATGGAAATTTAGTTGGCCAAGATTTGTCATTTGGCCTGGAAGGTAGAAAATACATGAAGTATGGGCTTTGCATATTATATACTTCATTAGCTAAATGTATCTGATGCATCATATTCTTGATGCAGGAGAGTTGTGGATGAACCTTGATGGAGACATATCTCCTATATGTTTAAACATTTTACCACTTGTTCTCCCTTCATCTGGGTAAGTCTAGTTTTTCTTTCACTTTTATTTCCTATTTTCCTCCTTCCATTGCACCTTGCGACTTCCTTTTCATTTTACCTCTACATTGGGTTAAATCTAAACTCATCGAGAGATCGATTCCCATTAATCCTCGACCGGTACCCACACAATAGAGGAGCCAACTCCACAAATTGCATTCCTCATTCAATATAGTTTTTATTTTCTTTTTCATGGTGGAAGCTAATACCAATGTTCCTCATGCCGTAGGTAGCAACTTATCTACTTGCTATCTCTTCCATTTTGATATTCATATTCTTTGGTTTTAGGGGAATTCAACTGATCCAAGGAGCTATCCACTGACTTGAAAATGGGAATCAACTTTGGAAAATCGAGTTTCTCCTGGTCTAAGTTGCCAATATAATTAGAGATATTTTATATGCCAAACACTATCCTAAATCATGGAATTGGTGAGTTTTTGTGTTTGGTTTATTAGCAAGGTAAAAAATGGATATATGCAAATAATTACCACCTAATCTAATATATAACAACAATAATACCCACCTAATATGGTATATAAAAACATTGAATAGTTATGGAATATATATTTATATATATATATATATATCTCTCCAACATCCCCTAAACTCAAGGTGGTGATGTAGAAGCCAACTTGAGTTTACCAAGAAAGACCGGAAACAAGCAGGAGCTCTGACGCCCTACTTGAATAGGACAATTCTGAATAATATGACCTTGGCCATGACAGTAACAATCTCCATGATAAATATTTAGAGGCAACTAGATGATCGAATAGGACAATTCTGAATAATATGACCTTGACCATGACAGTAACAACATTCCATCTCCATGATAAATATTTAGAGGCAACTCGATGAGAGTTGAATACCTGGATGGATGATTGAAGGCCAAACAAAAAACTTTACCAAATTTGAAAATAAAATGCTCCCAGAGGCTGTCACTAAAATAGTTCTGATGACATCGATGGAGGTTAGAGTGGTGGCGCACAGCATGCCATTGGTAATGGTACTAGGTGGCGTTGTAGGGGATCTCCATCTTACAAGAATGTACCCATAGAGAATTTAACTCTGATATCATTTTACATTTTTGGGAGAACTATATATCAATTATATATCTCAACAAGAGCCCAATCTAGCCAAATCAGTTGGGTTTGTGCTTTCGAAGTCCTCTCCCATTAACATTAAATTTAGGTTTGAATTATTGAATGGCGTCTATACATGATCACATGAGCTCCAACATTTATTTGATCTTGAAATTATTTACACATGCATTTAGTTTAGAATTTTCTTTAATACCCTTGCATTTATGCATAGCTTCTAGATTTCTCATCATACATTCAAAAACAATGTTTTATTCCACGTTTTAGCACAAGATATGAACTGAAGGTCATGGTAATGTGATTCATATAGATTTCATCAGATTTCAAGCCTTTGTACCCTATCAAATACATTTTTTTTGCAGATCAACTTCGTCACTGCAAGTTCTTCCGTCAAAGTTTCTTTTACTCTCTGTTGTAAGTGCACCTTCTGGTATAAAAATAAATTTTATTTTGATGGACAATTATTACTGTTTCAAGCTAATGTTTGTCAGGTTGAGAGAGCAGCCAACCAAGGATCTCTTGAAGGCATTGATGCCCTTCTTGGTTGCCCCTTTCACCTTCCTTCTTCCAAGGTTGGTTATTAGCTAATGCTGGCAGTTTTCTTAGAAAATATTGCTTTCCTTCAAACCAGCTTAAGTCATATTGTTCTCTTCTAACGAAACCAGCTTAAATGGTCTTGCTTTTTATGATTTAAGTTCTATAATGTTCTTAATTATGCCAACTTCTGTACGCATTATCTTGAAGTTAAGTATGTGGGTTTTAAGAACCTACCTCTGAATTCAAAAGTTTGTGTTACTATCTAATAGGAAAATCAAACATGGGCTTCATGTTAATTTATTTCTTTTTGCTACCTTTTGCCTTGCATTTGGTGTAGAAAACATGGTCCAGCCTTTGCCTGCAATATTATCCTGACTTTTGATCTATCTTGTCATGCCAGCTATTCTCTGAACCATTGTGGCAGTCATTGACAGCAAAGCAAAAACAGATTCTCATCCTTTCTCTTTATTATGCTGCCAATTGGATCAGGGAGCTGGTATCTTACGTCTGATACAAATAATACCTGTTTTTCTTGGACTTCGTTTCCTTACTAATTCCATGGCTTGCAGTTAAATGCCTTCGCCACTCAAGTATTTGAGGAATGTGATGCCATCAGTCAATCGACAAGGAAAGAAGTAATTCTGAAACTAATAAAGAGACTGAGAAACCTTGTGTATGTTATTCCAAAACTTTATCCCTAAAACTCTATTATGAGTAATAACCAAAAACTCCCTATACAATCACCATAAGGATATTTATTTAGATTGTTTGAAAATTTTCTTATTTGATCTATTCTTGTAATTGTTTATTTGATTATCTTGCATTTTTTTCTGGAAAGTAGATATATTTCGATTGATAGATAGAAACAATAGATAGATGGATCTTAGAAAAAACAGTTGGAAAGAGTGACAAATTAAAGCCAGATAGATAAGTTTCTGAAAAAAATCAGCCACCTCATTTGACTATCTCGCTATATCTACAATTACTTCTTGGAAGTTGAAGCTTATTTTGATATCTATTATAATGTCATTTTCTGGACATATATGTACCGCAACTAGTTATTACCTTTTGAAAGTATGCAATTAAAACTTGAAACATGTATACGGCCTTAACTAAGATTTGATAATGTAGATTTCTTGAGAGTTTATTAGACAATTGTCTGAAACTGCACCAAGTGCTTCTCCCGGAGCTCTATCCTCATTTGGAGCCTTCAACAGTAATTGATCTTGATCATATGGGGAACTTGGAAAAGATGAATCAGCATCTTAAAGGGGGTGGAAGTGTCTTCCCAAGAAAGAAGAAAACTAACAAGAAGTCCTTAACACCATCATCCAATGAAGATATTGGTGAAAAACTCAGGCAGCCAACGCTGGTTGACATTTGGAGGAAAGCAGGTGCTATTTCCAGCCAAGATGCTCACAAAGAAGATTTGTGTGTAATGTCCTCAAATACAACACACTCTGAATCAGCAGGAAATCATGTTGATAACTCTTGCCTGGTGCATGATGTTGAAATATCTGCTCTTACAAAGTGTTTGGAAGCACAAAAGTACAAATTCAGGCCTCTTTCACTTGATTGCTTATCCCTACTCGCAGTTCCAGAGGTACGCACTATTATACTATTAATCTGTAAGCATCACTGATGTATTGTATTCAGATAGCATCATACAAAAGTTTCATAGTGTAGTAAGGGCCATATGGTTTTTAGTTTTCTTCGATTAGAAATTTCTTAGTTGGTAAGTAAACAGATTTCATTATTTCAACAATGGGATCTACCGAAAATTGGTTGTAAATGGTTTTTCTATACTTAACTTCGAGCTAGTGTAATGACAATCATTAATAGGATTCTGCTGCATGTAATCTGTGAAGTTTACATTAGGAGGTCTGGTTGTCTAGAGTTTTGGTGTTTAAGGGACACAATTGGGAGAAACTTTCGATCCTTATTGACTCAAGAAGTCCTAACAAGTTATTCAATTGAAGTAGTTTTGGAGAGTTGTCATTACAGGGTGCAGAAAATATTGTGAGGAGAAAAATTATTTGGTGAGGCATGACTGAGTTGTTGACCATTTGGAGAGCTATGATTGCTATGAAATGTGTTAAAGATCTCATGTATGTTTTTGTTTTAATTTGCTCTATTGTTGATTTGATTCAGTCAATTGATCATCCTAACCAATTGAAACTAACAAGTGCCATAACCATATTCTCAAAAGTGAAGTTTAGTGAAGTTATCAAAAAAAAGTGAAGTTTGTTGTCCTAACTCAGGGACTTCTTAAGTTCGAGTTTCCATTGTTGTAGTTTGTTTAGTCCTAAATTACATCATTAGGGCCCTACTTTTTTGTGAAGAGAATCAACGTTTCCCTGTTGTGGTTTTATTTGAAATGTTCTTGGGAACTGGTAACTTGGCAAAGATAGTAAGCCGAGACAACTATTTTTTGGATTGTTTACCTATTCTTAATATTGAGTTTAAATGAGAAAATATGTTTGGAGAATGTATTCAAATGTATTTTTGTTCTTGGTGTGAACCAATTGTTATTAGGATCACTTCTCATGATTCTTTTGTTCTGTCTTGTATTCAGAAGAATCAATGTTCTTGCTGTTCTGATCCATCTGCTGAGGTAACTTACTACCTTTTGTTCTCGTTCTCTACTTAGAAGTACATATCCATGCATAAATGCTTAGATTGACAACAGTCACATACTACTTTACTAGGAAACAATTTGTGTAGAGTAAATGTTACATTTAACTGGAAAATTTAAGCATGTAAGGATACCTATATTATCCTACTCACACCTCTTATGTAGTTTTTATTGTGAGCACTTGTTTTTTCTAGTTATTTACTGCATGTTTGTGGGGGAAATGACTTTGACCCTCCATGTTTTGAATTATAGTGAAAGTGGTAATCAGTCTGAGCCAACCGCGAATTTTTTGTACATGTATATTTGCTGCATCCATTGAATTCGCATTACAAGTTCTTGAAAGCTACCTCTATATTAATTTGCTATTTCTTATCAATAGTCTAATAACTAATTTTCTTTATGCAAATAGGCTAGGGTTCCTTCGTATCGATGCTTACTTTATTATCAATAAAAATTACTTTACTCTTATTTTGAAAAAAGGCTAACCAAAAGGTATGCTGAGGTGCTTGAATTTCTAAGATTAATTGTGAAATGACATCACACGGATTTTCGTTGAAGATTCTAAGAGATTATCTATCTAATCTAAAACTTAAGTGTTTGTAAATGGTTGAAACTATAACTTGTGCCTTGGATATTTTTATTTTTATTTTTGAACTTTCCCCCCTCTATACTGATCTTCATTTTACTATTTTTCCCCTAGTTACCTCTTCATCTATATATCCTTCGTGACCTTCACAAAAAGCTGGACAACATCAGTCCCACAAGAAAACAAAATTTTGGAAGGCGGTTGAATGTTCCTGCTGGATGCAAGCAGATGAAAGTAAACAGGTTTTTAAGCAAGATGAGGCCTTTGTTACCGTATCTTAGGCAAAGCTTTGAACGGGCTGCATTAACACTCAGAGAAGGTTAGTGACTACACTTTTTGTTGCCTAAGACTCAAAGTTGGTGAGTTTCAGTTATTTCCTCTTAAAAAACTTAACTGCAGGTGCTGAACCTTGTCAAGAGCACTGGATAACTCATTCTCGTTTGGCTGCAAACCCTGAGATAATCAACATGAATATTGTTGCATCGCCAACTTTGACTTGTATTTCTGTTTTCAAGGAATCAATTCTCTGCTTTGGCAAGGTTCTATTATAAATTTTCCCTCAGTTTTTGCTACTAAACTACATTTAGAAGCTACTTTTCACATTTTGTTAAAGATCAATTTGTTCTATGTTAAAAAACTGACAATTACGGTCTCCCCTTTTTTTTTTTTTTTTTGTATTTGCAGATGCTAACTATGCCTGATCTTTTGAAGGAAAAGTCCATCTTATTGGATGTTCTCCAGGCTTTCCAACCAATAGAAATGGTTGAGAACTTTTTTGAAGGAATGCAACTAATTCCTTCACCAGGAAATATAGACTATTTGTATGCTGGTGCTTATATGTTTCTAGGAGGAGTCTTTGATGTTGGTATGCGTCCAATTTCTTGTTTGTTATTGAAAACTCAACCAAAAGATATAAAAACCTAAAGAATGAGATTGAGTTTATATGCTTGACTGTTCCTTTTGGCAGTTATAAAGTTCTCATTCATGCTGGCATCAGAAGTCTTGCTAGCTTTGGAGTTCTTGATTACATCTATTTCCACTCTCCTCAGCATGACATCATATGAAAATGGAGTGGATACTTCCACTGGGTTTTGCAAGGAAATTGTTCCCTTTCTTTGCAACAAACTGGGAAACTGTGCTAGGAAACTTTTGATGACCAAATGCAATAGAGATGATTGTGGAAGTAGTCTGAAAGCCAACGTGAGTTTCATTCTTGTGTCTCAAAAATAGTGGATTCTACTGAAATTTGAGATATTTATGTTAAATGATTGATAGAACAGCACCTATATTACTGGCCACTGCAGGGTGAAATGATCCAGAAGATACTCCGCATTTACTTGGGAAATTTCAAGGCATCCCCTGACTTGCTAAATGAGCTTGCTTGCTCTATTTTATCTCAGGTGTGCAGCTTCTGTAGAAAGTACCAAAGTATTATGTGAATGCTCCTCCTTAAATGCTTATTAAAAAATCTCTCTTTTTTGTTACGGTACATTGATGCCTTTTCTGCTGCACAATTTCTTAAAATCATGTTGCATCAATATGCATTTACAATTAATGTCAACAAAATGTTGAGGATGGGAGTTTAATTGTGCATATAATGATGTGAATGGACAACATTGAAGGGGAAAGTTCGTAGCCCTCAAGAACATAAGACTATTCTCTTTGATGACTGTAAATGTAATTCTAGGAGATTCCAAGACAACTTCCCCAGTAGGAAATGAGGTCTCATAATATGCAAACAGTGCTATTTAAATGTGCTAAATTGACCTTATGGAATACTATAGCTGGTGGAGAGACTTGCATAAGTTTCCACGTATGTGATTTCTCAGACTGTTTAGCAGTTGAAAATATTTAACCTAGAAGCTTGATTTTTATTTATTTATTTATTTAATTTCATATAATATCATTTTCTAAGCACTGGTTAGAATTTCTACAATTCATCTGTACTTTTTTTACATTGTAGATATATAGATGTAAAACTATGTTTTGATATAATCAGCTTCACAAGTTTTTACCAGTTCATTTTGTATCTGACATTGTTTTATCTGGTGAATCCCTTTCCTATGCTTTAGGTATCTTCATCCGAAATATCATCAGACAATGATAATCAGACATTTCCTATCCTCAGCTCCGCGACAATGACTGTCTGGTATCGAGTTTTGGTAAGTTAGCAGCTTGTTCATTTTTTGATGCGAGACTTATGTGATGCAATGGATATTGTGATAGTACATTATTTTCTGTTTATTTGTTTAAGAGAAAAATATGATAATGAACTGCAGACATCTAAATTATCTTTTTATATGCTAAAATATACAACAAGTTATAGTCAAATGTTTGAAATATCTTCCCTAGAATGTAATGTTCTTGTTTGATATTTTGTACGGTAGCTTAAATAACGAACTTCAACATTTTCCATGCAGCATGAAGAAAACATTTCAACACTCAATAATTTGGTAAGTTGCTGGTAATGCTGTGTTCTGCATTGAATAGTTATTTCTTCTAGAATTCAGAAAATACTCATAATTGCGTATGTTTCTGGTCAGGTTAGGGAAATTGCTCTTGTAGAGAAGCCAAGAGGCGGTGCTAAAGTGGAAAATGTGCAGAAGCTCCTCAACAAATTACTGCAGTCAGTGAGTGTGGTCGTTACCCTGGTTAACATGTGTCGGAACAATGACAAGGTGATATTTTAATCACTTCGAATACTAATTTAAGCCTAAGGTAAATACATGTTGACATGTTAGATTGGTAATTAGGTGAGTGTTCATGCAATGGCTGTCAAGTATGGTGGAAAGTACATTGACTGCTTCCTTAAAGGTAAAAATTAACTTTGTGCATGAACTGGATGACTGAAAATTAACGGGGACCTGCAGGCCCATAATGATTCTCTGCAACGAATATTTTGAAAGATGACCTCAAAAACAATCTTGACTTGTAGACTGCATAATTATTCATTCTCTCCACTTAATATGATTACTTGTAAAGCCTTTGTTAACCTACACCACTTATTTCTTATTCTGTGAACTTGCATGATGTGGACATGGTATATATTCAGATTGAAAATGTGAGTTTATAGATCACAGGTGAGGTTAAATACTTGGACAACAGGTACCATTATGCATATACATGGATGAATACGAGCACAGAACTGATTCATCTTCGAGACTAAAATGGTTGTTCAGCTTGGATGTTGATTTCCACCTGCCTGAAACTGTCAAATTTCAGATCAAGTTTGAGATGTTACTATATATATATTAGTTAATTTATTTTAACATTCTTCGTAAATGAATAATCTGACAAACAGTATTAGCCATCAGAAAAATTGATGCTTGATCATTCCATTAACACAAGTTCTTTCTCCACAGTCTTTGATTTCTTACAGGCTGAGTTTCCTATGCACAAAGACCTGATACTTCACCTGGTGAGAATCTCTGAATAGTTCCACATAACAGTGACGGAAATTTTGTTCTAATGCGCCTTTTGTGGGATCGCTCAGATTAAGGAGCTGCAAAAAGCGACAAGAACCATACAGACACTCTGTTCTGAAGCAAAGGTGATCTCCTTGAGTCAAGAATCATATTAAAAACTGGATATGCTTTTCAGCTTGATGGTAACATGGACCTCAGATAATAAAATCATTGTTTCATTTTAGGGCTCAAAGAAAACTGTTATAACTGGAAAAATTCCCTCCACAAAACGATCTCTGGAACGATTTCTGTTTCATGTCAAGGCTCTGCTCTGCACAGCACCAAGTGGATTCTCATTCTGGATGGGTAATTAAGCCTTTTATGAGCCAAGGATCTTACACTCCAATTTCCTCTTACTAAAAGAAAGCTTCTAGCCTGTTCCGACAAAAAAAATGCTTCTAGCCTGTAATTGGAACTTGGATCATTTAATTTTACCTCTTGCTATCAAATTTGCTCATGGTCTTTGGCATTTCGGGCAGGCAATTTAAAGCACAAGGACTTAACGGGACAGGTGGTCAGCTCTCAGGCGTATGTGGACGATCTAAACGATGAAAACATAGAAACCACTCCTCAGGATCAACAACCGAATGCATCTAGCTCGGAACACTGAGCAGGTGTGGAAGAATTAAAGCCCTTTCCTAATCCTACTTTGAAGCAGCTAATATTATATGCTGCAGGCATAGTTCGACCATATCTGTTTGCTTGCAGTATCCTCCCCGACCCACTTTGATTCTACAAATGCCTAGGAAAGAAACAGTAAGATGTTGAGAAATGTCAAGCTTATTATTAGCATTGATAGTAATGGCTATTAACAGCTGCGAGTGTTTGTTAATCATTGGTATGGCCATTTTTATGTGTCTATTGTGCGCCAATGACAAATCTTGGTTGGAATTGATTTAAAAGATTTTTTCTTGACCACACATTGTTCTCATTTGTTCTTTGGTGAGAAAATGACAATTTTACCTAGAAAAAATGTTTATTTGATTGTGTCAAAAGATGCTGCTACATAGCAGCTGCACCATTTATTCAATCCAATCTCTGCTCTATACATAGTATACAAACTTCACTAGAAAAAAAAATACTGTGTGTGCGTGTATTCTTTTTTGTGGTGCAGCAATGGCAGCAGCAGAGACAGCATCGGCTGTGGCTGTCGATCAGATTACAACAACAGCAGCAGCAGCAGCAGCAGTGGATAAACAATCAAATGGAGATGATGCTCAGAAGAAGAACAGAATCCAAGTGTCCAACACCAAGAAGCCCCTCTTCTTCTATGTCAATCTTGCCAAGGTTACACTTTCATGCCATTATCCTCTCTCTCTCTCTCTCTCTATATATATATATGTATATATATGTATATTTATATATGTGGCAGTGGATCCGGTGCTTATACAGTTTTTATCAGCAACACATTGATAAAATATTGAATTTAATCAGCATCAGATTCGCCCTTCTATATATATATGCCCATTATTGTATGTCTAACGCTCGGCCTTTTGGTTGATTGTATGTATATATATATGTGTGTGTGTGCAGAGATACTTGCAACAGCACAAAGAGATTCAGCTTTCAGCCTTGGGCATGGGTACTCATACATAAACACATACACATCTATATATATATATATATTTGTGTGTTTATGTGTAGCATCTTAACCATTGTCTTTCTAGTTTGGTCCCTTACACTAATTAAGACAAACATTCATTTTTTGCAGCCATCACAACAGTGGTCACGATAGCTGAGATCTTGAAGAACAATGGATTTGTCAGCGAGAAGAGTAAGATTTAAGAACATTACACAGACACACACACACACATATATATATAATTATCCTTCGGAAAATGCACTTCAATCTAATTTACTCGATAGATTATTAATGTTCTCGCCATTAAAATTCAAACAGGCATCTTGACCTCAACGGTTGGCATGAAGGACGAGACCAAGGGTCGCATTATTCAAAAAGCCCGGGTGAGTACACTATTCCAATAAATGGTCCTAGCTTGCATGGACATCTGCAGAATGTATTTGATTCTTGTTTTCTTTGATCAGATCGAGATTGTGCTGGAGAAGTCGGAAAACTTCAACTCGCTAATGAACAACAAAGGCGAAAAGAAGCAGCAGCAGCTGTGATCGATCGATTATCTCTTCTTCCAATGATCATCCAATGTTGTCCATTGCAATTCTTATTCTTCTGATGTTAAAGTCTGAAATTAAAAAACAAAGGAACAAAAAAGATGAGAAAAAAGTTCGATTCTGAAATCGATTTTCATATAATGTGACTGGTGAAATTTTCATATCTTGTCGCCTGTGGGATTCTTTCTTGGAGAAATTCAAGGCGATCAAACGTAATGAGACCTGAATTCATATACATGTTCAGAGCAAATTCCTCGATTTAATTAAAGTTTGGATTTGTAAAAAAGGAAATCTACTAAAACTATCAAATAAAAACATATTTTTATTTAATTATTACAAGACTAATTTTTTTTGTTTTTCCAAAATCAAATTCAAACCTTATAAAATTCAATATTTTATGTGCTTTATTTCACCATTTTATATAAGTATATTCAAAAGTTATTATTCCTTTCCATAAAATATTTACATGAACACAAATTTAATTATATAATTTTTAACTTTTTATAGGAACATTAGTTTATTATTATCAAATTATTATATCTTGCAATGATTTAAAATATTCAATTAAAATATAAAGTACTAATACCTGATAAATATTTTATCACTATAAATTGGTACAATATTTAGTTGAATTTATAATTGTAAATGTTTAATTAAGTCAAATGTAATAATCTGTAAACTATATCAATAAATAAAATCATAAGTACAGAGTGACGGACAAAATGTAAAAATATTGGATTTAAACTTCTAATATTAAGAAAACAAGTTCACCCCTCAGGTGTCGGGTTTTGAAAATTTTACAAATAAATATTACATGTTGTTGGATAATTCTGAAATCAGCCATACTAATTTGAGTGATTGTACATTAAGGATGACAATGGTGGTATTGAGTTTGGTTTTGAACCATCCTCTACTTAAATTATTTTTAATTATTCAAATAATGGATTATATATAAAGTTAACATTATGTTACTCACTCTAAATGGAAAAAAGATATATACCTATATACAATTTAAATCTAAATCTAAACAATTTATTTCAGTTCCAAATCAATATTCATATGTTAGATTGATCATATTAAATCTAAGTATTGTAAAATTTTAAGCAAGGTTATATGTTAAATCATGTTTTATGATCCATTGGCATATTTATTACCAATGAATTTTGAGTAACTGCTAGTGTTTTTTTTTTTTTTTTTTTTTTTTTTAGGAATAATGTAAATTTTGTTGTTAATTATTAAAAATTAAAAATTTATTTTTGGCTACTATGATATTGTTTGAGTAAAGTAATCTTTATTATTGGTTTTTTAAATATTATGCAGGAAGTTTTACTATATTTTTATTAAAAAAAAAAAGTAATATTTTGTTTAGAATAATCTCATATATATATAAATCCAATAAATTGTTACAACTACAACGGGGATTTAGTCGAACTTAGGGCGCATTTCTTTGTATTTTTAATACTTTTTCCATAATTTATAATAATTTTTTTTAAAAGTATATTACACTCAATATCTATATTTTATTCAAAAATCATATAAATAAAATATTTTTATTAAAAACTTAATTCTATAGTTTTAATTAAGCCTAATCTGTAGCGTATTATGTTCGACAAAAGTTTATCCGATCATACATTATATATATAAAAAAATAATAAATATATTCAAACACAAAATTTAAAATGAAAACTGTTACCCATATTTTGTCTAACAATAATAAATAAAATTATGCAATGAGTATATAATTATGTATCATTATACATTAATATCTACAGAACCTTCTAGAAAAAAAATATATATATAATAAAAATATAAATATAATCATAAACTCTTTCATTAACAAAAAAAAATAATAAAAATATATATATATATATATATTTATAAACAAGAAAATAAATAAATAAATAAATAGAAATAGGAAAAAAGGGGTAATAGGGTAAAGTCCAAAATGGGCAGGGAAAAAGAAGGGCTGGAGTTGACCTAAATACCCATCTCCCACACCATTGGTTGCGCCTCTCGACCCTCTCCACAACCCTTTTCTGCCCTTCCTTCTCCTTCCATTCTTTCTCCGATTTCCCAATTCTCTCCTCCATCTCCCCCCTGCCCTTTCCCCGCCATTTTCAAATTCTATTCTGCGTCTTGTTCTTGTCCCCCGTTCCATTCCCTGGAACCCCAACCTTTTCCGGTTATCGTCCATCTCCGGGGCTGGATCGATTTCGACAAAATCAATCTTGATGTGAGAACCAGAAGAAGATTTGATTGGTTTTCCTGCACTCTGCGGGTATTGTTGGGGTTTACTGTTCTTTTTTATTTTGTGATTGATCGGATTGGATTTTAATTTAATTTGATCTGATTTGATTTCATTTAATTGTGTGGTTTCTGCTTCCTTGTGTAATTCTTGGTTTTGTGTTGATGATTAGGGATGTATCTGTTCTTTGTGTGTGGTGTAGTGCTTACTGATTTATGAGCTGTGAATGATTTTGATTTTGGTTGTGATTCTGAATTGAGATTTTGTTGTTGTTGTTACTTTGTGTGTGTGTGTATTAATTAAGCTTGTGTTGGGATTGAATTCATTCATTGTGTGTTGTTGGACTTGATGTGTTCTTTGTGTAATTGTGTTGGGAGTTGAATTCATTCATTATAGACTTGTCCTGATTGTTGCAGGTTTAGTAGTGTAAAGAATGGCAAACCACGAGGTGATGCTCGGAGGACAGAACAATGGCGGCAGCGGCAGCGCTGGCGGCGGATCGCTTGGTCATAACCAGCCGGTGGTGCTAAACCACAATCAGAGCATGGCTATGGGTCAAAACCACGGTCTAGGTATGGGACCGGCGCACGATCAGGAAGCCAGGATGGGTCAGATTCACGACGAGCATGAGGATGATGGGAATGAATATGAGCAAGAGAATGGCTTATCAATTGAGGAAAAGCCCGAGCATGAAGTCCAAGACGTGCATTTACATGGAGGCAGCAGCGGCTTAGAGATGTCCGATCACAATGAGCTGACTGATTCACACGAACTCGACGAGAATATGGAATTGGCAGTGATCCAGCACGAGGATATGACTATGGACTCTATGCACGATATGAATCTTCACCAGGCTTTGGTGGTGACTTCTCCGGTTATTCAACAGCGCACTCTTGCAGCGAGCTCCAACTACGAGCTTCACGTCGGCCAAGAATTCCCGGACGTGAAAGCCTGCCGGAGGGCTCTGAGAGATACGGCTATTGCTCTCCACTTTGAAATGCAGACTATAAAATCGGATAAAACTCGGTTTACTGCCAAGTGCGCAAGTGAAGGATGCCCCTGGCGCATCCACGCTGCAAAGCTTCCCGGTAGCCCTCTTTTCACAATCAGGACGATCAACGACAGCCATACCTGCGGCGGGATCTCGCATCTTGGGCATCAGCAGGCCTCTGTTCAATGGGTCGCCAATTCTGTCGAGCAGCGCCTCCGGGAGAATCCCAATTACAAGCCGAAGGAGATTTTAGAAGAAATTCACAGAGTTCATGGCATCACCCTTTCGTACAAACAAGCCTGGCGTGGAAAGGAAAGAATTATGGCTGCAATGCGCGGATCATTCGAAGAAGGCTATCGTCTTCTCCCGCAATACTGCGAGCAAGTACAACGGACTAACCCCGGAAGTATTGCGTCGGTTTACGGAAACCCTGCCGACCACTGCTTCCAACGGCTATTCATTTCGTTCCAGGCGAGCATTTACGGGTTTCTAAATGCTTGCCGCCCTCTTCTCGGGCTGGACCGAACGTTTTTGAAGAGTAAATACCTCGGCACGTTGCTTCTAGCCACGGGGTTCGATGCAGATGGCGGGCTTTTCCCTTTGGCCTTTGGCGTCGTTGATGAGGAAAACGACGATAACTGGATGTGGTTCCTCTCGGAGCTTCATAACCTTTTAGAGGTGAATACGGAGAACATGCCGAGGCTCACCATATTGTCGGATAGGCAGAAAGGCATCGTCGATGGCGTCGATGCCAATTTCCCCACAGCCTTCCATGGTTTCTGCATGCGGCATTTGAGCGAAAGCTTTCGCAAAGAGTTTAGCAACGCGATGCTCGTTAACCTTTTGTGGGATGCCGCTCATGCCCTCACCGTCATAGAATTTGAAGCCAAAATCCTGGAGATCGAAGAGATATCTCAAGATGCGGCGTACTGGATTCGGCGCGTTCCGCCGCGTTTATGGGCAACGGCTTATTTCGAAGGGACGAGGTTCGGGCATTTGACGGCCAACATTGTTGAGTCGCTCAACACTTGGATTTTGGAAGCCTCGGGTCTCCCGATAATCCAGATGATGGAATGCATTCGAAGGCAGCTGATGACTTGGTTCAACGAGCGCCGGGAGACGAGCATGCAGTGGACGTCCATTCTCGTCCCGTCCGCCGAGCGACGAGTCGCCGAGGCTCTTGAGCGGGCACGTACGTACCAGGTTCTACGCGCCAATGAGGCCGAGTTCGAGGTGATATCCCACGAAGGGACAAATATCGTCGACATCAGGAACCGGTGCTGCCTCTGTCGGGGATGGCAGCTGTACGGTTTGCCGTGTGCGCACGCCGTCGCCGCGCTGCTCTCTTGCAGGCAGAACGTTCATCGATTCACCGAGAGCTGTTTTACCGTCGCCACTTATCGAAAGACGTACTCGCAGACGATACATCCTATTCCGGACAAGACACTGTGGAAAGAACTGTCGGAAGGAGATCCCGATGCCGGAAAAGCTATCGAAATGATCATCAATCCTCCGAAATCACTACGCCCCCCAGGGCGGCCGAGGAAGAAGCGCGTTCGAGCGGAAGATCGGGGACGGGTGAAGAGAGTTGTACATTGTAGCCGTTGCAATCAGACGGGCCACTTTAGGACAACATGTGCAGCGCCGATATGAATGCTCGGTTCTGGTTAGTCTCGACTCGACGAAAATTAAGCTAAGCCTTCCCTTTCTTGTGCAGATATTTCTTAGAGGTGTTTGTTGTTGAAAGAATACATGGTTACTTGAGTTTGTTGATGTGAGTGTTGTTCTATTCGATCGATAATTTAAGTTTCGCATGCATTTGTCTAATATCCGTCTGTCCATCCGTTCGTCTTATTCAGCTCTCAGATTTTTATGCGGTGTAATGAAGGAACCATCTCTTGAAATAATTATGCCAGATTGTTTTATTTTTGACCGACTTGTTGCGAGTGTTGGGACACGGAGTGTGGATCGATTGGCAGCCGGGCTGAATGAATGGCATTGTATCATATTGATTTGGGATTCTTGTCAAGTTGCGGTGCTATCGATGATCTATTTGAGCGAGCTGTTTAGCTGCAGGTAACACGAGTCGTGAGACGGGATGGTCATGGTCGAAGGGGGATGTGTTATTTGCAGCTCTAGTACACACTCGTCTTAGATATCTGGAGATGTATTTTGGCTTGATTTTGCAGTGCTTCGGTTACTGATTATATAACTACAAAGACTATTATCAACACAACACATAAAGACTATTATGAACTCAACGCATAGAACTATATAACTACAAAGACTATTATAAACGCTCGATAAATAGTGCTAAAACATCATTTTTCATTTGCCGTGCTTAGTCCGTGAAAATCAGCACCATAGCGATTTGATCCCAAACTGCATAATAACCCTCTTCCGTTTAAGTTAGTGTATATTGGGTAACTCATTTAGGAATGCTTGAGAAATGTATGGAATGGAAGATTACACAATCTTTACTTGGTGTTTACAATTATATATGGCAATGATTAATGTGATACTGAAAACAATAGAGTCTATAGTTGAATCAGTACAAATTTATATTGTTTTTCTGCTTCAAATATGTGGAACTAACTGAGAAATCTTACATTCATAACACAATGGTGTAACTAATTTTCAATAAAAAGATCACCTATGAAAACAATTTTGTTAGAAAGTTTTTCCTTTACTACTATATATACATATACATCTTATATAATCAAAATAAATAAAAATTGTTTTACATTGAGAACTGTAACTAGTTTTCAATAAAAAAAGATCACCTATAAGAACAAATTTGTTAAAAGGTTTTCCTTTACAAATCTAAGCAATAAATGATGGCAATACTTTATATATATATATATATATATATTATATACAACATTAGCACAATAATAAGTAGAGTAAGGGAAGAACAAGGTGGGGTCATGGCCATGGTCATTTACTTTAACAAAAGCAGCAAAATACAGTAAGTAATACAGGAAACACTGATGAATCCAAATTTAAATCCAAAGTGTGTGTAGATATCTCTAAAATGGGGAAGAGAACAAAGAAAGAAATAAAAGAACAAGAACAAGAACAAGAAACAGTAACAACATATGCTTCTTGACTTGACTTGCTGTTTTCACATCACATCTACCTGCTCTGCCTATAACATACCTATCCTTCTCCAATTTGTCTTTCAAATTTCCCAAAAATAGAAACATAGCAAGTACGTTATTAGCGGGGTATTCTCAAGACAACAAGCAAGTCTTAACAAAATTAAACAAAAAAAAAGAGCACCTGATTTAGTAACCATAGTTGGTGCCATAAACAGAGCCATAACCGCCTGCCTGGTTAGGATTTGAAGGGGTAGATGTGTATACCGAACCATGACCTCCATAGGAATTGTATGCCGGATCTGCTGGTGGGGCGTGGGGTGCCTGAGCTGTGCCTGCTGCTTCAGCCATGAAATTCTGCCAACCGAAAAGAATCATTGCAATAAACAAACCATCGAATTTCTATCGTAATACAATATATAGGGAGTAAATCAATTTCAACTATCATGAGCTCTATCTAACATTCAATCCCAGAAAAGAAAAGATCTGAGGATATCAATTAGCAAAATGAAGTCCCTTTAATCCATGTGAACATTGCTATGCATCCAAAGAAGCAGAAATACAAATTCTATGAGGTGACTTACAATAGGAAAATGGGCATATAAATGTGTGCACTGCAAGAATTAGATAGTCGTAAATGGGGGATTTAAAAGGGTACCTGAATCAGTTGTTGGGCAGTTTGGACTTGAGAAGCAGTTCCACTGATCTCGACAGTCATCTCTCCAGGAACCCCCCTTGTTTCTTGAATGGTAACAGTGGCGCCACTGACTCGTCGAATATAACTAATACTAGCACCTTGTGTGCCAATCACAGCATCAGCATACGAGAGTGGAATTTGCATTTGCTGGGTGACCTGAAATTAGTTGAGCTCCAATTACATGTACTGGCAGAGCTTTTTCTTGTAATGATTTCATGCAAATATGTTTCTGATTGTAACACTTTGTGAAATCATGATGGCTTGAAATCTTAAAATCTTACCATCACCTTATTTCAATATAACTTAATTTTTTATGGAGCTGATGTTGAACGGCACTTCCATTAACACAATAATCGATAAATAAATAAAATAAAATTGACCGGGAATGATGAACCTGAGTGATCACTGAAGTTGCTGCTTGGCTGGTCGATGAATGCACCGGCATTGCTGCTTCTCTCCCATAGGCAGATATCCCTTGATGAGGTGGTTTTTCGGGCGGATGTGGCATGTCAGCAGGAGGATAATAATTGTCGAACTGCCTAGGAGGAGGCATGAAGTGAGGGCTAGCTCCATATCCGGGACCTCCATGTGCACTTTGCGGGTAAGGCTGAGGAGGTGGAGGGCCCCAGTGCTGGGATGGAGGCATGTGTTCCATCTGCTGATTTGGCATTTGCATCTGACAACAACATAAGATATAAGCTCCTAAATCGTAAGATCTATGATTAAATAATGGATTTCAACTCCAAATGAATCCCATGAACAGGAGGCTTACTTGCATTTCAATTACTGATATTATGCTTCGATCGACCAAAAATTTTCTCAGATGGGAAGCAATCAATTCAATAGCTTTAAGTATGCCTGTAGGTTCCCCAACTACCTCTACAACTCTATCATCATGAAGGGCAAAAACTGGTAGCTCCTCTGCAGTAATTTTGCCAACAATTGGACATGTGATAAAAATTAATAAAGTTAAGTAGCATTTACAAGCATTTGTATATATCTACGACATATTTTTGCAAAGATACAATCTGATAATCTAACGAGTACCATGACCAGGGCAATGATACACTTACCTAATGCTCCTTAAAAATTATGAAAGGTGATAAATAAAATGTAATCCCATGGTATGACTTGCTACAGCTTACACCAAATAGGGCCAAATGACATATAAAATAGTTCAGATGCATGCTAGTTTGTGATTTCAGCAGAAAAAGTTAACCCAAGATGACTGACTGGACTAATAAAACTGTTCAGATGCATGCTAATTTACGATTTCTATCTTGTTAACAAAAGCTAAGATGGAAGATATAAACCAAGAGATACGATGAGCAGAAAATACAAACACAGCGCTAACGAAAAGGACAAACAAAATTAAGCTACAAAGCAAAACTCATAGGCTATATCAAACATGAGCAAAGCTTGCTTCATCAATTTTCAATGGATAAGGGAAGTAATTACAAGGAAATGCCCCATTGTAAAGACATCCAGGCAAAAATACAGGCTTCATCCCAGAATCCAAGTATGCATCTTTTTCTTAGTTTTAAGAGATCCTTTATACTCTTCAACCTAATTAAGGCAGCTACTGCCAATACTAGGTTAACCAGCATATGTTTACCAAGCCTGTGTAGCAAAACTTTAAATACTAGTAATCCTACCACACATGCAAGGTTCACTTTAGTTTGTGATTGGGAAAATAAACACTCCACAAGTTGCCTCTGTCCATTTAAAAGCTTCACTTTAGTCCTTGCGCAATTAATAGATGGCCAGTAGTTAGTACTTAGTTATCATTTTACAAGTAACCCACCATCTACTTTGACTCGAATGAAAAATTAGTTACAAGATCTGAACACTGTGAAACAAGACATTGGAGACAAACAAGTCCTATGCTTTTTTTTTTTAATCTCATATTACAGTTTTTTTTTTTAATTATCATTACCTCCCAAAACTCACAGCATTTTGGTTAAAGATTCTCATCTGCTAGTTTGCATTATATGATATGCGGCAAAAACATTCAGAAGAACAGACAAACCAGCAATTCTAACTACATTTGGCCACATGAATTCAGAACATGGACATTCTAATATATATATTTTTTATGAACTAAGAGACAGTCTGTATAGTACAAACTAACACTGCATGTAATATTTTACATTGAAAATATAGAGAAAAGTATAATCAGTAATCAATTCTTACCACATTCAAATGAAAGAACCTTTACTTAAATGTTTAAATAAAACAGTGTGCTGTTGCGTTCAACCAATTAAGAAAGATGAAATGCAAGCAGATCAGAATTTTTCCATATTCATGAAGATTCAATCAGATAAGAACACAATATCTATATCTAAACATATTACTAAATAACTTTGTAACCCAGGCTCAGTAACATATAATATTTCTGAAATAGATATCATCAGAAATATCTCATGCTGAGCCTGAGACATAACCGAGCTTTAATGGCCATATTTCTATGAGTTTAAAGGAAGAACCTGATCCAAGAACTCTGACAATGCAATTAGACTCTTCTTGAATGGATTTGACAGTTGCCCCTTGCTTCCCAATCAAACTTCCTGCTTGAGCAGCTGGGACAAGCAATCTTGTGGAGACTTTTCCCCCTGCAGGCGGAGGATGAGATGAGTCATTCTCGAGTCCATCCACAACACGTCTGTGAACTCTTAGAAGACCGTCAACAGCAGGAGGAAGAGAAGCATCAGGATCTTCCTTGGCAGACACCATAACCTATTTTGGAGAAGTATATCATCAGAAACTAACTTCATAAAGCATGTGGCACTAGACAAAGCATGCTTTTGCAAAATGTGCTCTAAATATAGGCTGCACAATAATCTAGGATTCACATTATGATATTTGATTGACAATATATTAACATATAGTATGCTTGCAACCAATCATTATAAAAAAATAAAATTCTGTGTGCAACTGGAGAAGTAAATGACCTGAAAGTGTGCTTCTGATGGGCAAACAAAAAATTCTATCATTTTAAGGTACTAATGAATTTATAACAAAACTACATTATGACAAAAATGTGAAGCAGCAGAAAAAACTTTGCTGTTTTTCCCAGGGAATATCGAAAATTGGTGTATAAATGAAAGTATAAATAGCTTTCCAATAACCAGCAATGCCAGGATGTTCAACAAATCACAGATTTTACTTACAGCCCTTTCTCTTGTTCCAGGAGGTCCATCAAGAATCTTAATCCGTGCTCTTGTCTCTTCACATGTTTTCTTGATATACTCTCCTTTACGCCCAATTATGCTACCAACTTTTGTTGCAGGCACCAACATCCTGAAAACACTCTCTCCAGGCCACCCTGGCCATTTCTCACCTCCTCCGGAAACTGGCTCATCTGCATGGTCCTGTTTTTCATCAGGGTGTGAGTTCTCCAGTATTCCATCTTTTGGTTCACTGTGTTCCTCATGTTCATTTACATGTTCATGTTCATTTTCATTTTCGTTTTCATTTTCATGTTTCTGTTCTTGCACAAGTTCTTGCTCATGCTCATCGTCATGTTCATTTTCAGGTTGGTATTCAAGTTCATGAGCTTGTTCATGTTCAGGCTGATATTCATGTTCATGAGCTTCTTGTTCAGGTTGATATTCATGTTCTTGAGCTTGTTCAAGTTCATAGTTCTGATTAAGTTCAGCCATGAAATCTGCACCAGTACAAACTGAAAAATCATGAACTCGCATGCACATAATGAAATTGAATAAACATGAACTATATAACGATAAAATCCAAAGTTTCAAACAGTGCAAGTTAACATTCAACCATCATGTTCTTTCCTTCACACAATATGATACAAATAGTTCAAATATTGGCGCAAAAAACTTACACCACACACACAAGCACATATATGTACTTCTGTATCAGTCTTCATTAGATGGAGACGATTGGAAGGCAAACAAAAAGCAGAAACAGGTAGGCTCAAAAGATTACCTTCACGAAGATAACCTCTATATGCTATACAATCTCAAGAAACGCCCAACTAATAATGAAATCAGGAAAATCCAGCTGTGACAATCAAGAGCCTTTAAATAACTGAATCTACCAAGCTGTAATTACATTTATAAAGTGAATTCTAAAGGGTTTCCTATAAAGCTCTATGATATGATGCATACAGAAAAGCATTCACTCCCAGATGAAAACCTACAACTTAGATTGCCAAGGGTTATTAACACCTGAAAATATATACCATCATGTTTAGATATATACCATTAGAACGGAGAGACATTCGACGAATCAGCAAACATCTACCACCCCATACAATGACTTAACATCATGCTGGTTGAAGGAGAACTCTTATCATGACTATGCTTAAAAAGCTCAAAGCACAGAATTATCAAAAGTCAAGCATTTCACCTATATTCCACAAACCTAACAATAAGCGACGTGCATAAACCTTGTAAAACCTACAGAACCACGACAAAGCGAGAAGTAACCAACAGCTCACAAACTTACTCACTCCCATCTTCTAAGATTGCAGCTCCATGAAACAACTTTTTAAGTTTCCATGGTCAGCTCGGCCAACAAACCAAAACCCATTACATAAAAGAAAAACTTAAACCGCAAATCAATTGAATCTGAATTGGACATCCCGTTAAAACCTAGATAAACAAAACGCCCAATATGTGAAGCAAACAAAAACGAACACCACATATTCCACACAGAGAACCTAATAACCAGCAATTAAAACACAAAAATTACGAATTTCGGACAAGATTCAGGTGTGGCGAAATTTAAATCAAATTAAAACGCAAAAGAGGGCAAAATAAAACAGAACGCATCACCTGCGAGGATAATGGAGAGATACCGACGGAGACACAGGCGGAGTCACAGAGCGAGCCGTGCTGTGCTGTCCTGTGCTGCAAAGATTTTATGGCGACAGAAGGGGGAAAAGAAATGTAGGGTTCTTAACGAATTTCACACTTAGGTTTTGGGGAGGTTTAAATTATTTTGTGGGGAGGAGGAATCTCTCGTAATTTCCAATTTTTTAATTTTTAATTTTTCTTTTAGATGAAAATGTAAATATATCCTACCAATAAGAAGGTGAGACTTGTCCATTTCTCCGCAAATTTACGCAGAGACCCTCTATAAGTTACATAATCTCAATTTTACCAATAGACTTTCGGTTTGCCCCTTTTTTAAAAAAAAGAAAATATATATAAATAAATACAAATCGTTATTATTATCATTATAACTTATTTATTTTAGCATAGCATAAAAACGATGACCGATGTGTAAATTGTTTAGAATTATAACGATAAAAAAAATATATATTATTATTTATATAGTTGTACTATTTTTTTTAGAATTGTATCGCTTGGGGCATTAGTATAGTTTTACCCATAACACACAAGTGACTAGTTTGTGTTGAAGTTCGCAATTAGCATAATTTTATCTTATTTTAAGTAACAAATAAATATATGATAGTGATATTTTAAATAAAAATATATATTTTAAATTATGATAATTTAAAGATTTTTTTATATATATAAATAATGCAAAAAAAAAAATTGAAAACCATTTAATAACACAAGTAAAATTCGATAAATCTTTTTTCTTAAGAATTGAATAAAGTACAGTGGTTGTAGGCCTCCCAAATAAAAAATCAATGAGTTACAACAAGGTGTATACATATATATTTGAATTTAAATACATAAAAATACGTTGCATATATACATATAATAGAATTATAACCTAAAATATACGAAATATTTTGTGCATTTATATTAAAAAAAGATCGATAGAACGAAACAAACCTTTAACCAGCAAGAGCCGTGCCATTGCTATTGTATCGGGTAACTTGTAGTCCGTAGCATCCAAATATTCGACCGTTGTGTCAACGGTAAACTCGACATTACAATGGCGCAATTAAGGAGATTGAGCGACGACGAATACTACTACTACTACTACAACTACATACACCATCGCTCGCTATCTTTTGCATGCGTTTCCAAAAATACGATCATCTTCTCTTCTCTTCTCTCGAAATTTCATCAATTCATCTATCCATCTACAACTCCAAATCATCGATCAATTTATTACCTTGAAAAAACAAGCCCGCGAGTAGAACAAGGATCATAGCGATGGATAAGCACGGCATCCTTTGGACACCATTCGATACCGATCTGCAGGAAGAAACAGCAACGCCGTCCAGAAAAGTTAAAAACTAGGCAATCGATTGTCGATGGTGCTTCTAAAGAAATGTCGACCTGTGGATTTACCTTGCTACTGTGGACTTGGTAGTGAGTCCGAATCCGAATGGGAAGAGTGGATCGTAATGCGAATCGCCAACGTTCATCGGGAGTTGATCCACCGTTTTGAACCAAGTCCTTGGAAGTTTGCCGCTGAAGCCGTAGTCACCGAACAGCACGTCTGCCACGCCGAGGCCTTCGCTGCCTGGTAACCAGGCAGCCACAAGAGCATCGATTCTTGACACATATGGTTCGATCACGATCGGTCTGCCAGAAACAATGACGACGACGCATTTGATGGCTCCGCAGACGCTGTTGATGATGTCGGGCCCTGGATCAGCCATTGTGAGAGTTTGGCTGTCCCCTGCAGTTTCCGTGTACGGAAACTCACCGATAACAACAATGGCGTAATCGAAGTGGCTGGATTTGACGAATTCGCTGTCGGGAATGTCGCGGTAGACAACTTCTGTGTCCTTATCAACTGTCGATTTAATAGCATCGAGGATGGTTGTTCCTGCAACGAACAGCAAGCTCACTCAGTAAATAACAACACCGGGCATTTCGTAAGTAAATTGATAACAATAGTATCATCAATCAATGCTCGGAGGTCGACACACAACAGGAAGTATATAACTCACCTCTTGTATCGTTGTTTCCACTGAATCCCTGCCATGTTATCGTCCATCCGCCACACTGATAACCCAAGTTATCCGCGTGTGTACCAGCAACTAGAATTTTCGATGCTTTTTTGGGCAAGGGAAGCAGTGGATCGCTTGAATTTTTTCCATTTTTTAACAGAACGAGGGATTTTCTCACGGCTTCCCTAGCCAAATTTCTGTGTTCCTGTCAACATACCAAGATCTTAAAGAAGTTCGTATAGTGTTGTCGATTAAACATGATATAGCTGAACAAAGCGATCAAATTACTTGATTCAGAACAGGGAAATGTCGGACCTACCTGGCTTCCAACCTCATTGACAAGACTAAGATCTGCAAGAGGATGTTCGAAGAGACCCAAGTTGAACTTGACCAGCAAAATTCTTTCGACAGCATCATTAACACGGGTCACAGGAATGACTTCATTGTCTACCAGGAAAGTGAGTGCATTTATGAACTCAGTGAAGTTGAATGGTAACATAACCTGTTGCAAAACAAAATGTGGTTCACGAGTGATCAGATTCAATTTGATGAAAGTTGCCAAACCAATTGAATTTTATCGGAAGGGGTTTCTATCTCTCAAAAGGTATACAACACCATGTCAACTCCAGCTAGAACACTGGCTTGAACAGAGTAAGTATAGTTGGAATGTGGTGGAGATGTGATCCTGTCGATTCCTTGCCAGTCTGAGATTACAAAACCCTGTTTGTTGATCACAAATATTAGAAATTACACAAAGCTTATTACAAGTTTTCATGCTAAACTGTATACTTACTAGCAAAGATAAAATATTACATCCTAAAGAATTACGAATGGCATATGGGTTGAACAAGCATAACAACTAAGTGAAACGATATCATTTCCAGCCATACCTTGAACTTGAGCCTTTCTTTCAGAAATCCAGTGATCAAATCATGGTTGGCATGCATCTTTTTTCCATTCCAGCTGGAATAAGAAACCATGATTGTTGACACACCCTTAATGATAGAGTCATAATAAGCTGGCATGTGAATGCTAAGCAAGCCGTGCATGTCAGTCACGGTGTTGTTTTCATTAATGCCCTTTGTCGTCCCCCCATCACCAACAAAGTGTTTCGCACAAGCTGCTACCTTATTCCTGAGAAAAAGGGTAAAGAAGTTATCAGCAACAATGCATCTTACGCTCAGAAAGCTCCAGCAAGTTTATGAAAAGTTTCCGTGGAATCATTATATTAAATAAAGTTTGGAATTCACAGGGAGAAATTATTCCCGACGAATCTCCAACTATAATTTGAACAATCATGCATCTTCTTCTTGTTATGGCTTGCAGATTTTACAGATCTCATCACAGGACAAGCATTTAAAAACAATGGTTTGATTAATTTAATAGTCAGAATCAAATGTCTTTGGCTCATAGCTTCATGTCAAATAGACAGCAGTCAATTACAAATTTGAAACATATTCTCTAATTCGGCATTTATATGAAATAACATGCTGCATACATACTTGCCAATAGCATAAGGAACACCTTTCCGCGAACCATTTGGAATTTCACCTTGCAACCCATATATAATGTCCGTCATCTCTTCAACGACCTTGGGATCCTCACTGTAACTTTCATAGCATCTACCCCATCTTGGATCTCGGCATACCTATATGCATATCAACAACAGAATGTACCCAACTAACTAAATGCAGATACATGAGTGCTGAGGGAGTAACATCTAAAATTCAGAACAATTTTGAAATGTAAATCAGTAGGGAGGATCTAGTAGTGACATACTGCAATGCAAGGAGCAAATACATAGGGAATTCCTGTAGCTCTGACTTCAATAGCAGTTGCATCGCCTATCCTTTGCAACAGTTCGGGATCTCTGTCGCACAGGATATGAAAAACACTAATAATTCCAAAAATACTGTGACCTTACAAACATAGTTTTGTGAAGTATTATACTACTCATTCTATGGGGCAATTTTTCACAGTAAAACACTTAAAATAATAATAATCCCTCCGTCATATAAACCAGTGCTCAAACTTTTGGTAATGTGAGTGCATACTGTTTGTTTTTCATAGTAAAAAATGTTCAAAAAAAATAATATGATTTTTAACTAAAATGAAAACTTTTTTTTGATGAAGTGGATTATAAAGAACCCAGAGTATGGGGGACACATACAAAGAAGCTTTAGAAATTTGCTCTAAGAGCTATAAAACTTGGCATAGTTGAATAGAGAATCTATCAAGCAACATAAAATCAAATGAAAATAATTAGTTCTTCATAAGAATACAAGTTTAACATAAAAAAGCACCGGCATGCAAATTACATAACAGAAGAAGTGTTTAATTGATTCCCCCAACAAATCATTATGTTTTCAGGTAAAAGACAAAAATAAAAAATCAAGAAATGTACCTAGTAGCACCTAAGCCAATGTTGTGGGGGAATACTGTGGCATTATACACATTATTGTGTCCATGAACAGCATCAATGCCATAGATCATGGGGATCCCTAGACGTGTTGACAGGGACCCCTTCTGGAACTCATTCACCATGTTAACCCAATCAGAAGCAGTAGCTTGTGGCCGCGGCGTACTTCCACCACCGCTCAATAAACTCCCTGCATCAGGAAAAAAGCAGATGCTTCACTTACTTGCACCCAGCAGTAAACACCATCTACTTAGCACCACATTTCCAGAACTTTGTAAAATGAATGTTTATGTGTCGACACGAGAATTCGAAACACTAACGAAGAGCAGGCTATGAGAACTCACAAGGTAAAGCAGTACTACCATTACCCTTTGCATCCTAATATTTTTCTAAACTTCAAACCAACCTTCAGCACAGAACCATAGATTTCATTAGTTTATCCTAGACTCGAATCAGGTTCTTTGTATTTCACATTGTCTGCTCATTAAACCAGAAAAATGAAAAGAAAACACATAGATAAATAAAAGGAACATGCATTTTCCAAAAAAAAAAGCATCATTTTCACAATGCTAAAAAGATATCTTGCAGTTTCATCCTCAAACTAAGATCCTCAACAGCAAAGCGCAATAAGTAATGTTAAATTCACAAAGGAACCAATTCCAATTCCAACTCACAATCGCAAATAAAACACAGACGCAAAATCCACAAAAAGGTGCGTCCATATAACCCTAGGACTCCAACCTCAGTAGCAAAACCAAAAACAACCGCCATGAACTCAAATCATTACCAATGAAGTGATCCCTCATGATATCAGGCGTAGCAGCAAGCCTATCAATCTGCACCATCTGCCCAATCTTCTCCTCCAGCGACATTCGTCCAAGGAGATCCTTCACTCTCGCGCTAACCGGCAGCTTCGGGTCCTTGTACTTCACGTACTCGTCTCCCCCAAGAGCTGCCCCGCAACTCCAGAGCACCGCCACACCCATAACCCACAGCCACCTCATTTTTCAGCAAGGCTGTGGCAACCTGTCAACACACAGCTGCTCAATATAGCAAAAATTCGGTGGGAATATAACGACGACAATAAAGCAAGTAAAGTTACAGTTGCAGAGTGAGTGCAGCAGTAGAAAATGCGGATGGAGATTCGGTGCGAACGTGGTTGGATGATCATCTTCTCACTCCTCCATTAAATGCTACTTTTTTCTTTCTCCCTCCTCACCCATATTATATTTTTCACTTTTATTTTTAATTTACAGTGGATTTAACTTTTTAGTATTTTACAGTAATTCATCCACTGTATTACCGCCAAGATTGCATTTTTATTTTTTATTTAAACTGTTTTTTCATTCATTTAATGTGTAAGGCAAACAAAGAACTTTACAAAGGTTACCCATGAAGGCAATGAGGCTAAAGGCAAAACACAAATCCTCCAAGCAACCATCTTGGGATAGACTCACTCATAAGAAACACACAAAAATGCACATACAAATGAATTGTGGTGTGAATAAAATGTGGCCATACCATACCATATCTACACAGACATATCTTGATCAAGTCCAAGAATTAGAATGGCAGCTCGGCGGCAACACGGCGGCGGCGGTGGAGCCACTCCCAGACGCGCTGCAGTGCGTCTGGTGTACGAAGATATCAAGCCCACAGGAAAGTGGCGAGAAGACGCCGAAAGCCATATCCTCACCATTGATCTTCCCGGTAAGTTAAATCATCGAACCTTGGATGTGAGAATGAGCTTTGGATGATATTCGCTGTGCTGTTTTTCGGTTTTCTGGGCAGGTTTTGTTAAGGAGCAACTGAAGGTCTCCACAGAAGGCAATAATTTTGTCAAGGTTCAAGGTGAACGCCCGGTGACTAGAGCCCGGAGAATCCGCTTCCAGGAGGATTATCCAGTTCCTGCAAACTGCGACATGAGAAAAATTCGTGCCAACTTCCAAGGAGAGAGCCTGATTATAACAATCGGGAAAAAGATCGTTGACAAACCTAAGGATGCACCTTCGCCTGCAATAGCTACTCCGGCTGAAGTTCCTAAGCAGCCCTTAGCTCCACAGGGGAAGGACAAAGACGAAGTCGAAGACAGAGACAGAGACAGAGACGAACACAATCAGCCTCCACCTCCAGCAGTTGAAGCAAGCCAGCTTAATGATGAGAAAAACTTTGAACACGCCGCAGGTGAGGATGGGATAAAAAGGGATCAGCCTGGTGACCCGCGAGATGGAAGAAGAGGTACTCCGTTTAGAGATGCCGGGCGAGTACTTCCACGAGATTATGAAATTCGTGAGGCAATAAAAAAGGATGAAATAGAGAAGACTTCGAAGAGAAGTGAAGAGTTACCAGAGGAAGGAACTACAGAGAAAGCCGAGTTGAAGGATGGTGCACCATCTGCGAAAGAAGTAAAACACACAGAATCAAATGGGAAGCGTAAAGCCCATACAGATGGAGCTTCAGCAATGAAGAAAGGAAAGAAAGCAGTAAATGGACTTAACATGTTAAATGAAAGGAAATCGGTCGTGAATATGGGAGCTGCAGTGCTTGTTATTATTGCGCTCACTGCTTACACCACATACCAGTTTACATCAGGGAAACATAAAATCTAAGGTTTCCTTAACTATCGCTGATGTACATATAACTTCAACAGGTTCGGTCGCCAAACAATTACATCCTCAACGCAGCCGATCAAAAGTGGAAGCTGCAGTAAAGCATCATAATACAGCCATAACTGGTAGTTTCCTGATCCGATATATTAGAAGATGTAACCATAAATTAAGTATTAATTAGAAGATAAGAACAATGCTCATGGTTCCGAATATATTGATGACTTGTGTGACACCCAACCGACTCAGGCCACGATTCCCCCCCAACGAAGCATCGATGCTAAATTAAATCTTGCATGCAATATCACTCAGTATCAGATAATCGTAAAATAATTTACATAACCACAACACATTCAAATTTAGATATGACGAAGAGTCTGTGGTATAAGTTAAAGTTGTATTACATATATTACAGTGTGCAGAATCCATACCCCATCAAGCTGCCCCTCTGTGCTCTTGGATGACACCTGCTCAACTTGCTTTTCCTACATGAAAAACATGTAAAGTCAGAGATCGATAATCTGTTGTGTGTGAGGTTAACTTAAATGAAAGGAAAGAAACGAACAGACACATTTAAGTGCCCCATTAATAAAGAGTTAGGTCACGCCACCTTTATTCCTCTGTAATGTTATTCCCATTTTCCGTGCCAACTTTTGCAGGCCACCCCTAAAATAACCAAGGGCAACAATAGTATAGCAAACTCCTATGATCTCACGAATAAAATGTTAGGCTCCATTATTTATAATATAGCTTGACCTCCCTTTCCGAAAGTGATACGATAGAATAATTATGCAGAAAGAATCTCTAGAAAAACTTCAATACTTCATACAATTTTTTTATTTCCTAACAAACTTACTTCATTGATTAGCAACTGATGACATGAATTATAGGGAAAAAAAAATCCCAGAATTTCTACGGTTACACCTGCTGTTAAAGGCAATGAGTCACATCCAAGATGCAACGCAAGCAATTTTTCTCCCACAGCACATAAATTTCAAATAAAACAATAATTCATCTACTTGGGGAACAATGGATTATCTTTTAGTTCCTAGCAATGATTAATTGTTTTCCATCACTGTTGATGACTTCAGAGCCTTGGATGCCTGAGTGTTGAGTACCTTCTCTGAAGGCTTCCTCTTTCTTTTCACAGTCACAACCCCTGTATCTTCTGCAGCAAAGTTGCAATTGCTTCAGTAAGGTAAAAATAAAATTTTATATTTTGAACCATGCAGCCAAAGCAGAAAACTTTGACATAATTATGGGCACAAACTTAAAATTTGGGTAACACATAATTTCGAACCATGCAGCCAAGTTTGGATTTTGGTATACCTTCAGCAGGACTGGATTCATGGTTATTTAGATGACCATTCTGCCCTGCCTCCTCTGAAAGAGGCGACTCAGACTGGCTTCCATACCCCTGCCGTGAAACAATTACATGTCGGTCATCCTCCTGCTCAGGTGCATCTGGAAGAGGATCAGCAGGCAAGAAGCGTAATTCACCATGTGACGAGTCTGAATCACTGAAAGCCGAATCTTTCTCCACATCTGTAATATCAACTTCCTCATCTTCATTGATAAGTGAATCCTTCACCTGAGACGACATAAACATATCACACATTAAAAGGAAAAAGGACAGGAAAGAAAATAAAAATATGTGCAACAATCCTGTTATTCACCTTTTCAGTTTCAGGCATTAAATCGAATTCATCTTCCCGTTCAACATACTCTTCGTTTTCCTCCAGCTCCTTAAAGTCTGGCGCAAATGCACTCCAATTCTCAGTATAATCTTTTGCCCAAATGTAAACCAAGCCAGTCAAGGATACAGATAGTACTATGGGACGAACAGGGTGCCATGCTAGATCCATTAATGCCTCTTTTGGGCCTTCAAGTATTTTCACAAGATGACCAGCCTTATCCCAAATATAGATCTTATGCTCTCCTTTGCTTGCAGAACCTCCAACAACCCACTCACCATCACCACTAAAACAAGGTGCTTTCCAGTGAACTTTTGTAATTGAGTCCTGAAACTCCCGAAATAGAGCTAAACTCTTTGATCCAATAGCCTTTAACTTTTCAATCTCATCCTTCTCATCTTCTTCTTGGTTTAAATTATCGAGGGCATTAAGCACATTTTTCAATGGCAGAAGATTTTCATAGATTCGGATAATCCTATCATTTGAATTTGTGAGAAGATATTGCCCATTCCTGCTGAATACAATGTTCTTAATCACAGCATTACCGGGAATAGAAAAAATAGCACGTACTTTGACACTATTATGATCAATAATAAGAATTTCCCCTTTAGAATTTCCAACATACACCAAATCTCCACACTTGTTGAAGCATGCAGCTGTAGGTGTGAAAGGAGCAGATCCATCTGAAAATTTGTTACGTGATGGTGGAGGGCCAGCACCATTTCCATTATCAGTCGGTGACACAGGAAGAACTGTTGTGCTTGCAGTATTCAGGTCCACAATCATAGGTGCAGATGACAGTGGACAAGCTAAGCAAATAGATGGAGTTGCAGAACCAGGATGCAGACGAGCTTGCAATGGTGTTTGTTGCAGAGTTAATCTTGCTATTTTTTCCCCTTTGGCAACATCCCAGAGTGTCAGCGATTTATCTGCAGCAGAAACAAGTATTCGATGCCCATACTTTGACCAACAGACACTGGTAATGGCAGCAATACAGTCCTTATCCCTCAGTTCTTTGGAGATGCCTCTGGTCTCAAAATCCCATATTACACAGCTTCCATCAGAGCACCCCGCTGGCCAGGTATTAATATATTAAACAAATTTAAATTATCACAACAATGTTACATTACATGTAAGTCGAACCAGGTTAGCATGATCAAACATATCACTACCCCCAAAAATATTAGCAAGTAATTTCATTGTATATGAAGGACATACTGCCAGGTACTCTGCACAACATATATAGTTTGCAAGTGAATTCATTGTCACTTCATTATAATGCTAATTCAAGTTGTTTTTTTAGAAACTTCCAACTCCTCCACCACCATTGCCGGCTCAAGGGAAGTGGGAATACTCAGGATTCACTTTGTTCGTAAAGACATGTTGGAAAAACAAAATATGTAAAGTCTTGCAAACATTCTTTATTCCATCACATAAACTTGGGCCAATTACAGATTCAATCCGGGCAAGATTATTAAGTAAAATATGGAGTCAACACAAAATCGTACCAGCAACAAGGGTTCCGCGGCGATTGAAGGCTATGCACTTCATTACTCCATACTCCAAGTACTCCTCTATCACCTCTGGGAAATCTCCCTGCAGTGGGTCTACACAAAATCCATACATAGCCGATAAATGGAACTTCCACGGAGTCGTAACTCGAAGAACAATTAACATCCCAAGAAGGAAGAAACGCTGCGATAATATTACCATACATACCGAAAAAATGAAGAAGAAGGCTCACCAATTATAGGGGTGTTCATCGATCACCGTGTCTCAGAAATCGATTCAAGCTTCTTGCAGATAATCTAATCACACAAAAATGGAAGCGGAAACGGACATATAGATCAAAATTACTGAGTCGAAATAGCGGATTTCTTCAAAGAAATGTGGGTTTCATCTCAACAAAATTCGGGGGTTTGCATAAACGAAGCAAGAGAGGTAACGATGATTGCCGTAAGATGAATGTGCGGGGAATTACGGGAGATTAGGGTTTCAGCGTAGCGGGAAAGAAGGGGAAGTGAGCAGACTGACTAGCCTTGGAATGTTACGAGGGTAAAATTGTAATTCGACTTGTTCCGATCCCCAGTTAGACTTGCCCATTCGGTTTGGAACCGCCGGTTTTCCGGTCTTCGAACCGACTGTTACGGTTCAAACCAGAACTGGACACAAATCGAACCCAAAGCGTAGTCGGGTGCTGTAAGATTAAAAAAATAAAAAAAAATCAATTGTCAATGTAAATGTAAGTATATTATTGAAGTTGAATAATATTTATTTCGTCCCACATATAATATCATATTTTTTATTTTTATCCGTTTCATACTTACTTTTTTTCAAAATAAACAATATTATATATTTTAATTATATTTTAAATTTTATAATTTATAATTTTTATTAAATTAATTGATTATCTTAATATTAATTTATAGTATTTATATTATATTGTATTTAATTTTACTAATATACTTTTAAATTATTTACTAATTTTATTCTTCATAAATTCTGATATTTATATTAATAGTGACACAATATATGAGACTGAGAGAGTATCCATTTGTATTTAAAATTAAAAACAAAGTTTGTTTGGGGAATTAGAATGAATTTACCCTATTCATCTAATTTTTTTTTTTTCAAAAACATCAAATTAAACACCTATTTTTTATTTTTTATATTATACTAAAAATTAATTTTACATTCAAAATATCACATCAATTTTTACATTGACATCCCAACTCAAAATCCAAACCCCAAACAAACACACCTTAAAAGTAACGGTCTACTATTGCTTGTTCATTTTAATATAAATTGAGACGTATGGCTTTCAGAATCAAATATAATTAACTTATTTTAACGATTAAATGAATACTTAATTATTCTTGCTTATAACATAATAGTTGAATATTAACATTTTTATTTAAAATATTATATTTTTAAAAATTAAAACCATGTATAACTTTTTCTCTTTGTTTATTTAATTTGTAATGAATAGTGTAAAAATGCAACTGAACTTGTTTTAGCTTGTTGAATTTTAGAACATCTTTAATAAAAATATTGTTTGACAAAATATCTTAAATAAATATACTTCAGTATGTAATATTGTTCAAGGTGAAAAGGGATTTTAACATTTGTTAAAAAAATAGAAGAAATATACATGCATATGTATATATTCTGTTTAAGACTCTATTTGTTTGGGAGTTTGAATTTTGAGTTAAAATTTAGATAGTAAAAATTTTAAATTTGAATAATTGTATGATGTGATATAAATAGGTATTGATGTGATGTTTTGAATGTAAAATTGATTTTTTAGTATAATATAAAAAAAAAATAAGTGTTTGATTTGATATTTTTTGGAGGAAAAAAATGGGATGAATAGTGTATTTAAAAAATCCAATCCCCCAAACAAACACACCATAGAACATATAAATTATACACCCTCCGTCCGGCTCTCATTTACCTTTTGTTATTGTACTTAATATAAAAAATATATGTCATGTACTATATTTTTATATAATAAATAATATTAAAAAATAACACTTAAAACGTAAATAGAATCCTTAGAGTCGGACGAAAATAAATATATATATATATAAACTCAAAGATATTAAGGCAGTCTACAATGGGAATATAAATCAATACATTGTTTAATGTATGTAAAAAAACAAAATGATTTTCAGCATTCAGCAACAAATTCATGCCTCAATATGCCTTATCATATATCTAAATTTTGAAAACTTCAATTCAAAAATTTCAAAAGTTAGGTATAAAAAGTGCATGTAAATGTCTCCAAATAATATGAAGAAAAACCAATGTGGAAAGTAAGAAGGAAAACAGAAATGGATGAATGAGATTCAAGCCAAATCCATTACTTACATTGGATTGTCCTACAAATGTGTCCGAGTGGCGCTTAGATCGATCGCCACATTATGAAGAAACTAAATGAATTTCGCGGCAAAACTTCCCCCTTCCATTCCACCCTCCAACACTTGTTCCCTACAAAATGCGGCGTATTTTTATTGATAAAAAATATCAAAAAGAACCTCACAAAACGGAGTCCTGCGAGTTACACTTTGATTCTTCCACACAGACGCCAATATGCATCTTGGTGGAATAGAGATTTCTCAAAAACCCATATATCGCGAACGAGCACCTGGTAATAACAGCTCTAGTGTCATAAATATATATTGGAGAACAACAAAACATCTTTATCAATATATATATATATATATATAAGTTGGACAGAGCCTAATTTGATGATGTTTGTTGTGTAGAACCTAATAACTCTGACAATTTTCAGATGCCAGAAAAGGACAGTAAAATTTTGACCGGTAAATTTGTTGTTGCAGGTTTCTATATGGTTCATAAGGGAGAACAGGTGAATGTATGCCATTATATAGCATATGATTTACATGATTTACAAGGTCACATTTATTGGAAATGCATATCAGGTATCTAGGGACTAGGGTAGGCTTACCAAAGCCGTATTGAGAAGCTTATTCAAAAACGATATGTGCCTTAAACTAGTCAAATGAATTTCGATAGGCCAATGAGGAATAACATCAGTAGGGATTGCAGAAATACAGCCTACCTCCTTGTTTTTGTCACCGGAAACAACAGCTCCATTTGAGTCATATGCTTCGAACTTCTGCAAGAACATAACGTATACATGAAAAGCTTTTACATATCCTATCAATGAAAGCTTCAATATTCATTGATCAACATTCCATTTTAAATATTATTATTCAGTACTAACTGGTTTTTATTACAGCTACTACATCCTCAAAGTGGTTAACCTTGTAAAAATGATTGAGTAAAAAAAAACGCTATGCAACGGGCATTTGGGTGCCAATTACAGACAGGAACACCTGTAATTGCAAGAAATTTCTCAAAATACATTACCTGATTGCTAACAAACTCCATAGTAAGTTGAACAAACACTTTATTGAGGTCCTTTTTATCTACACCAATCTGCAAAAGACATGGATTCCGAAACAGTCATGAATAATGAAGACTTGATTATTCTATGAACTCACCGTCAAGTTCAGCAAACCCAAGAATTGATACATATAATGATACAATCTATTTTGAAGATTCATTCCTAGTACATACCAATCTTGGAGGATCGAACTTGATCAATTCTCTATGTAATATCTGGCCCTCACTTTTAATAAAGATTTTCTTTTCTACGAAAATGATTGCTTCTAAATACACAATAAAAACAGGCCAAAGTACTTCTATTTATCTTATATAGGTACTTGCCAGTCGTGCCCGCAGAGTGCGTATTTTAACAAGCGGCATAATTAGTTCCCAGTAAACATGACTCCAGACTTTCTCTCGATTCTTGATTTCATTCTTCAAAGCCTGTTTTGAAAATTGGATTAATAAAAATGTGATCAATGAGATTTACTTATGCAAGCAACCAACAGCCACGTGCAAAGTAATTTGCAAGCAGCAAGATGGTGACTTCTTAAAACAATGTTCAAGCAAACATGACGCTATATCAAATGCTTGTGCCAGTGAAACGTACAGAACACATCAACTCTGTTGTGTGTTTCCTCAACAATCTTATGTCTCCATTTGCCATTAGGGTGTTTATCTGAATGATTGGACAAGGGGAAAAATCAGAAATTAAAATTCAAGTTCAAGGTACACAAGACAAGAATCTAACATAATTCATACTAGCAAAAGAAGACCTCTTTGTATAGATTAGCAGCTTCTTGATAGAACTTTTGTTTCGAGTACCCAGATTTTCTCAATTTTGCAATAGCATAAGCACTCTTTAGCTGCAAATAAGATCGTGCCAAAGAAACACAATTTAAAAAACACTTGTTAAGTCTTTATCTGGAGAACAAAAAGAAAACAACAAATGAAAAGAAATGCAAATATCTTGGAACATTCATGGAGATGAATATTCAACTAAATTTGTTTGGTAGTTGTGATGAAACAAATATATATATATATATATATATTCCAGAATGCAATCAGAAGTCCCCTTATGTTTCAGGTGACGCATAAATAGAAAAGAAAGTGGTTATAGCCAATGCTTAACAGCAGTAGATGAAATACTCAATGGGCTTTCATGATCAATCACCTTCCAACAATCAAACAGCAGAGCATAAACCAAAACAAAAACACCACATCTGAATTAGTTTCAAGTTTTATCTTAATCATAAATTAAGTACCTCTAGAAAGATATCTTCTTTTGTTCTTTTCCAACCAGATCTAGTAAACCATCTGATACCAACATAATAAGTTAGCCAAGGTTTCCAGAAAAACATTTGCATAAGATGATTGACATACTTTCACATGAGTATGTTGTCTCTAACAAAATCATGAACCTGAAGAACATAAGATAATATATATTATCTCGAGATCTTGACCCTAGAACAAAAGCATCAATAAAACTACCTACTTAGGATAATTGGTATCAGCTCTAAAGGGCGGTGCAACTTCTGACTATATGTTGGAGGTTCATTTCCTACTTCCACAGTTTTACCTGCCTACAGTGAACATCATCATTTACATATCAAATATTTTCGAGAATTCGAGAATTTTCATCCAACCTAAAGCTGACTTATATAATTGACAAGTCATATTGTCCTCAACTTCAATTGCCTGCCATGCAAAATTGAATTAATGCACTACAACCAATACAAAAGAGAAAACTTGCATTAAGGATTGTATCTCTTGCATGTTTCTTAGGATAACTCATAGAGACAACATTAAAACATGCCAGTGAAGATTTCGGTGGATTAAACCTGCTTTTATCCCCATCGTAACAGCAAATTCTATTGATGGATGCAGGTTGTGTTAAATTAATATATTGGGATAGGTGGATGCCTAACCTCTATTCACCACAAACATTTTTTAAAAGGCAACAAATCATTACAATGCAGCAGCTACAATCAAACAAAGTCAGAGTAACTTGTATGTTTTCTTTAATGAACCATCAAAGATAATTTGTCAATATGCAAATTTCGAAATATCAAGACAGTACGAGCTTCAACACGGTCCAACATGCGACACTATTGAAATAAATAACACACACACAACATAAATGTCACTGCTCACCTACGCCAGAAAGGGATTTTTTCGCGGGGAATATATGGCTCATACACAAACCCAGGGCTCGTCCTTGCTACTTTCAGTGCCCCCTGCATACATAGAAGTTTAAGGATACGTCCGTGTGATAGCATAAGATGTAGTGCAGGCTAGCTGAATTGGAAGATATGACAGTACTGAATAGACAGAATACAGACAACTATACTGCATGCAGTATATCTGACAACAAACATGTATGTTTCCTGTGTCATATGACGTTGAACTTTAAAGAACCACAGTCACAATGCAGATTATAGAAAAGCAGAGTCAAAATAAAACCAAGACTTGCAGAACAATAGCGCACCATTTGTTGGGCTCGAGCAGGAGGGTTCTTTTGTACACTAAATAACCTGACGTAGTTGATGTTTGGTGAGCTGACGTCCTACAAGGCAATAAGTATGAAGTGAAAATAAAGGAAACCAGTTTTGACATATAATTAGCCATTGAAAACCAAAAAAAAAACAATGATCATGAATTGATAAATATTCAACAGTTTCACCTTAAATTGGTATATATACACATTTTGGAAGAACAATCAATAAAAACAAAAATAGCACATAAATCACTACACTCCCACCTACACCACATGAACTCATTAGCATCAGTATCCCTAGAAAACAATGAGGCAATCAATAAATCTTCCTAAGTAGACATAAGAGAACTTCCCTGCACTGATATGCAATTTTCATACTTGTGACAGAATCAGGAATATCATTGACATGGTAACTGACAGACACAAAGACGCTTTAGATTGTATAGAGCTGCAAGGATGATCACTTGTTCGCCTCTTTCCTAAATTTCCATACAACACACATAAAAGCTCCTACAGCGAACTAAGCAATGCACCAATATTCGATCTCCATTTTGATCAAATTAAAAGGTTAGAATTTACCGATTTCATCAGGCAAGGTGAATGCTCCAAGTTCGGCTCAATCCATCGGCAGGAATGCGTCAGATACGGAAGAACCCGGCGCGCAGACTGGATCAAAAATAAATAAAAAAATAATTACAATGGAATAACGACAGAAAGAGTGCGTAGAAGAGTGATGGATCACCTTTGTAAGAGCCTTCGCCATGGAGATGTGCAAGAGGTTGCGCTAGGGTTTAAGGATTGGAGATTCCGTTTTGCTTCGACGAGACTCAGTTTAGTGCTGGGGTTTGGGGTTTAGGACATCTCCAACCAACCCGCAAATAATTTTTAAATAATTTTTAATATTCTCTCTCTTAGTTTCACATTTGTAAATAAGTACAATATTTTAAAAATAAAATAATTAATAAATATATTAAATTAAAAATATATTAATAAAAATAATTATAATATAATATAAATAATTATATATTTGTATTAAAATAATTAATAAATTTAAATACTTTTCTAAAACAATAAATATAATAGTATAAAATATTTCTTCTATTTCATATATTTTATTTTTTTATTTGGGTGATGTGATGTGATAAAGTGTAGACAAAGATTAAAATATAATTAATTTGCATGGTGTTTGGGACGGAAGGAGTACTATTTTTTTACCATAGAAATTGAATTTAAAATAAAGATAATTAAAAAATAAAATTAATTAAAAAATGAAATTAAAATTAAAATATATAATATTTTTTAAAAAAGAAAATATTAAACTAAAATGACAGACGAAAATTAAAAAATTAAAAAGTAGAGGCAAGACTAAAATTACAAGATCAACAGGAATATCATTTTCTTAAGAAAAATTAGAGTTTGTCTCTTTTAAAAAAAATATTTAATATATATTTATTATTTGTATATTATTTTATATTTTACCTAAAAAAAGAAAATCAAACCAAAGTCAAAATAAATACACTCTTATTTATTTTATTTTTTTGTTGAATAATAATACTCCATTAATTTACAAACTAATATTCTACAAACTACAAGGTACAATAACTAGATCCTATTATTTTTTTTAAACACAAATTTTATTTTTTTATCTTTAATTTATTTAATATTTTTAATCTCTATCATTCATAAAAAAAAGATAATTATCTAAAAAAATCGTACCAATATACATCAAGACAATAGAAATTAGACAGAGAGGTAGTAATATGAATATATATATTTTTAAAATAACTCAAAACTTTTTTCCAATCAAGTTTTAATAAACTCTATTTTTAATTATTAAAGTACAAAATTTTTCAAGATTTAATCTATGCCGACGCAAATCGACGTTTCGTTGGCAGCTCGCATGGTGGATCCCACTTGATAAGCACCATCAATATTATGTGTTTTTTTTTTTTTTTCTTTTTTTTAAAAAAAATGTGCCATTGTTACTTTTCGAATCCTTATGAATAAATCTCAAATAATAGATAAATAACTTTGATTTTATGTTGTGTAGGGTGTTGATTACATGTCCTAGTTAACCCCCCCTTAAGGGTTGGGTTCATCCGTCTAAATTTATCCAGTTTAACCGGTTCACCCGATCAAAATTAAATACGGGTGTATTTATTTGTTTATATTTTTTTATTTTGTTAAAAATCAAAATCTAATTAATTTATCAAATATTTGCATAATAGTCCCTATAATTTTCCTTTCAATTCTTTCATTCATTTTTCTCTGTTCTGCAAATTAATTTTACCATAAGACTTCAATCTTTCTCTATTCTGCATTCTTCAAATCGACTTCACCTTTCGACCCAGTCCTTCCGCCTCAAGAAAACTGGGTAAATTTGGACCGATGATCCCAAGCCGTGTTTACTCGAACTAGACTTGTGTTGTCTTTGACTCTTGTGTAGTGTTACGTGTCTTGAGGCCCTAACCCTGAGATTGAATTGTTGCTTTCGTGTTCACATCGCCGATCGATCACCGGCATCTTGCTTGCATTCCATGGACGCAGCGCCGGTAGGGTTTTCTGCGCTTCCGTCTGGGGAGCCGGATGATGTTCAGAATTTCGAGGCGTCCGTGGCGGCGGTGGAGAGATTAATCAAATACCAATTTCGTGACATGAGGCGTCTCGAAGATGCCTTGATGCATCCATCCTATACAGACTCTTCATCCTATCAGCGACTCGAATTTGTAGGTGATGCCGCTCTAGGTTTGGCTATATCCAATCTTGTTTTCCTGCAGTACCCCGATGCCGACCCCGGCAAACTCTCGTTGGTGCCAGCAGCCAACATTAGCACCGAGAAGCTCGCCCGCGTCGCCGTCTGCCACCAATTTTATAAGTATGTTCGCCATAACATTGTTGTTCTTGACGAAAAGGTAATTTTCTTTTCTTTCTCTGTTTTCTGTGAAGAAATTTAACGCTGCTCTTTTGCAACTGGAATTTAATTTTACAAGGTTTAGATATATATATATATATATGATTTCTTCCTATCTACAAATGCAATATGTATGCGCGTCGTCTTCCTTTCTTTCTTTTTGTGGTTGTTTATACACAATTGTAATTTTAGTACATAGTGCTGGCGAATGCGTCAAATAACCACTGAAATGAGGGAATAGTCTCGTCGTATAAAAGTGCTGCGTAAAAAACCACTGTTTGTTTGTGGTGATTAACACCAACAAATAAGGCCAACGGACGATTTTCCCTAATATTTCTATATGTAGTGTCGAAAGAAACTACATCTCCAAAATCAATATAATCTGCTCGCATTCTCCCGTCAGCCCAAAATATGTTTGTAATCATACCATCTTCATCCACTTGAATAGAATACGAGAAATTTGAGTCTCTACTTTGCATTCCTTGCAAATGTTCTAACACCCCTCCAATATCTCCCACCTCCATGTACTTTGTCATCTTCGATCGCAAGTAATTTTTAATGTCTTGCCTTGTAAATCCCAAGTTATCCCGACTACCGGCTTCCTTAACCATTAAATCATGTGATAGTTTTGGAGCAAGTCCCACATGTTGGGCTATTTCAAATTGCGCAGCATGGACCTCGTCTATCCTCCTATGCGACATGAAAAAATGAGTCTTCTGAGGACTAGTGAGCTGATAAGTGTATTGAGAAATAAACTCAAACACTTCGTATTTCTCATTATCTTTCAATTGAATTCTCATCATTTCCTTACACCCGAATCTTGTTATTGCCCGAGGAGCTCTTATATTATTATTTCTTTTATCTTCCCCCTTGTACTTTCGGCACTGCAAGAAAACATTCTAAATTTTATCCTTCTTGTTCGATCTCTATGCATTTTATGTCTTTTTATGCCAAAAACCTATCTCCTGGCATATGCTAAGTAAAACTAAACGTCTTCTTCATTGTCAAATTCTTTTCCAATTTGAGGTTTTTCTTCAATAGAAATATGATGATTATATGGTTGATCATCATTTTTTATATTCGTAAAGTTCAATCTACGTGAAGAGAAGAAGATTTATTCATGTCTGACTTATCAATCTCCATTATCTGTAATTTAAAAATTCAAACAAACATCATTTAAAAATTCAGCGAACATCATTTAAAAAGACTAATAATTTATCATAATAAAAAACTAAAAAAATCAACTTATCCACTTTGGCACAAAATGCCAATATAAATCAATAATAATCCATAGAGTAGATGGGTGAACAAATTCGACTGAAATAATACTACTATAGAAATTTAGAGAAAAGTAAAGTCTTAACTTCAAAATTATATAGACTTTATTAAAAATCAAATACAAGACCTACATTTCAAATCCTCTGCGGACATTCATCGAACACTTACTAAAATATTTCACAAATTTTAAAAATTATTATTGATTATTTTTCTATCCCATCTGAAGAGATTGTATGCAAATTAAATAAAATAATTGTGTTGTGTTAAGGTGTATAGATACAGTGTAATAAAAATAAAAAGATAAAAAAACCCGAGAGTGGGAAGAAAAAACGAGAAAAGTGAAAAAGAAAAACAAAATATAAAAAAAAAATTACCTGTTGTAGTTCTCTTGGCGGCGGAAGGAAGGACTAGGTCAGAAGGTGAGTCGATTTGGAGAACGCAAAATAGAGAAAGATTGGGGTTTGAGGGTAAAATCGATTTGCAAAACATAGAAAAATGAATGAAAGAATTTGGAGGGAAATGATAAAGACTATTGTGCAAATATTTGGTAAATTAATTAAAATTGGATTTTTAACAAAATAAAAAATATAAACAAATAAATACATATGTATTTAATTTTGATTGGATAAATCGGTTAAACTGAGTAAATTTAGACCGATCCGAACGCCGCTTGAATACATACATACAAATGCAATAATGCAGGCACCATGACAACGTGGAAAACCAATATCTGTCTCTGTCTCTGTCTCTCTCTCTCTCTCTCTCTCTCCATCTCTCTCACTCTGTCTCTGCAAGAGTCCACCAATTTTGACCATTCTCTTATCCATCCATCCATCCATCCATCCAAATCAATACCCCAAATCTATATATGAAATCCAATAATATTCAGGATTCATTCACAATAATCACTGATTACATTCATGGTAGATTAATGGAGTTTTTCAAGATTCCAGCACCCGCCATGTATCTTCTTCTTCTTCTTCTTTCACTGTCCAATCATCGGTTGATATGTGCAGAGACAGAGAAATCAGTGTACATTGTCCACATGGACAAGTCCCACATGCCCATGGTTTTCTCCACGCGCCGCCACTGGTACAACTCATTGATGGCCTCTCACGCGCCGCCGCAACGCAACCCCATCTACGTCTACGACAATGCCTTCCACGGCTTCAGTGCCCTGCTGTCGGAAAACCAGCTCCAATCCATGTCCGCCACGCCGGGATTCGTCTCCGCCTATCGAGATACCGTCAGAATCTCCGCTGACACCACGCGCTCCGTCGACTTCCTCTCCCTCAGCACCGCCGCCGGAATATGGCCGGCGTCGCAGTACGGCGAGGACGTCATCATCGGCGTCATCGACACCGGAATTTGGCCGGAGAGCCCGAGCTTCCGCGACGACAGGATCGGAAAAGTCCCCGCCCGGTGGAAGGGGATCTGCCAGGCCGGAGAACAATTCAATTCGTCGCACTGCAACCGGAAATTGATCGGAGCTAGGTACTTCAACCGAGGAGTTCTGGCGGCGGATCCAAATATTACGATTCCGATGAACTCCGCCAGGGATATCGACGGCCACGGCACTCACGTCGCCTCCACCGCCGCCGGGAGCTTTGTCTCCGGCGTTTCGTACTTCGGCTACGCCGGAGGCGTAGCGAGAGGCGTCGCGCCGCGCGCCAGACTGGCAGTGTATAAGGTCTTGTGGAATGTCGGCAATGGCGGCGTGGCTGATCTTCTAGCCGGAATCGACCAGGCCGTCACCGATGGCGTCGACATTCTTTCGATTTCCCTGACGACAGGCCCCAGCAACATTAACCTTTACGAGAATCCTCTTTCGATCGCCAGCTTCGGCGCCCGGGAGAAAGGCGTCGTCGTGTGCTTTTCCGGTGGGAATCGGGGGCCGAGCGTTAGGACAATCCGGGAGAAGGGAATCCCGTGGGCGATAATCGTGGCCGCATCGACCATCGATCGTTGGTTTGCCGGAATCTTGACTCTCGGCAACGGAAAATCCATCACTGGGTGGACTCTTTATCCAGGAAAAGTTTCGGTTCAAAAACTGCCAATTGTCTACAACGAGACATTATCCGTTTGCAATTCGATCCTGTCGGAGCTAACCTCCGACGTAATAATCGTATGCAATCTGACCCTCAACCCGTTCATCGACAGCATACTATTCAATCTCCCGCTCTCCCGCGCCCGGGCGGCGATCATTGTCGGCGAAGACGCCACCGTTTTCGAATCCACGTCGTTCCCTTTCCCGGGAACGGTAATCACCCCAGCCGAGGGACAGGAGGTGCTCGACTATATATCGAGCACCGCTGCCCCCCGGGGGAGTATTAGTTTCAAGCAAACAATTCTCGGTCCAAAGCCGAGGCCGGCTCCGGCCTTGGCGCAATTCTCGTCCCGGGGCCCGGCCCGGAGCTACGAAGGGATATTAAAGCCCGACATTACGGCGCCAGGGGTGCTGATCCTCGCGGCATTCAGCCCTGTTGTGTCCGGGCCGAGTATCGGCAACAACACTCGACTATTTAGTAACTACACTCTCTTGTGGGGGACTTCCATGGCCTGTCCCCATATATCGGGTGTCGCTGCCCTTTTAAAGGCGGCGCATCCCGACTGGACCCCATCGGCGATCCAATCCGCGATAATGACGACCGCCGATCCTCTCAACAACGTAAAGCAACCGATCAGGGAGACCGACGGCACGCTTGCCTCGCCGCTTGCCATCGGATCGGGATTAGTTGATCCGAACCGCGCGCTAAGTCCGGGCCTTGTTTACGACAACACGCCGCAGGACTTCGTGAACCTCGTTTGCGCATTGAACTTCACGGCGAACCAAACCCGGACACTCATCCGGTCGAGCTACAATTGCTCGGCACCGTCGCCTGACCTCAACTACCCGTCGTTCGTCGCGGTTTTCCGGCCTCCCGACGAGGGGCGGACGGTGACGAGGCGATTTGAGAGGATTGTGACGAATGTCGGGGACGGCGCCGCCACTTATACAGCGAGCGTGGAGGCGCCGGGGAATACGACAGTGAGGATCAGTCCGGCGAGGTTAATTTTCCGGCGGAAGTATGAGAAGGTGAAGTATAGTTTGAGTGTGAGATTTGTGGCGAGTCTTGATGAGCAACACAGGCCTGGATCGGTGACGTGGACTGATCAGACAGGGAAGTACAGTGTAAGAAGTCCTCTTATGGTCTCCGCCGGCGCTGAATTCTTTGAGTAGTTTAGGATTCCGATGGGGAATTGTAATGTAACGCCGGCTGTCTTGTCGGAAAAAGTATCGGGCGCGGCTTAAGAAAGGGAAGATAAATAAGTGCCTGATTATGTTGTAATTTTAACGAAGAGTATATATATATATATGTGTGTATTTGTGCTTTATATTCTTTGATGCTATTTTATTATACAAAGTATTTTTTTATTTTGTTTTTCTGTTATTATATTTAGTAAAAAGTTGGATAATTTTTTGTATTTTTTTGTCATAAAAAATTAAAAATTAATAATATCAATCAATTTTACAAAAAAAAAAATCCATCTTGGAATCCAAATTGATTTGAAGATCAACTATAAAGTGCTCTGATATCATCCTGATGAAACAAAGTGGAAAGAATGCTATCAGATCTAATTTGCATTCTATTAAATTTGATTAGACGTTTATCCAAAATGAATCCGAACTCATAGGTAAGTAACACCAGCTAATTCTTATATTATAAAAAAAAATAAAAAAAATTGAATTCATGTACAAAGAATGTAAAATATAATAAAATAGATTCATACTTCCTTTGTATTAAACCTATACTTTTACCATGTTTATCTTCAAACTATTTTTTTTTTCTATTTTAATAAAAGTAATTACGATATTTTTTAACTTTTTTTACTTAAATTGCAAATATTATATTATACATGCAATTACTTCAAAATTTTCAAAATATTTTTCACATTTTCACTAATTAATAAAATAATTTTAGGTTTTAATATACTACAAAACTGCACATAACTCATTTGAAGTATGGCGAAAAGAGTATTAAATTCGTACCAAAAATTTAAGCCAACATTTTTAGATGAGTGTAACATGCCCGAAAGCTAACATACTCGGCGCCTAGGCCACGCCCGCGCTGAGGCCCAGAGTAGTTATCTCATGTGCGCAACATGCCCGGAATATACTATACAATATGGAAAAAGTATGCGGAATATGCACCGAGACAAATGTCATCAATCACAAGGGACGGATTATCACCGAGAACCTGGGGCAAAAATGTGAACCTGTAACAATACTCCCCCACTTCAAGTTGCAAACGTCCTCATGCGACGCTACTCAAGTACACCGATGTTGTTTCTTGCACCTGTCAGCATGCCTCCAGACGTCAGTCTGTCGACCCTTTCCTGCAAATCTACATTCTTTGTGCTCGCCAACAACCAACGAGGTTTACCATAACCAAGCCACATGCAACTCACATTCTGCCTCTCGTCTCCGCACATCATCCGGGACATTCTTTGTTGCAGCATGTGCATATTTCGCTCGAAGATCTTTAATGTGGTTTTTCCCTTACGAACAAAGCTCAGCCACCTTGGCTCATCAACAACTTCAAGCGTACTCCCCCACTCTAGAAGTACTCCCATTTGGAATGTCTAACTCAGTTAGAACATGCTTATCCTTAACGTGTCACATACATGCTCCTCACCCGAACAATGTCTCATTTGTTCGCTTTGTTCGTCACCAACATAGAGGTCCACTCTGATACTATATGTAACGTGCCTGGAAGCTGATATATCCGACGGCTAGGTTACGCCTGCGTTGAAACCCAAATCATCTCATACAGTATATGAGAAGTATGCGAAACACATATTTCCACCATGACATATCCCATCAATCAGTCATACAAAATAGGAGCTCGTGCACCCTGAGACGAATTATGGCAAAGAACTTGACAAAAATATTAACCCGTGACATGAGGTATGGAGCAATATGTTCGCTTCAACCCTGCTATAACCAAGTTTCTCATACTAAAGTTATTTCTTTTAATTTACAATTTTTTTAATGATTTTCTTCGTTTATGATTATAATTGACTATTAACCAGATTCATAATGTTAATCATTTGTAAGTAAATTACAACATGATCAGGCACTAATTTATTTCCCGTTTCCTTAAGCCGCGCCTGATACTTCACCACCGACAACCGGCATTACAATTCCACGCCGGAATTTAAAACTACTCAAAGAAATCAGCGCCGGCGGAGACCATAAGAGGGCTTCTGACACTATATTTCCCTGTCTCATCATTCCACGTCACCCATCCAGGCCTATTTTGCTCATCGAGACTCGCCACAAACCTCACACTCAACCTATACTTCACCGTCTCGTACTTCCGCCGGAAAACTAACCTCGCCGGACTGATCCTCACCGTCGTGTTCGCCGGCGCCTCCACGCTCACCGTATAAGTGGCGGCGCCGTCCCCGACATTCGTAACGACCCTCTCGAATCTTCTCGTCACCGTCCGCCCCCTGTCTGGCGGCTGGAACAGGGCAACGAATGACGGATAATTAAGGTCGTGCGACGGCGTCGAGCAATTGTAGTTCGACCGGATGAGCGTCCGGGTTTGGTTCGCCGTGAAGTTCAATGCGCAAACGAGGTTCACGAAGTCCTGCGGCGAGTTGTCGTAAACAAGGCCCGGATTTAGCGCGCGGTTCGGATCGACTTGGCCTGATCCGATGGCGAGGGGCGAGGCGAGCATGCCATCGGTCTCCCTGATCAGTTGTTTTACGTTGTTGAGAGGATTGGCAGTCGTCATTATCGCAGATTGGATCGCCGACGGGGTCCAGTCGGGATGCGCCGCCTTTAAAAGGGCGGCGACACCCGATATATGGGGACAGGCCATGGAAGTCCCCCACAAGAGAGTGTAGTTACTAAATAGTCGAGTGTTGTTGCCGAAACTCGGCCCGGACACGACGGGGCTGAATGCCGCGAGGATCAGCACCCCCGGCGCCGTAATGTCGGGCTTTAATATCCCTTCGTAGCTCCGGGCTGGGCCCCGGGACGAGAATTGTGCCAAGGCCGGAGCCGGCCTCGGCTTTGGACCGAGAATTGTTTGCTTGAAACTAATACTAGCACGGGGGGCAGCGGTGCTTGATACGTAATCGAGCAACTCCTGCCCCTCGGCTGGGGTGATAACCGTCCCCGGGAATGGGAACGACGTGGATTCAAAAACGGTGGCGTCTTCGCCGATGATGATTGCCGCCCGAGCTCGGGAGAGCGGGAGATTGAATAGTATGCTGTTGAGGAACGGGTTGAGGGTAAGATTGCATACGATTATTACGTCGGAGGTCAATTCCGACAGGATCGAATCGCAAACGGATAATGTCTTATTGTAAACAATCGGTAGTTTTTGAACTGAAACTTTTCCTGGATAAAGAGTCCAACCGGTGATGGATTTTCCGTTGCCGAGAGTCAAGATTCCGGCGAACCAACGGTCGATGGTCGATGCGGCCACGATCATCGCCCACGGGATTCCCTTCTCCCGGATTGTTCCGGAGCTCGGCCCACGGTTCCCGGCAGAGAAGCACACAACGACGCCTTTCTCCCGGGCACCGAAACTGGCGATCGAAAGGTGATTCTCGTAAAGGTTAATGTTGTCGGGGCCTGTCGTCAGGGAAATCGAAAGGATGTCGACTCCGTCGGCGACGGCTTGGTCGATTCCGGCGAGAAGATCCGATCCGCCGCCGCCGCCGACACTCCATAAAACCTTATACACTGCAATCCTGGCACGCGGCGCAACTCCTCTCGCCGTGCCTCCGGCGTAGCCGAAGTACGACACGCCGGAGACGAAGCTCCCGGCGGCGGTGGAGGCGACGTGAGTGCCGTGGCCGTCGATATCTCTGGCGGAGTTCATCGGAATCGTAATATTCGGATCCGCCGCCAGAATCCCCTGGTTGAAGTACCTAGCTCCGATCAATTTCCGGTTGCAGTGCGACGAATTGAATTGCTCTCCGGCCTGGCAGATCCCCTTCCACCGGGCGGGGATTTTTCCGATCCCGTCGTCGCGGAAGCTCGGGCTCTCCGGCCAAATTCCGGAGTCGATGACGCCGATGATGACGTCCTCGCCGTACTGCGACGCTGGCCATATTCCGGCGGCGGTGCTGAGGGAGAGGAAGTCGACGGAGCGCGTGGTGTCAGCGGATATTCTGACGGTGTCTCGATAGGCTGAGACGAATCCCGGCGTGGCGGACATGGATCGGAGCTGGTTTTCCGATAGCAGGGCGCTGAAGCCGTGGAAGGCGTTGTCGTAGACGTAGATGGGGTTGCGTTGCGGCGGCGCGTGAGAGGCCATCAATGAGTTGTACCAGTGGCGGCGCGTGGAGAAGACCATGGGCATGTGGGACTTGTCCATGTGGACAATGTACACTGACCTCTCTCCCTCTACCTCTGCAGTAGCAGCAAGAACATGAACATGAACACGAAGTAGAAGAAACCATGGCAGAATCAGAATGAGAGGTTTCGAATGGGAAAACTTCATAGGGGTTTGGTGATTTCGGACAAGCTGTGTGCTGTGCTTTGTGGTATTCCAATTATTTACCCAATATCTTGTGCAGTTGAGTCTAGTGTCTGTTGATCTTGGACTTGGAGTAGTCAAACTTGGTGGGTCTGAGGAAATATTTATTTATTTTTATATATAAGAATTGATCATTAATTGCATAGCAACCTTGGGGCTTGCCTGGCCTATCTTCTAAATAGACCGTACCATGCATAAACAAGCATTCTTGATCATATTTAATAATTGTGCAGATCATAAGTCCATCCGATCTAGTAAATGATTAAGAGTTCGTTAACACAGATTTTTTTCGCCTAGTGTTTTTAGGTGAGCCATTCTAATTAATTTATTTGACAACAAAAATTAAAACATAAGACTTTTGAAAGAAAGAAAAAAAAAAAAAAAAAAATGAAGCAGAAAAGACACAAAAAATGTAGGAAATCAATGCAATATTTATGAGAGTGGAGAGTGGTAGATGTAAATGATAACATGTAGTACATTGTATAATTATTTTTAATATAAAATAAAAAGTAGAAAAAAAAAAAATAAATTTGATTTGATGTTGATTGGAAAATAAAATTTAATAAATAATAGAATTTTACATAAATATTGACGTGAAGTTGCAGCTCGATATCAATACAAACGAAGCCAAAAAATTATTTATTTATTTATTTTTAAAAAATATCTAATCAAATATTTATTTATTTTTTCAAATTAAATGCTATTTTAATTTAAAATTTTCATTAGAGTCAAATCGAACAACGGTGCTAATGCTTTCCACTAGAGTGGATGGCGGCGGCGTTCATGCAGTGGCCCGACTCCGACAGCTTTAAAAAAAAAAAAGCAGTTTTTTGCAATAATTGCATAAATTTTCCCAATCCACCAATCTTGACCATTCTAATCACTACAAAAATCCCCCAAACCGACACACAATCTGATCATTGAAGAATCAGGTTCAATTCAAAGATGAAAATTTTTCCCAGGATGATTCTACTGCCGCTATGGGGATTTCTCATCTTGTCCGATCATCGTCTTCAACTGGTCTGCGCAGAGAGATCAGTGTACATTGTCCACATGGACAGATCCCTAATGCCCATGGTCTTCTCCTCCCACCGTCACTGGTACTCTTCCCTCCTCCTCTCTGCCCAGACATCATCGGACTCCGACCACACTCTCAAACAAAAGCTTATCTACGTCTACCAGAACGCCTTCCATGGCTTCAGCGCCTTACTCTCAGAACACGAACTGGAAGCGCTCAACACGGCCCCAGGCTTCATCTCTGCTTACAAGAACACGCCCGTGTCGACCGAAACTACCCGCTCCGTCGATTTCCTCTCCCTCAGCACCGCCGCCGGAATATGGCCGGCGTCGAAGTACGGCAAGGACGTCATCATCGGCGTCGTTGATTCCGGAATTTGGCCGGAGAGCCTGAGCTTCCGCGACGACGGGATCGGAAAAGTCCCCGCCCGGTGGAAGGGGATCTGCCAGGCCGGAGAACAATTCAATTCGTCGCACTGCAACCGGAAATTGATCGGAGCTAGGTACTTCAACCAGGGGATTCTGGCGGCGGATCCGAATATTACGATTCCGATGAACTCCGCCAGAGATATCGACGGCCACGGCACTCACGTCGCCTCCACCGCCGCCGGAAACTTCGTCTCCGGCGTGTCGTACTTCGGTTACGCCGGAGGCACGGCGAGAGGCGTCGCACCACGCGCCAGGCTGGCCGTGTATAAGGTCTTGTGGAGCGTCGGCGGCAGCGGAGCCGCTGATACCCTCGCCGGAATCGATCAGGCCGTCGCCGACGGAGTCGACATTTTGTCGATCTCCATCGGCGCTGGATTCGACGATTTCAATCTTTATCAGAACTCCCTGTCGATCGCCAGTTTCGGCGCTCGACAGAGAGGTATCATCGTTTGCTTTTCAGCAGGTAATCGGGGCCCCGGAACCCGGACTATCCGGGACAAGGGGATCCCGTGGGCGGTAATCGTCGCCGCCGGAACAATCGACCGGTGGTTCGCCGGGAAATTAACTCTCGGAAACGGAAAATCCTTTACCGGATGGACTCTTTTTCCCCGGCAAGCTTCGATTAAGAACTTGCCGGTTGTCTACAACGAGACATTGTCCGCATGCGATTCGACATTGTCGGAGCTCACCGAGGAAGCGATCATCGTGTGCAAAACCGAGCCCGGATCGGTGTTTCTCGACAGCACGTTGTTAAACGTGGCGCGTTCGAAAGCCAAGGCGGCGATCGTCATCGGCGAGGATCCGAAGATTTTCAGGACGACGATGTTTCCGCATCCGGCGACCGTCGTCAGCCTGTCGGAGGGCCAGGAGGTGATCGATTACGCGACGAAGGGTTCGTCGCCGACGGCAACGATCGAATTCCGGCAGACGATCGTCGGTCCTGGCCGGAAGCCGGCTCCGGCCCTGGCGGAGTTTTCATCCAGGGGACCTGCCAGGAGCTATGAAGGGATCCTGAAGCCCGACGTGACGGCGCCGGGAGTGCTGATCCTCGCCGGAAACAGCCCGGGAGTGGCGGCGGCGGCCATTAATGAAACGAGCCTGTTTAGTAACTACACGCTCCTGTGGGGGACTTCCATGGCCTGTCCGCACGTTTCCGGCGTCGCCGCCCTTCTGAAGGCGGCGCACCCCGACTGGAGCCCGTCGGCGATCCAATCGGCGATGATGACCACCGCCGGGCAGTTGGACAACGCCGGGCACCCAATCAGGGAGGAGGACGGTTCGCCTCTGTACGCCTCTCCTCTAGGAATCGGGTCGGGTCAGGTGGATCCGAATCGGGCGATGGATCCGGGTCTGGTGTACGACAACACGCCGAAGGACTTCGTCGACCTCGTCTGCGCGATGAATTTCACGGCGAATCAGACTCGGACGATCCTAAGATCGAATTACAATTGCTCGACTCCGTCGTCGGATCTCAATTACCCGTCGTTCGTCGCCGTGTTTCAGCCGCCGGAGGAGGGGCGGACGCTGACTAGGAGGTTTCAGAGGACGGTAACGAACGTCGGCGCCGGCGCCGCTACTTACAGTGTACGCGTAGAGGCGCCGGCGAACACCACCGTAAGTGTCCGGCCGGCGACGCTGGTTTTCCGGCGGAAGTACGAGAAGGTGAAGTATAGTTTGAGTGTGAGATTTGTGGCGAGCCTTGATGAGCAACACAGGCCTGGATCGGTGACGTGGATCGATCGGACGGGGAAATACAGTGTGAGAAGTCCGATTATGGTCTCCGCCGGCGCTGATTTCTTCGAGTAGTTTCGCAATGTTTTCATGTGGCTGTAATTCGAGAAATAAAATTGTCTGCTTGTTTATTTGTCGATTTTTCAATATTTTTTATTATTTATTTTTTTTAGAAAAAATACTCCATCGATCATTCATTCAAGTACTCATTTTGATCGAATACAAATTTTAAAAAAATAAATAAATATTTACAATAAATTTAGATGATAATTAAAAAAATTAGTAAAAATAAATTTAAGCAAAAAAAAAAGAGTATTAAATTTAATTTTTAATTTTCATTGTTTTACACCACTCCTTCTCGGTCGGATATTTTTTTCTTCTTTAATAAATGTTTCATAATGTTATCATACAGTATTATTTATTTTCTAAGTACCAATTTATTTTTAGATTAAAATAAATTATTCGAATGGAATAAATATTATATTTAAAATTCTATTTCAATAATTATTCATGTCATAATCCTAAATCCAAAAATTTCTGCGTCCATTCGTCTCTGGATTTCTCGTCTGGAATGGTAATGGCGAATTCGGTATCCTGCGCGCCTATTTTCTCGTTTCGCGCCGCCTATCCAGTACGGAGACTGCGCTTCGAAGGATACTCGGCCAGTTGTTTCGTAAAGTGCAAGACATCCTTAAGATGTAAATTTGGCGCTCAGGAGTTCCTTTTGCGAACAAGAGCTGCTTCTTCCGAATCTTCTTCTTCTTCGTCCTCGGAGGTCCACAGATCGGAGCCAATGGTTCCCCCATATAACGTTTTGATTACTGGTTCTACGAAAGGTTAGGTTTATTTTAATTTTGGGGTTCAAACTGCAGCTGTTGTTCGCTTTCATTTTTATTTCAATGGCGAACAGTTCCATTTTACTTGATGCTCGACGAATTCGTGGCATTAAAGTGTCGAACGGATGCGACGGGAAGAAGTGCCATTTGGAATTTTATCCTTGATTCTGGTTTCGAAGCATTCGCTGTTGAACATGAAGACTCTGTTCTGATTAAGATTCTAACCAGAAGCTTCCGTTTAGAATTCTTTCGTTTATCGCACGGACACAACCTAATACCGATTGCTATTTCAATCTTCATGATTTGGATAATGAAATTTGAAGAAAGATACCTCTCTGCTGATAGGATGATGATAAAACTTGAGAAGAAAACTCTGCAACAATAGATTCATAGTTCTTTTCTTTACTGTTCATCTGAATTGTTAGTCGAAAATGTGATCCAGTAGCTAGTTTCGCAGTCATTCGAACTCAGGCTGCACCGATTCTTCGCAGGTATTGGTTATGCACTTGCAAAGGAGTTTCTGAAGGCTGGAGATAATGTCATTATATGCTCCCGTTCGGGTAAAGAGTTTATATGGATTGTTCTTTGTTGAATAATCGGCTCATTTTATATGATTGCTGAGCTTTTGCAATGGCTAATTTGGTATACTGCTGATTTACAGAAGAACGAGTGAACTCGGCACTTGAAAATTTGAAAAAGGAGTCGGGGAAGCAGCATGTGTGGGTACCTCCCTTGAAACTTTAGCATGTTTTACGTATTATCATCGCATTTTTGCTTCTTAAAGTTCCTTTTACTTGTAATAGAATTATAAGTTTGGATGGGGAATCGAAAGAAACATTTTGATGGTTTGATCTCTATTCGATTTGAACTTGTTTAGTTGGTTATGGCCTTGTATACCACACTTGTCGATATAGCTGGATTTTTAGCACCATTTTAGGTAATCACCTCAGTAGCTTGAAGTTTTGTGGTCTACTTAGTACATGGTTACATAGAACGGTGGAATTGGATTGAATTTTCGATAATTTATCCTATGGATGATTTCATCCCATTGACAAACATGGCTAGTAATTGATATGCTCTGCACTTGACAACACATTCGATTCGAAAACCTCTGATTCTTGGATTGTGCATTCTTCCCATCGTACGTATTTGTATTTTTGTTCTTCTCGTGAACATGGCTCTGATTTTTCGATATGGTTATTTCGCTGAGCTGCATATGATTGGATGTGTTTTTATGTCATTCATGTACTTATACGACAGTTCTTCCTAATGCAGGGTACTAAATGTGATGTGAGAGAAGGGGAAGATGTTAAGAAATTAGTCGCGTTTGCGCAGGAAAATCTTAAATACGTAGATATATGGGTACTTCTCTTTCTTATGCTTGTGCAGATTATCTTCGAGTTAACCTGAAACTTGACCCAACATTAATTTGTTAGCTCGAGTTAGAAGATTGGTAGTTAGTATTCCGATTTCTGGTCTCTCTTACTCCACCTTCAGAATGATGCAGATAAACAATGCAGGATCTAATGCCTATAGTTACAGACCATTAATGGATGCATCCGACGAAGATTTAATGTGAGCTCTCGATATATCTTCCCTCTTTGTTTCCTCTAAACGATGATACAGTTAGTGAGCGCACTCGGTTTTCTAAGCAGCGAAGTTGTCTCTACGAACACGATTGGTTTGATGATATGCTGTCGAGAGGTAAGGCAAGTTCTGAGGGTTGTTTCTTGTGGATCGAGCGAAACATTGGCAGACTAATGCAAGATTGTTTCAGGCCATAAAGATGATGCAGTCGCAACCTCGAGGCGGACATATTTTCAACATCGATGGTGCTGGCTCGGATGGAAGACCTACCCCAAGGTGTTATTCTTCGTCTATTATCTTCTTTATAGCTATATTGATTGATAAATTGTGCGCATCTATCTTCTCCGCAGGTTCGCTGCTTATGGAGCAACCAAACGTAGCGTCGTGCATCTAACCAAGTCATTGCAGGTGAATTTTTTTTGAAAATCTCTTTGTAAGATTGCTATCCAAATCATTTCTCTACCATATATAGTCTAGCTGTGTTTCTTTTTAGATCGTCGGGTGGATGATCCCTTGAATGCAGTGTCTCGTAAATCGATTGTTCGGGCTGAAAGTATCGAAACAATTTGATGGATTGGGGTCGAATTTTTTCCATTTGTGTGACTTTGTTTCTCTCGACAGGCAGAATTGAAGATGCAGGATGTCAACAATGTCGTCGTGCACAATCTTTCGGTACGCATCTTAAATCCACGACAATGTTTGAAATCTCATCAATCACGCCGTAAATTCATATCTCTGCACATATGGCATCGAAAGAAATCAAATGCTTCCTTCTGATTAATATATTGTGTTTCTCATTCTACGGCAGCCGGGAATGGTCACAACGGATCTTCTCATGTCCGGCGCAAGCACAAAACAGGTACCATTTTCTTCCCATCTTCTACATGCTCAGTTTCTCCAAGCTGTCGAAAACATGCACATTATAAAGCCATTTATTCCGGTTGCAGGCGAAGTTTTTCATTAATGTTCTGGCCGAGCCAGCTGATGTGGTGCGTCGATCTTCTTTTATGATAACCGCAGTCGATGTATGATGTGATCAAGTCTCTCCTTAAGTAATGTTGTCATGACATTCAGGTGGCTGAGTATCTCGTCCCACAGATAAGGTCGATTCCGACGAACGGATCGACGAGGCCGACGTACATTCGATTCCTTACAGGACTGAAAGCTTATTCTAAGATATTCTCAGTTAAGAAATTAAGCTTTCGGTCGTTGTTGTTTCTACTACCTTCTGTTTCTAATCCATTTCCTTCTTCTTCGCCATTGTTGTACAGAGAATTGCTTTTGGCGCCCGGAGAAACAGGCATGTTCTTGAAGAGTAGTATCTGTATATATGTATATGTATTGGCGTTGAGACTTACTCTTACTTTTGCTACATTGAAAACTCAGCACTCAAAGGGTGTGTTTGGTTGCCATCTAATTACTTTTTCCAAAATTTAAAAACTAGTCTAAACTAAGTGTCTAAAACATTTTAATTGGATGGCCCTTTTCAGGGTGGATGGGAAGAGTAGAGAGTTATGTTTGTCATTTGAAAGGGGGAGGGGAGGGAGAGTCTTGAATTTACTTACCTATTAATTTATTTATTTTTTAAATCCAAGAAGTGATCATAAACAGAGTGAGAGTGAGAGTGAGAGTGATGTAACCTTAAGGTCACCGGCCAAATGCGAGGCGCAGAGCAGGCCAATTTGTTAGGCACATCCGTGACCGTGTGACGCTGACAAGTGCAGTCATTTATTTATGACTTGTGCAGTTTCCAACTTTTAGTGCTGACTCACAGATTGGCTTTTCTAACCATAATGAAATCACGTGAACCCATTATTGTTTTGGACACATTCTTCCCCTAACCTAACCCTCCCCATTCCCCAATCAATCATTATTAGTATTATCATTCATTTATACAACAACAATACAAATAAAAAAACATCAGATTTTGTGGCCCCACAGTTTGTCGTATTTTTTCTTGAAAGGAATGGAATGTATGCTTCTTTGCTATTGCTATTGCTATTGTAATAGTTGTTTCTTTTTCATTAATTTGGTTTTTGCCAGTTAGCTTATTATTCCCCTCTCATTCTAATTCACCATGTAATCTAAGCAGGACAGGAGCTGATAGACACACTAGGATTACTAATTACTAAATCTTACTATTTGATTTACAAAATAGTATTTTCAACCATATTTTTGTACAACTTTCTTATAAACAAAAATTCTCGGAAAACATTATAATATACAAAAATGTTATAAACCCTAAAATTCAGCATAGAAGTTTGCCACCCAAATCCTTATTTGCACTTACTCCACCAATCAAGACTAACTGATTGACTTACTCTCTTACAGGTGGTTTCTTTCATAACTCATAACCTAAATTGCAAAATTCCTAATTTCTAATACTAATAATAATAATAATAATCAACAAGAGTCCCAAGTCCTAAATCGCTAATAACTTCACTTCATTAATGTCAATCATATGCCTATTTCATTGATTCTTTGGATGCCCTTCACTTTGTCTTGTCCTTATTTCCTTATTTCTTTCTACCTTAATGGCATCAAAGACACACACAGAGACACCGAGACAGACAGGCATATCTTCACAAGACTAGACTAGACTGTTACGCAGTACACCAAAACAAGACAAATACTTGGCAGGTGGCAGGGGGGTTACCATCCCCAAGCCAACCCAAAACCACAGGGAAGTAATGGTATACAGTCATTTACCTTGATATGATGAAATTGATATAGATTCAGTTTCAAGCTTCATTGAAGATCATCATCATTCATCAATGGCTGATCCAAGAATCCCATCCCTCCCCTTCTTGCTCATGCTACTCCTTTTTCTGCTGCCCCATGGCTCAAACCAGCTGGAGTTTTCACAATCCCAAACCTTGGTGAGAATCAAGCAGCAGCTGGAGTACCCTGAGAACCAGAGCAGGTGGAGTGAGAATCAAGACTTTTGCAACTCTGAGCCCACACAAATTCTCACTCTAGCCTGCTATGAAGATGCCATCACTCAGCTTCATCTCACTGGTAACCAATGGTTTCCTCATTTGCCACAAGATTTTTCCACTTCTGCCCTCTTTTCAAATCTTGCTGCTTTGCCCAACTTAAAAGTGCTGTCTTTGGTATCCATGGGCCTGAAGGGACCTTTGCCCCGGGAAATTGGGGGCTTATCTTCCCTGGAAATACTCAACCTCAGTTCAAACTCCTTCAATGGTCCAATCCCCAGAGAAATTTCAAACATGAGAAATCTACAGACCCTGATTTTGGATTACAATGGCTTCGCTGGTAGTCTACCTGAGTGGATAGGGTTCTTCCCTGAACTTAGGGTTCTTAGCCTCAAGAACAACTCCTTCACTGGTTCATTCCCAAAAGCATTGTCTAGAATGGAGACCCTCAGGGCCCTGGTCCTGTCTGGAAACAATTTATCAGGACAGCTCCCTGGATTGCAGAACTTGACAAACCTGCAAGTTCTTGATCTGGGCAACAACAATCTTGGAGCCCAATTCCCCAGACTGCCTACAAAGTTGCTTTCATTAACCCTAAGGAAGAACAGGTTCCACTCGGGAGTGTCTGATGAATTGAACCTGTGTTATCAGCTTCAGCGGCTGGATATTTCCCAGAACCAACTTGTTGGGCCATTGCCACCATCCTTTCTTACACTGCCCTCACTCACTTATCTGGACATCAGTGGGAATAAATTCACAGGAAAGCTCCTGCAGAACATGTCCTGCAATGCACGCCTCACATTCGCAAACCTATCCGAAAACAGGCTCACAGGAGATTTGCCTGATTGCCTGCATCACAATGCAAAAGATAAGATTGTTATGTATGATGGGAACTGTTTATCCGGCAGTTACCGGTACCCGCATCAGCATCCTTTGCCATTTTGTCATAATGAGGCTCTGGCTGTGGGAATCACACCTCACAAGCAGCATGAGAGAAAGCCATACGGCAGAACAGTTCTGGCATCGAGTATTGTCGGAAGCTTAGCCGGGGTAGCTGTGCTGTTTGGCCTTGCATTCCTGTTTGTGAAGAAGGAACTTGACAAAAAATATCAGAATGTAAACGAAGTACCTCACACAAGATTGACAGTGGATAAGGTCTCCCCAGCATACACACTTCAGCTGCTCAAGGATGCAAGTAAGTATGCATGCATTGTCTGTTCTTCATCTTCATCTTTGTGCTGCACTTTATTCAAAATCTGCTTGAGCGAAGTTCTACTACATTTTCAAAACCAAAACCATTTAAGATGGAGAGTGGAGAATGCATGTCATGCTCCCTCAATCTAAATGAGGTTTTGAGCAAACCTTTTTGTAACTAGAGCTTGCATAACAAGTAGTATAGTTCAATCCACAGTCACTTTGTAGTGGAATTGCAATCTTGGACTCATTCTTGAATGTTTCACTTCCGAGCATGAACAGGGTACATTTCTGAAGTGAAGAAGTTGGGAGCACTTGGGATGCCACCATACAGAACGTTTGTTCAGGAAGAGCTCAAGGAGGCCACCAGTAACTTCAGCTCATCAAACTTTATTGGGGAAGGGTCTTATGGACAGGTATGTTCAGCTCACCACAAGAGATCTCTCTTTGTATCAGCTTGAGCTTAGTCCAAACAAATTATTTCAATCCATCATCAAGTCATCCATTGTCTATCGAATCAGGTGTACAAAGGATTGCTCACTGATGGAACTATCGTTGCCATAAGATGCTTGAAACTTAAGAAAAGACAAGGTATTCATACCTGCACACCCCAACTTGAGCTGGTTGCAAAACTCAGACATTGCCACTTGGTTGGTGTAATTGGCCATTGCATTGAGTTCTGTCAAGACGACTCTATCAACAGGATTTATCTTGTGTTTGAGTATGTGCCGAATGGGACACTCAGAAGATACATATCAGGTAAGACTGAAGACACACTAGCATACATCTGAGGCACACCGAGTAATATAGTAACTTGTATGAGGGTGCCGTTAGTTTTCTGTTAAAAACTTGATTTTGATCAATATATAGTTCAACAGATGGACAATCAGGACATAAGTTTACCTGGACACAAAGAATAGCAGCAGGCATTGGAGTTGCGCGAGGGATCCAGTTTCTTCATACGGGAATAGTACCCGGTGTATACTCGAACTGTCTGAAGATAACAGACATCCTGCTGGACAACGATCTGTATGTGAAGATCAGCAAATACAATTTAACTCTGCTAACAGAAAATAGGAGATGGGTAAGAACAGAAGTCCTTTACCTTGTTCAGTTACATATACTTGCTACATTGTTTCTTTCAACACCATCCATCGGCAAAGAAGATTCCTCACCTCTCCTGTTCTATATACATTCCTTAGGATGAAGTTGAAGGTTCCTCCCATGGATCAAAGGACAATTTTCATTCCATGTAAGTGTTTTCTTCTCTATCAGTTTCATTTTCATTTGCCAATAACTCATGAGAGGGCCGTACTGTCTTCAATCCACAGGTTGAGCTGCGAGGAGAAAAATGACATCTATGACTTCGGAGTAATTCTACTTGAAATGATTGTAGGAAGGGCGATAATCTCTTCCAATGATGTCCATATCTCAAAGGACATAGTAAGTGTATTCCCAAAACATGCAACACTACAGTTATATCATCTTCTATTGATACGACTGCTTTGTTCATCCCACAGCTAGCAGTGAGCCTTACAGCAGATGCCATAGCCAGGAGGAGCATAGTTGATCCATCTGTACACAAAGAGTGCTCGGATGACTCAGTCAAGACTCTCATTGAGCTCTGTATACGGTGTCTATCAAAGCAGCCATCGGAGAGGCCTTCCGTGGAGGATATATTGTGGAACTTGCAGTTTGCAGCTCAGGTTCAGGATACGTGGATCCGAGATTCCCCACTACATTCAACTAGCAGCGTTCAAGAGTCCCCACTGCATTCAACACCATAAGTAGAGTTCTGCTGTGCATATAATTTGCAGCAGCAGTATGTAATGTTTTGGATAGGACATGAATTGTCTCATGTCAGTCTTAGCTTAGGTTTTGTAAGTTATAGCTGTGTAAGAATGGGATTAGAATTGTAGGCGATAATGAATCCCATGCTACTATTGCAGATCCAAAGATAAGGTGATATCAAAAGAAATTTGTCCAGAGAATTCACTTCTATTATTGAAATGTAAATAAAAATATAACATGGAATCACAATTCAATCTCCAAAAACAAATGTGTACAACTACAGCCACTTTTGAAATAGTTATAGGTTAAGACATCCTGAATAAAATGCACTTATCTTGGGTTAGATGCCAGTCGAGCTTCAATGTCCTGCAGCCTGAGAGTTACTGCTCTCTTGTGGGCATCAAGACCCTCAACGTCAGCCATAGTAGCAACGTACGGGCCAAGATTCCTTAACCCCTCTTCCGTCAATGACTGGACTGTGATGAATTTCAGGAACGAATCGAGAGACACTCCACTATACATCCGGGCAAAACCATAGGTTGGAAGAACATGATTGGTGCCACTGGCATAATCTCCAACACTTTCAGGAGTCCATGGACCCAAAAATACAGAACCTGCATGAATTTAGGTCAAATTTAATATTGTGCTAGAAACTTGGTGAGTGAATTATAAGTAGATTATTGTTTTGCAGGCTGGTGATTCCATCATAGATGTACATCCTGCTCTGTTTCATAATTCATATCAAAGCACTTATAGATAACAGAAAAAGAAATTTTCAAAATGCAGAAAACAGTCTTCCAAAAGTAAAAGATCAACTATATTTACGGTGTCCAGATAGAACATGTATTTTACATAAATCTCTGTTTTTACCGGCATTTTCAATGAGGCTCTCCCACTTCTCAGCATCTTTCACATTAACGATTAAATGCTCAGGTGCATACAGGTTGGAAAACTTTATAGCCTGAGAATTGCAAGTCAGGCGATAACAGTATTAGGACAACAGGCAAATGCAAAAAACACGACTTTTCATGTTACAAAACAAATTGTTGAGGCTTCATGTGATAGCCGCTATAACCCAATAGGCCCATACAGGGGTGAGAAATAACATAGTTGAAAATGCTGATAGACAAGACTATGACAGCCCCAGTCCTTGACACTTGTATATCGCTGGTTCTCATAACACATAATGAGTCATGAGTGAACTTGTTGCCTTTCTGTAACAGCAAACTGTACCCAACAATAAAGCTAAAAGCCACGAGAAAAAAGCCAGTGCGCAATTTTCACTTTTGAAAAAACATTTTAGTAAATTTCCTTCATAAAATGGAAATTCAAAGAACATGCAAACCTCAAGCATATCATGGGCATAAACAATAAAGCTGTGACTTAGTGCTTTTGAAGCGAAGGTTCCTCGAGGAAGGCTGTTGCACTGCTTGTTAATTTCATCCTCAATTGCATTAACATTCACTCCCTCTCCAGCAACCACAAGAACAACTTGGCTATCAGGGCCATGCTCAGCCTGAAATTGGGAAACAAATGTTTTTCACAAGGAGACAAGATAACCAAACAACAGATTGAAGAAAAAGCAAGCTTTTGCTAATTTCATAAATTTAAAACAGATATTGTTGATATAGAGCGTAAATTTTGAACTTCGTAACTCTTCTTTTACATCCAAACAAGAGCCAAGGGGTTATATATGTAACAGCTTGCCACCCCCATAATCTTATGCTTCAGTTGACTTATGTAATACTTTCAAATAAGGCACCTTATGAAGTTAACTTGTAAACAAGAAGCAAGAATCCCCCCAAAAACAAACCTGCGAAAGCAAATCTGCTGCTATGTGAACAGGACTTGCATATTTATCGGCAATGACAAGCACTTCTGATGGTCCAGCTGGCATGTCTATTGAAATCATAGCTTCGCTGTTCTATTGAGAACAAGCAGAATATAGTATTAAATTCTAAGGCTTACAAGAAAAACTTTTTAAACTAAGAATTTACAGTGATATATAAAAACCTGGAGAATCATTTTTGCAGCAGTGACATACTGATTTCCAGGTCCATATATCTTTTCAACCTGTAGTACCAGAAACAAAAAGTTAGGTAGAGACAGCGCAAGAGGGCAAATTATGCACGACTGTGTACCTTCGGGCAAGACTCAGTTCCCCAGGCCATAGCTGCAATAGCCTACACATGGCACGTCAACTTTTAGTGGCACTGGAATGAGTATCCTCACATCAAAGTACTGATAGTATACAGTGTTCTGACCTGTGCACCGCCTACTTTAAGAATATGAGTAACACCAGCTTTCTTTGCGCAATAAAGAACTTCCTATAACCATACAATGAAAATCAGTCTATATACTATATCAAGACTCAAGACAGGATCAAGTACCTTGCAGATGCTGCCATCCGGACCAGGGGGTGTTGCAAGTACAATTGTTTTGCACCCAGCAATCTGGGCAGGCTGATTAAGAATAACATAAATCAGTTAAGTATGAATAAATTGAAATGGAAGTATAATAACCCACGAAAACATCTGATGCAATTGATAAAGTGAACATACAACTGAAAGCATCAGCGCAGTTGATGGTAAAACAGCAGTGCCTCCAGGAACATACAGACCCACTGATGCGATACTTCGTGCCACTCTTTTACACCTGACACCCTGAGAATCAAAATGGGAGTCAGTACAAATGAACCAAGCATCCAGCTATTGAAACTACAACACACAATGTTACTGCTTACTTCCATGTTCTCAACAATTTTCTCAACTGGCTTTTGAGCAGCATGAAAAGCAAATATGTTTCCATAAGCCACATCAAATGCTTTTTGAACAGCTGGATCAAGCTAATCATTCAACACCAATTAGATAGAAGTTGCGAGACGAGAAGTCAATTATTAAGTAAACTTTCCACAAAATTGTAAATCAACACAATCCTATGACAACAACTTAGTACATTTTGTACAAGAATATACCACTGGATCAGGAAGATCATCAACATTCTCAACTACGTTGTCTAGTTTCACTTTGTCAAACCGAAATGTGTAGCTGTTTCAATGAAAGAAAACAAGAAAAAATAATTAATGAATGTACAAATTGAGGAGCAATTGAACATCATTCAAGACCAATATAGTCAGCGGATTCTATTGTAGAAATCATGATACCTAAAAAGGAAGTCAAGAATTAAAGAAATAAATCATCCTAGTTAAAAGACAATTTTGGTTGTACACCAAGTATAATCAAGAAATTATTCAAAATGGCTAACTTTATTGAAATAGCTATTAACCAAATAAGATATGTAAGTGTAAGGGAGCTCGATCGACAGCGCGCAACAATACATCCAAAAGTGAAGTGTGGGAATTTCAACAATTCAATGTATCCTGTTCCTAACGCAAATTCATAAACAAGTAATAAATTGTTCCCAGTTTTGACAACTCAAGCCATCATACTTCAAAGATCCTCATCAGCTTCAGACTCCATAATCAGACAGTGTTCATCTAATTCACTTAACCACTTGAAAGCTTAAACACTTTCCTCTTTCTAAAACTAATTACAATATGATGCAGAACAGGAAGTTTAGGTCAAAGACAAACATACTCCTTGACAGCAGCATCGCCTCTGCTCCTTATGTCATCAACAATAGGTTGAACCTGAGAGTTGTTTAAAAATTAAGTGCTCAACAACTGAAAAGCTTCCTATGATGATACTTAATTCACTTCATGAGTCAAGGTATCAAAACGCTCGTATTTTGCACTATTAAACCGCAAGTGGATAAAAACTCACCACACCAAAAATAGAAGAAAAATCAATTCGAGGCCGAGCTTTTAGGCTATCAACCTCAGTAGCACTAAGATCTGACAACTTATAGGATTTCATTGAACAACTTGCTGGACAACAAAATGATCCTACAAAAAAATAAATTGCATAACAATGAAATGAGGATCCGGAAACAAAAATTTAACAAATTCATCAAATATAAAAGGGTGTTATTTCACTATACCCTAAATCAAATCAGCAAAACACTTAAGCATACAAAATTGATAAGCATCTCAATATACAACCAATTTTCCTGCTGTGGGAATCGGTATTTAAATATTCAGTCAACAAAAGCTCATAACGTGCATTGTTCATTATTCTACAAAAAATATATTAGAAAATCAAATATACACGATCCTATAGCATTTGGAATCACTCGTATTTAACTTTTTTGTTTTCCCTAGTCGGTAGTAGACGCAAGTTCAGAAAACAAACAGCTCGAATTCATTTCAACCAAAAGCCGCCTAATACACCTCTACAGAGACCCCATCACAGAAAATCGAATCAAATCTTTCAGAAACGATAATGAAAGTCAAAATGCGAGGTGTCATGGGAAAATCATCAGCATATATTTCGGAACTCACTTTTCTGTGGGTAAGAGGACAGCCGTGGGCGAGTAATTTTTGCGGCAGCAAACAACCTACTGCTGCCACTGAAGGAAAGAAGTCTACAGTCCATCAATACCAAAACCTTGAACACAATTGATTGACGAATTCGAATTACATATACACAATCAAAACAATAGAGTGTACAATCAAATCTAAAAATGGAACTAACTAGTTAGATTCGGATCGTACCTATCGCAGGATCGTCGTTGCTGTTGATAAGGAATGGAGACGACAGAGCGGCGGCGGAGTGTCGAGTGGGAGAGAGAATGTGAGAACGCAAATATCACTTTGTCCTGTGAATCACCAGAATCGAACCATTGACATATACAGTAATTCATTAAAAATAGCAGTAGTATTTTTTTTATTTTATTTTTTTTAAAAAAAAATCATTAAAAATATAAAATATATATTATGTTAAACAATATATTCTTTTAATATATATTTGTCTGTGGTTGTTTGTGTCTATTTAATTTGCTTATTCGAAATTTTATCTTGTTTCTAACATTAAATTTTTATTAAGTATAATACTTAAAGTAATTTTTTTAAATTGTTTAAGGCATATTAAAAAACAAATATATTTTATTAGTTAATAAAAATGAATACAAAAATTAATATTTTTATTATATATATATATAAATAAATAAATATTATATTTATAATTTATATAAAAATTAAAAGTAGATAAATATTAGTGTAATTGTTTTTATAAAACAAATACTTTTAAATATATAGACAAAAGTAATAAAAATAGTTAGAAGAAAAAAAAAAAGAAAGTATCTTCGAAATGATATAAAATTTAAAAAATATTATATTCAAATGATAACTGATAAATAATTTTTGTATACTTATTTTTTTCCGCCCAACCTAAATGGTCCTGTTTAGCTTAGGTACGCACATTAAATAAAAATAATTATAAATTAATATTAATATACTGAAATAATTTAATTAAAATAAAAAAATTATAAATTATAAATTTTAAAATGTAATTAAATATATAATTATATTTTTTTAAAAAAAATATTGAAAAATATGAAACCCAATTAAGTAGAATAGAGAGAGTATTATATTTTAATTCATTATAATAATTCTGATATAAATAAATACTACATGATTTTCTTTTAGTCTTTCTGGGATCGATATTTTTGCCCTTACTTTTTTAGTTTGTAACTGGACGTCCAAAATAGAAATACCGTATACTTTCTAACCGGATAGAATAGAGATGGAGTATAAATTAAAATTGACTATAACAAAAAGCGAAATTCAGAGTTTTCTCATTTTTTTTTGGGTCATAAATGATTATAATAATGTACAATTACATATAGTTGTGTGTGGAAAAATTGCAGAACCTATAACTGACTGAACTAACTAACTAAAGCCCTTCTGCAGAGTTAACAAACAAAAACAACACTCCCCAGAAAGCTACACAAAAATTCAAATCCAAAATCCAAATCGAAAAAAATATCATCAGATTAGATCGAACAGCCATCGTCATCTTCACCATTTTCTGTTTCCTCAGCTCCATCGACGATCAAAGATCCTGCTCATCTCTACTTGCTGCTGTCCCGAATCCGAATCCGACGACGAATTTTTAAACTTCTCCATCTCCCGGGCGAGCTGGATATCGTTGGGTCGCAGCCACTGCCCGAAAACCTTGACAACGAAACGAGGAACGAGCGCCCCGACGACGACGCCGAGCAGGCAAATCCAGAACAGGGCAGTATCAGCTACATGAAAGAATGCCCTGCAGCGACGACGAACGAATCGAACAGTCGAACATCAGTCGTCGATTTCAATGTTTCGTTTTTCATCGAAAGGGTAACGGTAAGGTTAAGCAGTTTGTACCAGAAACCGGGAAGGAAAGGAAGAGCGTCGATGGCCATGATGCAGACGAACGTAGCGATTATCGATCCCCAAACGGCGGCGTGGGTTACCCAGTACCATCGATTCACGTCCATCGCGAGATGCACGTTGACCATCAACACGGCCGCGAGTGTCCACAGGTCGCCGAGGCTCGATCCGCCGACGTCGCTTCCCCAATAGGCGAGCAGCGGGCCGAAGAAGGCGGCAACGCTTTGCCACAACGTGTCCAGCATCGTCACCCAGAAAAGCTTCCCGTTGTAGCTTTCGTCCCGTTGCCCCGCTCGGTAGAGCTGAGGGCGATTCATCAGAAACGTTCGACTCAAATCCTTGTCGAGAATCCCGATAGCTATCGTCGGAACAGAGGTGTAGATTACGGAGTAGAGTACGCTGCTCCAGTCGGTGATCGCAGTCGTCAACGTAAAACTCGTGTAGAGCACGTACCTGAGAACAGCAGCGACGTTAATTCAACATCGATAAACGGTACGACGACAAAGTAAAAATCTTACCAGAACAAGATGAGAACAAACACGGCGTTTCGATAGAAGTTGTACAAGATCATGTAGCTCATTCGCTGGTAATTCCAATGGCCGTGAACTAATAGCAACGGGACTAAGAATCGAAACTGGCCCATCGCGAAATCGGATGCCATCACAGCTTGTCGACCTTCTTGCCCGCTGATTCCGATGCCGACATCAGCCATTTGGATCATCGAAACATCGTTCGCACCTGCAAATCGGACAATGAAAGGTTCGAAAATTCATCGACAGTTTTAACCAAGAAAAGGGTTCTCGATTCGTCGTACCATCGCCAATTGCGAGAGTCATCACGTCTGTTCTGCTCTTAATCAAGGCGACGATTCCGGCCTTCTGCAAGGGAGCTACTCGACAACACAACACCACTGTGCATTTGCTCGCCAGTTCGAAAAGCTGCAAACAGACGAGCATGAATTCATCGATAAGATAAGATACGATACTTTCGACAAAAGCGATTAAAGAAGAATCACCTCTTCTTCAAGTTCAGTGTCCAGTATATGAACGAGGCTCGTTCCGTCGATGATCAACGCGATTTCAGCCATGGCAACGCCACGAGCATCGCAGATGAGCTTTTTACACATTCCGATATTATCTTGCAAGCTCTTTCTACACGTCTCCTTCGAGTTGTTGTTCACTACTATTTGCGTCATGCCGCTCGTCAGCAGCCTCGACGAGTACCCGATTGAGATTGCCGTCTCCTGTTTGTCCCCGGTCAAAACCCACACCTTGATACCCGCAGTCCGTAATGACTCAATCGCCTCGGGAACGCCCTGCTGCAACTTGTCCTCGATCCCCGACGCACCCAACAAGCCGAGACTATGCTCGACGTTGATTGCGACTTTTCGGAGCAATCCTGCCCGCCCCATCAGAGCATTGCTTGCAGTCTCATAAGCAGATTGCCACTGCTCGAATTCGGACGCGGTCAGATCCCGCATCCCGACAACGAGCGTTCTCAAGCCCTTCGACGAGTATGCCTGGAGATGAGATTCAGTCGCTTCGACCATGCTCGGATTCAGCGAACTATCGACGACGCTAAACATGGTCGTATCTGCACCTTTCACGTAAACCTTCACCGTCTTGTCGGGGCATCCTAATATTACCGACATCCTCTTCCGATCACTGTCGAACTCGTGCAGTCCCAAGACGCTGAACCTGCACTGTCCAGTCGGTATTTCAAACAGCCTTAATAATCGCTGGAGTTCACAAGATTACGACGACAACGGTCGATTACAACATCGAACAAAATAACGAGCTCGAGAAAGCAACAATAACAATTTACCTTTGTCGTTCCCCATGGACATCGATGACTATGTGACCTGAAGTTCTTTCGACGAGCATAAACCCGTAAGCTGCAGCTGCATAAACTAAAGCTTGTTCGTCGGGAGATTCCCCTTGATAATCGATCAACTTAACAGAAGGGTCAGAAGTCTCCACATTTATCGGCACGATAGTGTTGCAAGCTGCAAGTGCGATGAAGAAATCACGAGCATGACGATCTTTAACAGTGTCATTTCTTTTCAATATGCCGAGAAGATTACGGTCAACTTTCACCTTCGTTTTCGGCTTCAGAACGCACCCTTCGCCTAACAAGAAATACGACGTATAAATAAAAGATCGACACAACATAGGATTCGGTAAGAGATTGCAACTGCAGTACCTTGAACCGAGCATCCGGTCCGTCCATCGTCGCCTAAATCCTCGCTGTTGCTGTAATCGACACCACCGATGCTAGCACATTGAAACTCCATCTTGTTCTCGGTGAGTGTCCCGGTTTTATCGGAGAACACATACTTAATCTGCCCCAAATCTTCGTTTATGTTCAGTGCTCGACACTGAAACCTCGAGTTCGACGACTCATCGTATAACCGAGTATCCCGAATCATGAAAAAAGCTTGACCTACACGAACGAGCTCCATCGAAATGTACAACGATATTGGAATCATAATTTGGAAGACGATGACGGACATGAGAAACACGAGGAATATCTCCATGCCCCATCCGTAATAGTTATAATCTTCGTCTTCGTCCTTCGAATAATCCTTCTTCCGGTAAAACTGCATCAGATCCAACTCGTTGTCGTGGTTCCTCAGCCAAATACCATGGCATATCGACACGATCGTACACAGCACAACAAGGAACACCGAAAGGAAGATGATCTCCCGATTCATCCGCGTCTCGAGACGACTCCTTTTCGACGGAGCTCCCGAGTTGTTGAGCATCGCTTTCGTTTCTCTCCCGGCATAGACCGCAATACCGATCGCCCAATCGGTGTTCTTCAGCTCACAGCCGCGTAGAATTATGTTCGATGGACCGAGCGATATACGCTTCCCGTCGACATCCATATTCGCGTGGAAGCCATAAATGTTCCGGTTGGGCCTCTCGCACTTGATCACTCCGGTGATCCTCTCGTTCGCCGGATCCTTAATTTGCGTCTCTTGTTTAGCATAACGCGTCTTCAAATTCGATTCTCCGTCCAAATTTGTCGTCTGTACGTAAGCAACTCCGGTGGCGTCGCTCGTCGAGAGAAGCACCATGTCGCAAGGAATCGATTCCGTCGCAGAGACTTTAATGATCTCGCCGACGCGTATATCCTTCCATTTCATTTCTCGAAAGCGATCGTTCACCAAAACCCAAGCCAATCGGTTGTTCTCGATCTTGTCTGCTCGCTGACGCCGATAATCCTCGAACGCATCCTTAACGGCAGTGACCAACAACACGAATGCCAACGGCAGAATCGAGGCTCCCCGACCGAACACAGCCAGCTGAGGGAGCTGATTGAGGATCGCGATCACGAGAAAGTATATGTATGCGACTCGATGGAACTGCTCGTAAAGATTCCGCGGCAGGAATGTAAGAATTGAATACTTTCCGGTCCTGATCGAATTTCCGGCGAATTCAAACTTCTCATTAGTCCGGTCGGGATCGTTCACATATATCAGCCTGGCATCGTCGTCGCTGATCTCTTTGTAGGAGGTGCTGAGCCCTTCCTGATCAGCACCTCTCGAGCCATGGCGCACCCGCCGCGAGCCCTGGTCAATGAAATCCGCACCCCTCGATCCGTGCCGGACATGGATCGAACCTTGCTCACTTAAGCCGATGGAGTGAGTGCTCGAAGTCCTTGAATGCACCGTGTAGTACGACGACGATGCCGTCCGCTGTGCTGACGAATTCCGGCCGGAAAATTGGTGGGAAGTTTCACTGATTTCAATCAGGGAATTGGGATCCATCGCCGGGGAGGTTTGAATTGCAGATGAACAGCGATGTATGTTAAAAATCAGGGAATCAATCAAATCTCAAAAGTTCATGAGCTGATGATGAAGATCAAATATCCTCCGATCAATCAAATCAGCTCCACCATCTCCCAGTTAGAAACAATTCATCAAATTCACAAGCGAACCTTCGATCAGGAAAAATAAAAAACCCCCAAATTTTCAATTATCCCCAAATTCCAAACCCTAGAAACTACACCAAAGCTAAATCCACACCCCGGACTCACAGCCAGCACCAAATTGCTTCACAAAATCCAATTACCTCAGCTACCGAAAATCTCTACAGCTAAAATTTCCGCAATAAATACACGAAATTAAGGATCTCGATCGAAAGGCTTACAGCAGCTCGGATTTAAGCTGATGGTGAAGAACTTACTGTACAGAGGAAGTTTTCGAGCAGAGGAGACGAATCCGAAGAACAGGGAGCTGCAAAGTTTCTTCGAGCCGGCGAGTAGTTGGGTCTGATTCGATTGAAAAAGGATGCCCATTCGGCATTGCGAAATGCGGAGAAAATTCAAAGGTCAAAGACATATTATTATATATATATATATATATGTATGTAAATAAATACAGAAACGGGGCGAAGATTGCAATGGAGTTTGGAGAGAAAGAAAAAGGACGAGCAGAAGGAGTCGAGAGGGATGGCGACAACCCAGAAGAACATTAAAAAACAGGAATGGGATCTTTTCGGATCGGCATGAAATCCCGATCCTGATGTAATGATCTCGAGATGGAATTTAGAGGTAGAAATTGTGTGAGATCGAATCCCCGCGGTAAAATTCAATCGAAAATTTGATCGAATTGGATCGTCGATTGTTTTTGGCTGTGTACGTGTGGGTGTGGGTGTTGTATTATTTTGGCATTTGTCGAATGGGAAAGCTCATTTGTGTTGGAAGTCGTAGCTGTAGGGGTTTGAATTTCGTGCGTGGAGTGTTCTAGAAGTGAGCGGAGATGGACGGCTGGGATTGGGGCACGTGGCGTTTTGTGGTTGGGATTTGACTTCTGAACAGGGCTTTTATTACCCGCAGCGTTGTGTAATTAATAACTCACATCTGCTATAATATTTTGAAATAATAATATATACCAAAATATTTATGGATGTATTTGTATCTATATCTGAAGATAATATAAATTTAATGCTCTCTACTTACATAATTCACCATTTCGAAAAGTTTTATGAAATATTATTTTATCCAATTTAATTTGTCTATTATTTTTATTTTTATTCTTTTTATATAATTTTTTATTTTTTGAAAATATAATTATATATTTTAATCATATTTTAAAATTAATAATTTATAATTTTAATTAAATTATTTAGTTATTTTAATTTTAATTTTAAATTATTTTTATTAAATCATATTTATTTTTTTAAATCGCTCACAAATTATACATAACCTAAAATTTTATATCTAAACCAAATAGGACAAATTAGGTTGGACGAATGAAGTATATATTTACTTGAATTGTGTCCTAACATTTTTACTATTAAGTTTGATTAGATTAAACATATATATTTTCATATTATATGAAATATAATTTTATAATTAAAATATCAAATTAATATTTATCTATATTATTTTAAATAACATTCAAAATCCACCATACATACTTTATTTCCAAATAAAATAATGTAAAATTCAAAATATATATGTAATAAAATTGATAAAAATACATCTCCAGAAATAAAATATATAATATACAATATATGTAACAAAATTAATAAAAATACATAAGAATCAACAAAATTATCATTAGCTATAATATTTTTTTTATATTTCATGATAAAAATATATTCCCCCGTCCAGTTAGAAAGTATACATGTTTCTATTTTGGGACGTCCAATTACAAAGTAACCATCTCATTAAATACCCAATTTTTTCCGCAAATACCCCTATTTTACATCACATTGTATACTTATTTTGTGGACGGAGGGAGTATTATAGATTTATAAAAATTAATCAGACACTACCTTTAAATGCTATCAAAATGATAATAATAATAATAATATTCCGATAAAATAATAATAATACATGCTTATATTCCTTACACAAAACTCTCATATATACATAATTCTTTGTCAATCTATTTAGTTAGTATATATTTTATTATAATTATTTTTCAAATACAAAATATTTATTATATAGTATCCCATTATATATTATAAATATGCTCATATTTATATTTTATTTAGATTAACATCCTTACAATAATTTTACATATCATGTGAGTAAAATAATATTTATTCCAAAAAATTAAATATATATATGAAGTAGTACTTATCAAGTGATTAAAATAACGGGTTGTTATATTTTTTTTTTAAAAAAAATAATTATTATATTTATACAAGAATATAATCAATGTCAATAAACCTCCATAAAAGATATAATCATATTTACTAATTATGGGGTCAACAATTTTAGAATGGAGTATTTTAAAACAATTAAACGAAAATAATATATATATACTCTATCCGTCCCAATATAATCTTGTTTACTATTTTTATTTATGTCAAAATAATAGTTTTATTTTCATAAATTATATCTATAACTATTTTTCCGCTTTCATTATTATTATATAATTATCACAAAGACAAAAATATTTTTTATCAGTACATTTTATTCACTATCAAAATAATTTCAAGGAATAGGAGTGGAGTAGGTTTGGGGTAGGACGGGGGGCCTTCTCCCCCCAATTTTCCACGACTTATTTTTCAATTAATTTTATGAATTAAAAGTCAACGATTATTTATTTTTTTTACAAAAATATCTTTTTAAATATCAATTTTTTATTTTTCAAATTTTTTAAAATTAGAAAAATTTATATTTATAATGAGCCTCTACGTGCGTTAGGTTGATAATTTTTATTATTTAATTTTTATATTTGGAAGTGATTTAAAATATTCTATTTTATGAGAAAAATAATTTATTTTTATTTGAAATATACTGAGAATTCTTTCTTTATTTTTTCGTATATGTATGTATAAGACGATTTAATAATTCAACAGTTGTTTCATTTATATGTATAATAATACACAAACAAATAACTTTAACTATTGCTTATGTATGCAATTGACGTAATATATCTACCAAACCCACCAATTCATTATTTTTAAAAATATTTTGATAATTTGGAATAACAGTATTAACATAAATGTTGAATACAAAATTTTAAATAGATAATAGACAGATTGAGAGACATATATATATATATATATTATATTTCAAATTCCAACCACAGTCATCAATCAGCCAGTGAGTGATTCTCTCCCATCAACCAATCAGTAGTCACTGCATCTCCTATTCTATTCTATTCTATTCTGTTCCATCATCGAATCGCCATGGATTGATTGATTCAATATGATCAGCATTTACCATAGCCACAAGAACAAGATCAAACAAGAGCAAAGAACCTGAAAAACCCATCCAAGAAACAACAAATAATCACACCACACCACCCATTTTATCCCAAATTCGCCATTGATGATGGATGCTGCTTACCTGGGCTTGTCGTCTGTCTTCTTTCTTCTTCGATAGGAAGAAGAATGAATGAATGAACAATCGCCACTTCTCTCTCTCTCTCAGTCAGTCAATCCATCATCTGATACGATTCACATTAGCAAAAGGCTCTGAAGAAACTGCTGCTGCTGCTGCTGCTGTTTTCGTCTTGTTCGCCACTTCATTTGGTGCCCCAAACACATTCCAAAACCTCAATGTTTCATCCCCTGCAGCAGATGCAACAGTACACCCATCCGGGCTCTGCAAAAATCCAATCCAAATCAATTAGTCCAATCCAATCCCTCTTCTTGTGATTAATTAATCAAAAATTCAATTTTTAACTTACCTGGGCCATGAAAAGAACCCTAGAAGTATGCCCCGTGAGCTCCGCCATTTTCACCATGGATGGATACTTCCACAGCGTCAACTGATTCTGAGTAAATCCATGAGAGCTCAATATCTCCCTCTCATTCTTATTCCACACCAGTGCACACACCTGCGACCCTGTGTCCACAGAGTTCAAGCAAGCCCCCGTGATGCTATTCCAGAACTTTATACACCGATCGCCGCCGCCGCCGCCGGAGGCCAGCACATTCGCCTGAAAAGGACACCAAGCCAGCGCCTTTACCGCCGCTCTATGATCCTCCAGCCTGTGCAACCACTGCCCGCCGTTGCCCGCCATTGATTTGTCCCAAATATGCAGCACATTGTCGTTGCCGCCGCTCGCCAATTGCCGCCCCGACGCCGACCATTTGATCCCGCACACTTCTTGCTGATGGCCTCTGTACGTTTCGACAACATGGTCCCTTATTCTTACGTCGTTGTTCACGATCAGGCCGTCCATTCCTCCGGTGGTGAGTACGTGGTTGTTCCAGTCCAATGCGCCGACTCGCGCCGTGTGGCAGCCTCGCAATGTTCGGAGCAGCCGGTTGCTGGTGGAGTCCCATAGCTGGATTTCTGAATTGTTGAGGCCCACGGCTATGTGCCTGCCGTCGGGAGCCCATCGAACGCTTGTCACCGGGCCATTTTCTTCGTCGACTGTCGTGAGTTCGGATGTGTTCCCGTCGGTAGCATCCCACAAATACACAGTCCCTCCAAGAGCAATGGAGAGAACATTGCTACTGCCCCAATCTAATAAATTCAAATAGTAGTCGTCGACGAGGTCGGGGGCATCTAATGTCCTCTCTGAGGTCTGCATAAACGACACAACATATTCAGCAACATTTTAAAACCTTTTAAAGTCATTGTTTCGAAAGATAGTAATTAAGTTGCTTGAACCAACCTGTGGGATGTGCCGACGAGCTTTGGCAGGTTTAGCGTTTTGCTCAGAAGGGTACAAAATCTCGGTCGGGATGGGATCGATTGGGGTTGGTGGCTTGTTCTTGAAAGCCAGAATCCTTGTTCGGTTCATGTTGAGGGTTTCGGCGAGCAGCTTCCTGTACGCCTGGCTCGACGGAGATGATGGCATTGTAGATGGATTTTCCTTACCTTTATTGCCTTCCGTAAGCATGTAATGTGCGTAATCGAAATCCATGGCCGACCTGTTTGGGATGAACCGATCCAACTGCAGACGAATCAATGCAATTAAATGTAAGAAACAAGAATCGGTAATAAAATTGAGGAAAAGAGTGTTGGAATTATGCAACATACTAAATATGAAAGTCTCTATTATAATTAACATCTCTTTGCATATGAATTCATGGTTAAATTTGAATTAATTTATCATACAAACATCTTTTACCATTTTCCTTGTTCTGTTCTTATGAAATACATGACAAATGCATCATTTTACAGAGGATTTGTACAAACAAGATGTCATTGATAACTCCAAACTCAGAAGAGATCTCTATATAGTCAATAGAACACCAAATCTCTAATAAAATCAATTTGCAATAACAGATAGACTTACATTTTCTCGTGAACTTTTTCTACGCAGGATCTGTTCCTGAAGCGGTGATCGAGGCTTTCGTGAAGAGGCTGACGAATTAATCATTCCCCTGTCCATTACGTTACCACAGAAAAAGAAACACAAAAAGAAACAGAAAAGCAGGAAAGCGTATAATAAACCCTAACAAATATCTACAAATCAAACCGATTATCAAAATATGCACGAATTCACTGCAAAAACAACAAACGTTAGACAGATCGAGCAAACAATCGAAGCTAAAACCTGCAAAAAAGAAGAACAAGATGAAATCAAATCGAACTAATCAAACCAATAATTGAAACTGCAATATTCAACGAGAACAACAAATTTCCGAGCGGAGATTCTTGGAAAGCCCGGAATAGAGGAGAATAGAGAGATCGTTGCAGACTGATGACAATTTGGGCGAATCGGTAAGGTTTATATGCGCAGCGATTAGGGTTTTGGAGACGATTTGCGTGCGGATTTGTTTCCTTTTCGGAACACGTAACGGCTACATAGCTGGAAAGAGCCGTTGAGATACTGTTTGCCGAAATTGCCATTGGTAGCATTTGAATAACTGTAGGGACAAAATGGTAACTTCCTTTCACATGTTGGGCCGATGGGCTTAGGGTAAATAAAATCACAAAAAGTATTATTGGAATATGGAACTTACAATTAATATACAATTTTTAGTACAAAAAAAAAAATAAAATATATATATATATATATATAAAGAGGAAATTTAAAATGAAGTGAGTGTTATTTTGTATGATTTTTGTTTTATGAATACAAAAATATAATTGTAATTTTTAATGGTTATTTTCAATTATATTTGAGACTAGGAATGAAGAAGAAATTTAAAATGAAAAGTAATTGGAAAAAAGTATATTGAGAAAGATTTGGTCAAAAGGGGTTTATTGAAAAAATATTACTGTTAAAAGGAGTAAGCATATGTCCATCGGGGCTTAGATATACATATAGTTTTGATTTTTTTTTTTTTTTTTTTGTATTATTCAATAATATATATTAAATATAATTTTTTTAAAAATATTATATTAAATTATGTTTTTTTTTTCATTATTTTAAATTTTTAAAAACTTTAGAATATAATATCAAATTTTAGTTTTTTTACAAATGTTTTGCATTTTATTATTTTTTTTAATTACATTTCAAAATTATATAATTCTATTTAAACGAAATCCAAAATTTAATGATTATATTATAGAAATGAATTAATTAAAAAAAGCTGGAGTATTATATTAAATATATAAATAATTATTATATTTTTATAAGTACATACTCCCTTGTGACGTTAAAGTTTTATTTAACATTAAAAAAATATTTTTATATCTATATAATTTTTTTTATAAATATTATTATAATAGTAGTGATATAATAATTAATAATAAAAAAGGAAGGAAATAATATAACATTAAATAATATAAATTAAAAAATATTTATTATAGATAAATAAATATATTGATCTAATTATATATTCGTTTTGTCTCGTAAAATAATATCTTATGTTATATAAGACTGAAAATATAAGATTAATATAATTAAAAAATATATTAATAAAAATATTTGTTAATATAATATAATATAATTAAAATATATAATATTTTTAAAATATAAAAAAATTATTTAAAATAAAAGAAAAAAAATTTAAATAAACGACGAAAGTAAATAAATAAATAAATAAACAGATTGAGTGTGGGCTTTTCAGCCACTTAATTAAATAACCGCCACGGCCACGCGCCACCGCACATTTATTTTTAACTAATCGCGGTGGCCATGTCCGGAACCCTACTCTCTCTTTCGCCTGTGCCGCCGCCGGCGATCATTGAGACTCGCCGGAACAATATCTTTCCGGTGTTTTTTGATTCAATTTTAGACCCCGCTAGGATTCTCGTGTCGAGGAGAAGTTTAATTTTGACAATCTCTACCACTTCCCCGCTTGTAATGTCTTCATCAGCAGCCGCGCTAGCAGAAGCAGCTGCTGCACCACCAGCATCGTCGAACTCTTTTCTTTCGAGCATCGCTAATACCAAGTCTTGGTTTCAGTACTACGGCAACGGCTTCGCAATTCGTGTTCCGCCCAATTTTGAAGATATCATGGAGCCTGAGGTACGTATTTGTTCTTAAAATGTTCGTTGTTGTTGCTCATTTCCGCGTGTTTGCGTCGGTTTCATTTTATTATTTGATATCGTGGAGAGCCTGCGGTTTCTGTTTCATTCTATGTTTCTATAAATCAAATTGTGAATTTGATTTGCAGTTAGTTAGTTCCATTTGGTCTTTGCTCATGTGTTTCATCATGTGGAAGGAGTGTACTCTTCTGACATAAAAGTACTGTAATATATCAGCCAAAATCAGTGTTTGAGACATGTTGAATGCTCACAAGCACGGGGATAATTTCAACTAGTTTGAATTATCATTACCACGCCGTATAATCGAAGTGTTTGATTAACGGCGGCTGCATGATGTTCGAATCCAATAGTTGAGCTAACATAGAGATGGAGTACTAGGGCCTAATCAATCCTTATATGTTGCCATAGTGTTTTTAATTTTATGGTGATCGATATGCAAGAGCTTTTAAAAGTTAGAATATTGTATCAAGTTAATGTGTTTGTACCATATATTGAAGCGCAAAAAACTATGAAAACGATAGCTTAAATTTGTTGAAAATAAAAATTGGCCGAAAATCAGTTGAAGTGACATAAAAAATAAAAAAGATCAGCTGAACTACAAAGAAAATATGTTGAACCCCATTATTCAGTATGTCTATATTCATCATTTTAATCATTATTGGAATCATGTCTCAGATCTATTAAAGCTGTGACCAGTTCAGTATTTGAACTTATGTTTGTCGAAAAGGTATACTAGTAATGCTTGTATTTGTAGGACTTTAATGCTGGTTTGTCTCTATATGGAGATAAAGTTAAGCCAAAGACTTACGCGGCTCGATTTGCATCTCCAGATGGGTATGAATTTCAATACTCCCGCAAATTGATCTTCTAGTGTCCCTTTTGTCTAATGTATTTTTAATTAGTTAGTGAAGGGTGTGGTGTATGCAAATTTACAGCTACTTTAGGAAAAACAGGAGAAACAAAAATGTAAACCACATTTAATAATTTTGAAACTCTATGCTAACAAAAATGCTGGGCTTTTATTGACTGAACTCTGAAGAACAGTATCCATTGTAGAGTAGAAATTAGAGTCGAACATTTATGTATTAGGAGTTATGGAATTTTAGCCATTTCATGCCATTATGAAAGGCTGTTTCTATTGTTTTCGGTAAATCACCAAATCTTCCAGCGGACTTAGAATATTTTGAGTTCGTGATTTGTCTAGCAAGAGCATTTCGTAGTTTGCTACAAGGTTTCGAGCAAATTTCAACATTACTTTGTATTTGTACATTCTTCAAGACTTGACTTCCTGATGTTGCATGGTTGCAATGACTTACAGGTCTGAAGTTGTAAGTGTTATCGTTCGGCCCACTAACCAGCTTAAGATCACCTTCTTAGAGGTTTGACAATGTAATCCACTTAGGGTTCCTGTCATAGTTTAATCTGTTTGTTTTATAAAAATTCAGTTGGTTATCTAAAGTGTTGTTGTTGCTGCTGATTAATATGAATTGAGTTCATTTGAATATTTTTTTTCTTCTTCTTTCAGTCTTGAAACAATAATTACATTTATTTCCAACACAGCATGTCAAAACCACTTTTGTAACATTTTGAATATTCCCCTTTCACCCTGTACATGCCTAGCTGATTAGAATCGTGTAGAAAGTTACCTTCTTGGATGATAATGCAGCACACAATCTCATATTGCATCACTAACTAGCAACTAATTGCCTATAGTGGATGAGTCCTTCTAAAAAGCAAAATATATCGATGTTCTCAATACAATCTTGTGAGGCCAAACAGCAAGTGATTGAGATCTTAAGAAAGCACGTGTTATGATTCGTGCAGGCCAAAGATATTGCTGACTTGGGTTCACTCAAAGAAGCAACAAAAATATTTGTTCCAGGTATTTTATTATTTCATTCTCGTAGAAAAATGCTTCCAGCAGTGGTTTGTTTATTGTGCACGAACTTATAATTTATATATTAAAATCATGTATTCAGGCGGAGCAACCTTGTATTCTGCCCGCAATATCAAAGTTAAGGAAGAAGAAGGTTATAGGTATTGTTATTATTATCACATGGAAAGTTTATGATATAACCAATCGTGCGAAAATGTTCTTCCTGGTTTGGAATTTTCATCTTTGCACTCCCTTAGATCATGTCTGATGTGGAAATTTCAAAACTAAGCCTGATATTTATCTAAAGTTGGAGATTATCCTATCGTGTCCAATGTACCTAAATGTTGCTTCTTTTTTTTTGTTGTGATTCATTTTAAATTTCAGGAATTATTATTACTACGAATTTGGTCGAGACGAACAGCATGTGGCCCTCGTAGCAGCTGTGAATAGTGGAAAGGTGATAGATTTATTTATACGAATGCATGCCTTCTTGAGCCCCTTTATTAAATAAAATTTGATATTTGGGTAGGCAATTGTTGCTGGAGCTTCAGCACCCCAGAATAAATGGGAGCACGACGGCGTGCAGCTGCGCTCGGCTGCTGTGTCACTAACAGTTTTGTAAGGTGAATTTTTTGAAGTTAATTTCCTCGAAGAACATGCTTAGCTTTGTTGCTGGTTCAGTTGAGGGCAAACTATTTTTTCCTTGTAAGTAGTTGTGAAGTATGCTTCTAGTCATGCAATGTATTCGTCTCTTCTATCGCCAAACAGGTGTATATTCCGGTCTTTTTGTTCAGGACATCATCAAGATTGAAGATCGACCAACTGAGGTTTATTGTGTTGTCTCCCAATTGTACCATATCTTGAAGTTGCTTGGTATACAAGTTATGAGGGATTGTTGTTTACGTTCAAGTAACTCCTATATTTTACTTAAATCTATTTTTAAGTTCAATATATATATTAAATGTCACATCCATGGATGGTGAACATTTTGGTCTTAAAAAATAAAACATAGAAAAAAACGAAAATGTCACCGTACGTATAGTTCAATTCTCTACAAAAAATACATTTGCAGCAAAAAGCCATCACAAGAAGAGAGATTACAGAAAAATAAAATAAAAATGGCCTATCCGCCCACCCGATTCCTCGTCGTATGTGCAAAAGGTTAAGGTTATCCGACTGACTGACTGACTACTAGAAACTACTGCAAATTGTGAAAGGGGTTTTGGATCTTACAATAAATTTAAGGAAGGTATTCGAGTTTCAGTCCTTTCCTTGGCTTGGCTATGCTGCAGCCTCCTGAAGCTCCTCGAGTTCCTTCTCGGTTGCTGATATCAAGGAAGCCGATTGGATTTTCCCAGCGTGATCGAGGCGCATCAGTATCACACCTCTGCAAATTAGGCAATTCCTTTTCAGCAAAAATGAAGAGGTTCCCAACCTTAGCTAGAATTGTACTTGTCGCGCAAACAAATAGTGACATGGATGCGATGCGTATTAAAAAACAATTGTCATATAAGGGGTGAATCAATCCTTAGATGGTAAACTGAATATAATAATGCAGAGAACATGTATTCTCATCGCGATAGAATAATACCTTGCATAGCGCGATTGAATGGAGATGTCCCGTACTTTAATCCTATTCACTGTTCCACTTTGGCTGACAAGCACAACTTGCTCGTCACTTTCGCCATCTTCTGTTTAGACAGATGGTTAATGTTAATTACAACAATTTAGTTGCTATAATAATTAAAAAAATAGCCTAAAGTTAGAGGAAACAGTACCTCCTACAGAAAAACCAACCACAAACACAGCTGCCAGACGATCCTCTGGCGAAAACTGCATCACCGAAAATGATTTTCATGAAGTAGACGAAAATACTCTACAATATAGTTCTATAATCAAATGTGAACCCATCAACCGATTCTCAGTGTTTGTTTCCTAGTTATGATCAATAGCACCAACCTTGCAACCTATCAGGCCAACTCTATTTAGCACTGACATCCGGAAGCTATCAAGAGGAACTCGCTTGCCATAGCCGTTCTCGGTTATGAAAAGGAGACAAGGTCCAGTGCTGCCCCTGCCACTGCACAAAGCAAACCAGCAAAAATTATTGGATGCCTAAGCACCATACAATATGTTAAAGTATTATAATTCTTCAAAATTTACTTAGCCTGCTGTTCGTCCGAGCTTTTCTCCAACTTTTTGCCAAAAGATGCAGGTATTATGTCCATGCTTGCCATTTTAACCCCTTCTTTTAGATTCATGGCGATTCTACCTCTGGCACTCCTTCCAAGTGCTCTAATCTAAACAAACAAGAAAGCAGCAACGGAGAGATTATTTCAGTAAATGAAAAAATTCCACTCTATGGTCTGAAACACATTTAGTGCCCAGGTGAACAATACGCCATATCCAATTTTGGAACCAATGGATAGATTGTATGAAACTTTTTGGAGGCAGTTTCTAACTCTTGCGCCCAACAATAACGCCTAGAACAAGCATTAAACCCATGCAAATTCATTGTCGGGAAGAAGAGAAGCAATGGTGAAAAGACTAACTTACATTCTCGCAAGGTGACAAAATAACCATCCCCTTCTGTGAGGCCATGGCTATATATTCATCATTTGTACAACACCTCACCCATTTCAGCTCATCACCTGGAACCTGTCAATTGAATATATTGATTAGGCTATTTATATGCATCATATAATGTCTTAAGGAACAAAGGGAATGGACAGACCAGTTGAATTGCTATTTTTCCAGTTGATCTAATTGAAGAGAAAAAGTTCAAAGATACTTTCTTGATATATCCCTTCACTGTTAGCATTATTAGGTACTGGTCTTCTTCAAATTCACTAACTGGAATAATTGAAGTAATTCTCTCGCCATCAGATAGAGACAAAATCTGGATCCAAGAAAAATTCAATAGTCATTAAATTCAATAAATAATCTCAGAAGATTACATGCTAAGAACTTTGGTCAAAGGTGTGTCAGTACTTGGACTAAAGGTGTGCCAGCAGCACTCCTGCTGCATTCAGGAATTTTAAAAGCGCGAGCTGAGTAGACTGCTCCCTTGTCACTGAAACAGAAATACAAGAAGAGTAACAAGTTAATATCTCATGAATGCAAATATTCTATTGTGCAAAAATTATTTTAAAATAAAATAAAATAAAATCATCTGATTGGATATATGATTTTGCACCCATGTCCCCCACATTGACATCAAGCTCAAACTAAAATAGGAACTAATATCGAAAAAGAATTCCCCTTCCAGTAAAATCCCGATTATCTTTTGCCTCTAGCCATCTAATCAAATGCATTTCTTGCACCCTCTCAAAACCAAAAGCAATCCTTAAACTTACAATTCAGGAATACTTCCAAGCTATTAAATTAAATGAAGGAATTACATAACTCCCAAGGATAACAAGAAGTATTTTTTCCCGGATGTTCCTCATAATTCAGAAATTGCTTGTATTCTTCTATAATGCCCAATTATGAAACAGACTAAAAGCATATATCTTTTGCATAAAAGTAGACGAGGCTATGCAAATGGCTGAGTTTATGCCACAACAATAAAATCCCTGCTTTCTGTCTTCTTTTAAGTGCTGAATTTTGTAAAATAAAAGCAGGACAGTGTACACATTGACATTCGTTGCCAATTGTTTACGAAGTAGATCAAATTAGCTGAAAGAGCAATTGAATACCTGAAGTACAAGACATGATCGTGCGTACGGCATACAATGAAATCAGACATTGTGTCATTGACTCTCAATTTTCCCACTGATTTTCCAATGGTTCCACGGTGTTGAATATTGAATGTATCTGGTCTCATTCTTTTTAGATAGCCTTTTTCACTAACTGCCTGAAAGTTTAACATACATTAGCAACAATACTGCAGATAGTCAGATACTTTTTCGCTTCTGGGAATTAATAAATAACAAATCGCATACCAACAGCATCTCTTCATTGGGGATAACATCTATGTCTTCAACTTGGCCATTATCAGTTTCCTCCAGCATTGATCGCCTTGGAGTGGAAAACTTGTTTTTTATTTCAAATGCTTCTTCTTCTATCAACTACGTATTACATCACAAATAAGAAAACGATAAATACCGATAAAGACAGTAAACATTGCTTCAAATGGCATGAGCTATTTGGTTAGATGCCAAGCACAATGACCAAGTGCGACAATGAAAACAAGAAAATTAAATAAGATTAAATTACAGAAAGACTAAAAATGAAACACTGGAAAAGACAGGGAACGTGAAAGCATGTGACTTGGCCTTGACGGAATCACTCAAAGTTAACTTCCAAAACCAAAAATATAAGAAAAATAAGCTATATTGCTTTCCACTATAGGAAATATCTAACAAATGCAAGCAGCTGTATAAAGAAAAGATGAGCCAAAAAGTTTGTACTTGAAAATTTTTAATTACTATTGTGAATGTAATCAATATTACAATGAAAGAGAACACTATTGAAACAGGTGCCTAATTGAGATGTAAATGAAGCTCCACAACAAAACTACCTCAAGAATTAGCTGTTTACTTGCAAGGAGCTGCCGAAGCTTGGAAATTTGTTCCGACAAAGATTTTCCTTCACTAACAAACTTGTTTTTCTGACAAATAAAGACTAGTCAGTACGACAGGAAAACCCTGAAACATGAAGTACATATGGATGCCCAAAAAATAATGAAATACCTCAAGTGATGTTAGCTTCCTAAGACTTATATCCAGGATAGCTTCTGATTGCTTGTCAGAAAGGTTGAACTCTATAACAGAGAATAAACTTTAATACATGAGAAATTTATTAGGGATAATTCATAGCCAAGTGCAGGAATAGCCACTAGCTTTTGTTATATTCATTGTCTTATTGTTGAGAAGTTGAGCTCTACAGAATCATAAAGTCCATTGAAGTATTCAACGATTGATGCTCAACACCTCATTCCTAACAGATTAATTTCAAATCCTAGGCACAGATGTGGGCTAATTGTATTCCATAAAAGGAAATAATATTTAAAATTAACTCTTACCTTTTCGGAGATTAGCATTTGCTGACACATGACTAGGAGCTTTTCTGATTATGTCAATAACTCTGTCTAGATTATCAAGTCCTGTTATTATACCCTTTGGCCCCATAGTGCAAAAGAAGAAAATAAAGAAAACAAGTCAGTTTTCAATCAAAAGTAGGCAGACATTCTTGAAATAATAAATAGAGGTGGGGATTCCAAATGAACAAACCCTAAAATTCAGATTGTTTCAATGGGCGAAATGCCAAACTAAAAAATTCAGGTTGGGACAACACTAGTAATCCTTCATTGGTTGGTGTATCATGTTTGACTGTTTGTATGGCCTTATGAATAAACTCATTTTATGTCCAATTGCCACCCTTCACCATCGAAATGTGTAGTACATATATAGTATCATTAAATTTAATAATATATAAAATACTACACTTTTGACGATTATGTTAATTAATTATATATCAAATTAGTATTCAAAGGTGAACGCACTTACATAAGAAAATGAATCAAAAGAGAAAAAAAAAATCAAAATGGATGACTTTTAACTTTAAAAATATAAGATAGATCATGGAACACAATGACTTTTGAGTAATGTGGCTACCTCAACAATATGATAGCGGTCCTGTGCTTGTGAAAGTTTAAATTTTGCACGCCTTTCAACCACAGAGCATCTGAAGTCCAAAAATGCCTGCAAAATGAGAAGGTATGAACAAAGGGAAATTTGTTATTGACACAAATAAAATTTCAACCTAGTAGTTTACAACAATATTTCTGTTGATAGTACTGCCAAAGGTTATGAACATATATATATATATTCTTATAAAAATTATATAATTTCTAAGAGTGTTCTTTTTACCGCTTCAAATCCAAATCAATACTATACATCCTACACGTTTTCCATTAAGGGTGTGTTTGTTTGGGGATTGGATTTTAAATACACTATTCATTCCATTTTTTCCCCCCAAAATCATCAAATCAAACACCTATTTTTCATTTTTTATATTATACTAAAAATCAATTTTACATTCAAAACATCACATCAACACCTATTTATATTATATCGTACAACTATTCAAATTCAAAATTTTTACTATTCAAATCTCAACTCAAAATCCAAACCCCCAAACAAACACACCCTAAAAATATACAATTTCATCGAACAAAATATCACATCAATATACTATTTAAACCAAAATTCAAATCAACACTACATTTCAAATAAATTTCAAACTACAATCAAACAAACCCTAACTCTCACATATCTCATCACCAACTCAATGCGTGAAATCAATGGTCCAATTGCTGAACCACATGGCATTTAATTGTGGTTCAGCAGTAAAGAACACATACCATGTTTATCTAAGAACTCAATTTATAATAACAAAGCAATCAATTATATATCCAATTATAGATATCAGCAGGGATGGGATGATATTATCACCTGAAGCAATTCTTTTAATCCCATTAGCTTTGGTTGGCCATTAAGAATCCTAGAAGGGAGAAAAGAGTCAAGGAATGATGAAATGGAAAAATCTCCTACTCCTTACAAAGGGCTGATTGGTTGCAATTGAAAACATCAACCATCAACAGCAACAGACAAAAAGAAGAAGCGTGTTTCCATCAATGCAATTCAAAACTTTGGCATACATCTTTGAATAGGACATGTAATTTATATGAATATTCTATAGTACCAGACTATATAACTTCAGATATTCTCAAGCATACATTGCGTCAAAAACCACAAAATAGAATTGTTTGTTCCCAATCCAACATTGGTCTCCACTGATAACTGATTAAACCCTTCATTTTTAGCCTAAACTGGGATGTTTCAGAGAATATATATATATACCCAAAATCTAACACATAATGAGTTCTCGAAAATAACACTTGAACTGTGAAAGCAGAAAGCTGATTTATTGTACCACCATTAAATACAAAACAATAAGTACCCACAAGTCCAAACACCCCAAAGTATTGTTCAAATCCTAGGAAAGCTATTAATTAGTCAAAAAAATTGCATCATAAAAAATTCATAGTCAACCCATAATTAAATAAAAGATCATATATGATAAATTGAAAACACTAAACATATACGAATTATAACATTAATATTAACTTTCAAATTAAAAAAGAAAGAAAAATTCCTATTTTTCACAAATTGTTATATATATGTAGTTTGAAATCACTTACCCCACCATATTGCAGCTAAATGTAGACTGAAGTGCTGTTAGCCGATATAGATTATTCAAGACAATGGATGGATCCGATCCCCTTTTAAGCTGGAAAATATAAGAAAAACTTACAGCAAGGAAATATGGAGAAGTAATCAACCCAAAATATACAAAAGCCAAAAATATAATTTAGAACCAGCAATTTAAGTCAGACTTGATTTGTTTAGCAATGGAAACAAAATTCAAGAAAATTTTAGGACAAAATTACCTCAATGACTATCCGCATTCCAGATCTGTCACTTTCATCGCGTATGTCACTAATTCCTTCCAAACTCTGGAGTAAACTCAAACAGAAACGGAGTATAATATTTTGTATGTATGACTTAAAGCTTAATAAAAGACAATTTTGACATGCCCTTGAGAAGATACCTTATTCTCAACCAGTTCAGCAATTTTCTCAACAAGGGATGCTTTATTAGTCTGATATGGAATCTGTTACATTGCAAAATAAATTCAGGCTTAAAAGTAAATGATTGTGCTAATCCTGACTCAATAGGAAAGACAAAGAGAGTTGTTTATAATTGAATAGTCAAAAGTTAAAGGTGAAACCTCTTTGATGATAATTGCTGAGCGCTTGCTTTTGGAATCAAGTAACTCGATATCAGTTTTCCCTCTTATCACTACCCGTCCCCGTCCAGTTCGATATGCCTCTAAAATGCTTGAACAAGGCAAAGGATGTTTAGAACATTTCACATCACAAGGCAATTCAAATTGTGAAAATGAGCAGGTTGTGCTCAGTTTAAGATGTCATTGCGTATGATTTAAACTTTCTGCAATAATTTTATTTAAAGAGCAAGCAGCGTCAAATAGAAGGTTCGAATGGTCAACCTAAATGAAGAGGACTTTTCCAGAAGATTCCGGCCAATAATAATCATAGAAAATACTCCTTCCGTCATCCAAATCTATTTGAGTTGTCATCGAAAAAATATTTTTGTTTCCCGTTTCAGCAAAAAAGTCCATAAGTTTTTCGTATTTTTTACTATAAATAGCAAAAAGTAACAATCATTAAACACTTTTATTAAAACTCGTGCCCAAACATTTGAGCACACAATTGGATGACGAAGTGAGTGATAAAATATTAAGTGACAAATAATTGAATCCAAGAAATATTGTTCATGTCAAAGGCCAAAAAGGTAATAAGTTTCTGGATGCCCCTTCCGAAATGCAGGCTCCCGTAATAACCTAAGGACACCTACAATAATAACAAGAGCTTATGCACTAAAATGCAAACTCAATGGATTTACTAGCCCAAAGAGAGCCACCACTTCACCCCAAGCAAGTATACACAACCGGTGGTTGAGGAGCTGGCTGAGCTCTACAGCACCTACAGCACCAGTTGCCTCAACTTCAAAACAAAGATTCTATAGTAAACTCATCTTGCAATGAATAATATACATGCCAATATTTTTAATGCTTGTCAAGCACTTGATTCATTTAGACCAGCATTTATTTTAAATATCTTGAATACGAAATACATGCAGTTCCTGAAAAGAAGAGCCTAAATGGGCAAGTGTGCTAACATGCTAACATGATGCTAGATTATTAGCAAAGATACTGAAATTCAGTAGCATGGGTAGAGAAAAATATGAAGGCAGGGTTATTGACAACAATTGGCAAGACAAAATGTAATTGACAGCTCTTTAAACTGAAAATTCGTTATGATGGCTACTCCACCAGTCCACCCACAATCATCATGTATAAGAACTTGAACTTAGGGAAAGAAAATTCAGCAGAGATCAAATTTCTTTAGGACAGGCATGTTCTAAATACATGCGGTTTCAAACCATAGAACCATCCATTAAACTGGCATATCCTTCTTACAAAACCAATGGTTTGACATTTTCAATAGTTGACAGTTTTTACTTTCTACTTGACAAACTTAATCATTGATTCTTACTTTAGCTTTGAAGTAATTAACAAGAAAAATGCATCCAATAATGGTTGATCATATAGTAAACTCATCTTGCAATGAATAAAATACATGCCAATATTTTTAATGCTTGTCAAGCAGTTGATTCCTTGAAAAACAGTGGGAATGAATAACAACTTACCCAACATTGCCCATCACAATGCCTCCAGTTGGAAAGTCAGGTCCAGGCATGTACTCTAGCAGTTCTTGCAGCTGAGAAAATACATTATGTACAGGATAAGATATGTGTAAGATATCCATGCTCTCATAAAGGCTGCAATCTAGCTTACTTTGAATATTTAGATCACAAAACAAGTTTTAATAATAATAACTTCAACCACAAAAATCAAGCCATACATTTCTTAATCAATTTATTGCATGCACGGACTCCTACAGCACAAAATAACTTGATAAAATCCATATAGAAAAAAATATTATGCTTAAAACAGACAGCTTCATACCAAAAGTGGAGCAGTTTTAATAAGTTTAACTAAAGCCAGTATATTGGAAATAAAAGTAGAGATGTTTGCCTTCTTAATTTAGAATTTCTTAATTTTACAGTCAACCTACAGAAAGTAGTATTAAATGATCTCTTTGCACTGCCCACTCATTTAGAAAGTTTAAAACTTTAATAGGGAAAGGGAACCTGCTCATGTATACCCTTTAGGAAGTCTACCAATGCAAAGCTCATTTCTTTGGACCTGTTAGGTTCATGCAGAGATTTTTTTATTTTTACATTTTTTTCCCAGTTCCTTATCTTTTGGTTTACCAAGGATGAAAAACCATCCTAGCTGTTAGCTAAATTAGTTAAAGATTCACCCAAAAAAACATTATGCAGGTTACTTTACCTAAGGATAGTAAGAAATTAAGAATGCACTACTTTGTGCCAATATCAAATATAGCAAAGAGCATGATGATGTTAAAGCTGTTTCTGGACATTAAAAGGATAACAGACACAGTGGATAAAAGGCATGCAGAAAATGCTATTACACAGACAAAATAATAAAGAAGAAATTGCAGAAGTGGACGAAACAAAGTTCTAAGGACTTAGGAGGAAACTCATACAAGTAGTTCAAGAATTAGTTTATAGTTCATTCATAAGTAGTAGTAAAGTATTAAAGAAGTATACTCGACTAGTAAAAGTGATACCGTTGCTTCAGGATTGTGAATCAACACAGAGAGAGCATCTACCAACTCTCCTAGATTATGTGGAGGAATATTAGTGGCCATTCCAACCTGTAGTTCCAAACACAAACATATAATGTATGCATAGATGGTAAAAAAAAAATCATGCAATAAATGTTGAGGAATCAGAATTAGTATTTCAAGCATGCTAAAGATGGGATACACACTGCAATCCCTGAAGAACCATTCAACAGCAAGTTTGGGATGCGAGCAGGGAGTAAAGATGGTTCTTTTTGTGAGTTGTCAAAGTTAGGAGCAAAGTCAACCTGCAATATGCAACTTTCTTATTTGACATTTCCAAACAACGATATTAAAAAGGTGTCTGAAAAAGAAGGAGGGCCGCTCACAGTATCTTGTTCTAGATCTGCCAATAACATTGCCTCTGTGAGCCCCTGAATAAACAAGAAGACAACATGAATCCAGTAACATATTAATGTAGCTTAGCAATGAAGATCAGAAAAGCCATGAAATAAAATTGTCATACCTCCAGCCTACACTCTGTGTAACGCATTGCTGCAGGAGGATCCGCATCCATGGAGCCAAAATTTCCATGGCCTCGAATTAGGGGTGCACGCAAGGAGAAATCCTAGAAACATTAAATACAAATCAAAGAAAGATTTTTCTCCAAAAAAAGGTATAACCTCTATGCCTAGATGCCAAATGTGTTCCTTAATATTATAATTAGTTTCAATTCTTGTTCATTGAGGTAGGCTAGAAGATCGTGTTTTGAAATCTGAAAGAATTGAGAAATAAGGCAAGTTTAATTTCCAGGTTAGCTAAACAGTCACCATTAGCTTGACCAAACCCAGTTGCTGAATACAAGAAGCAAGGCAGCAGTTACCTCAGAATAATAATGATTCTATCATTAGGAAGTTCTATGTTATACTTTCCACAATACAAAATTATCAGTTACCATAAAATTGTACTGATTGATTAGCAATGAAAGTTAGTTTTAAATTTGGTGAAAGGCCATGCCAAAACATCTGATAGATGATTCTCGGTTGAATCTTGCGATTGAAATGATTATAGAACAGAGAGTACCTGAGCCATTCGAACCAATGAATCATAGACAGCATTGTCTCCATGTGGATGGAACTTACCAAGTACCTGCATTTAATCAAATGAAAAAAAAAAAAGAAAGAAATTTCACTTAGTATAACCCATGTATAATGATCAAGTTACAGTATGTAACAAAGAGTCAAAGATGCAATTCATAAAATCAGAGAGACAAAAGCACAAGCAAGTATTTAATATGAATAAGAGACAACCTCACCAACTACTCGTGCACATTTCTTGTAAGGTTTCTTTGATGACAGGCCTAACTCATGCATTGCATATCTATTTGACATCAATAGAAAATAATAGTATCAGCAAACTAGCAGCAACATAATTTTGTACATAAGAATAACCCGGAGCACATTTAGGGTGTGTTTGTTTGAGGGTTTGAATTTTGAGTTGGGATTTGAATAGTAAAAATTTTGAATTTGAATAGTTGTATGATGTGATATAAATAGGGGTTGATGTGATATTTTGAATGTAGAATTGATTTTTAGTATAATATAAAAAATGAAAAATAGGTGTTTGATTTGATGTTTTTGGGGGGAAAAATGGAATGAATAGTAGAAATCCAACAAAATCCTTCAAACAAACACACCCTTAATGAACACATAAGTCACATGGTGGAAATATAGAAACTTCGGGCGTTTGAAAAAACAATCATGTTCTCTGCCAGGTCATCTAAGTTTGAACAAGAAATATAGTATCATAATTAATTTGTTCTTAAACCGATAAAAGCATGTGAAATATCTATCACATCTCTCCAAAAAGATGGAAATTTACTATAATTCTCGAGCCAGAACCTATGTTTGAATCCATTCTTATAACATCAACAACACAATCTATTCAATTGAAATTTCAGCTGCATTTCCTTTTCTTTTTACTCACTCAAAACACATCTTAAAACACCTAATATATAAATATATATATAGATTAATGTAAATATGAAAATTCATAATTTAAATTCAATTTCTTTTCATGCCGACTTTACCCTGTGGCCTACACCTAAAACTAACAATTAATCCCATGTTCAATCAGGCGACCTAATCATTAGTAACACCTCACATCTTTTCATATTTACATATTCTATTCAAATCATCAAAAACACTCTCAAAACACTAAATATATGTCCGTAAACAGAAAAGTTGTGTTCTCAAGAACAGGGCCATGTCCAACTTTAACGCACTAACCTCGTGCAGAAACCTAAACACATGATAAACACCACAAAAGAACCTTTAACTTGATCCTATCCCATCTCAAAATCTGAAATCCCGACACGTTTTAGCAAATTGAATTCCAACATTACACCAAAACAAATAAATAACAAAACAGCTCACAGAATCCTGCGGTGGACTGGCTTGAGCCCATCCCTGACATCAGGCAAAGCTCGACCCATAAGCACGGACATCGCGTACGCCATGTAAGCCTCGGTGGCCTCCTTGTGCAGCTCAGAGACGACTACCCTACCGTCCCCGCCTACCGCGCCATTTCCCCCTCCATCCTTTACAGAAGCCGCACTTCCATTCTCCTCCAGTTCCTCACCGCGCTTTGCAGAAGCTCGGACCGCAGAGAGCTTCCCACGCCCGCTAGAAGCCGCGGAGGACAGAAACCGGAGCTCCGAAACGCGCCTGGCAAGCAGTACGCGGGCCGGTGGGGTGAGGGAGAATGAGAGGGAATGAGGGTGGAAACGGAGCAAGCGGAGTCCGGCGGCGAAAGCCATAGTGGGTGAACGTGGGGAGAAATGTTGTTCTACTCTACTTGGACGCCATGGAAGGGTTTTGGGAGATTTCGATAAATACTCTGAGAGTGAAAATGAAAAACCCTAAAATCGGAAATGTCGCTTATTTCGAGGGGTTCTTGCGCGCCAATCCCTCGACTTGTCCGCACGTGATTTCCACGTGCGCATTCTCTAATGTTGACGGTGTACAATTGTAAGTCGTTTAGATTGATTTTTTCATAAAGTTCTCTTTCGCTTTTGCTTTTTAAAAAAAAATATATTTTCTCCATTCCATTATGATTGATATTTTTTTATTTTTATAAAAATTATTAAATTAAAATATATTTAATAAATATAAATTAAAATTATCTATTTCTTTAAAAAAATAAATATTTTTTATATATATTCAAAATTATCAAATGGTTCGATTCTTATGAAAAGGAGGGAGTATTTATTTCAGGGTGCGAAAAAAGGCAAAACATATTTTACTATTTAAATTATAATTTTAGTTATAATAATAATAAATTAAATAAATAAGATAAAATAAAATATATATAATTTATTTATATGAAAGTTAAATATAATTGTATTTTAATTATTACTTTATATTTTTATTTTAATTAAATTTAAAATTTATAATTGAAAATATCATATTTTAAAAATATAAATTTTAATTATATAGTAGATATTTAATTTTTTAAATATATTTTTTTAATAAAAATAATTTGTAAAATAGTATTACTACATTTAAATTTAATTTAATTTTTCTAAAAAAATACAAATATAATTATACATAAAATTTAATAAATATATCTAAAATTAGTTTAGATAATTTAAAATTGCAATTAGCTTATAGCTGATTCAATTAGCAGTGAACTGATTCAGTTAGCTAGTTTGACTAGCTGATTCGATTAGTTATTTGTATTAAAATATTTGGTAAAACAACTGTTTGATATTAGCTGTTTATACGTATTGAGGACATTTCTATTTTATTCTTATTTCTAATATATTCAATTATGTTTTTTTTTTAATCTAGAATGTTTAATTTTTTTTGTTATTAGTTATTGAAAATTGTAAAAGTGTTATAAAAGTATTTATTTTTATTACAGTTAGATTTAAAAAATAATATATTTTTATTAAAATATATAAATAATTTTTTTTATTGAAAATGATGTAAAATATAAAATAATAAATTTTTCGTGTATATATTTATTATGTTAACTATCGATTAGTTTATTATATTTATAATTTTCAATAAATTTAATTTATTTAATTTATTTTTAGTATAAAATTTATATAATGTAATTTTAATAAAAAAAAATAAATTATTAATATTTTTATTTTTTATTTTATGTTGATTTTAATAAATTTATATATTTTACAATTAAAAACAAATTTATATAAAAAAAAATATTTTAAATTTATAAAAGTAAAACTATAATATAATAAAATGTTTTAATATAATTAATAAGTAATCAAAATATATTTAGTTGCGTAAAATGTATAATAAATTTTTAAGGACATACAAGGAATAAAAAAAATTACAGAAAAAACTATTTCGCTGGGTAAATTAGCTTTTCATAAATTAGTTTTTTTTTTTTTGTCAAAAAGCTATTTCAAACACATTAGTTTTTTAACTGGTCAAATAGCTAAAAGTTGTTCAATAAAAGAGCTCTTCAAAAAGTTATTTGTCAAACACTCCCTTAAATATACTTTATAAAATTATGAATAAATTAAAAAAATTAATAAAAATATATTATTTAAATTACAATGTCCTATCCATTTTTTCATTTCGGTCAATTTCATAATAAAATATTTTTATTTTTTTTTTACACAAATATCATTATTTATTTTTACTGTATTTCAATATAATATTAATATTTCTAAAACTTTTTAAAAAAAACAAGCGGAACATATATATGAGACGGATGAAGTATTAAAACTTAAATTTACATTTAAAACATAGCATCAATATTTATTTATAATATATCATACAACTATTATCATTCAATTTTTTTACAATTTAAATTTTAACTCTTCAAACAAACCACCGAAAACATATCAAAGCTTAAATTTATTTTTATTTTTTAAATTATCAAATTATTTACGGTAGCTTAAGGAGTAAATTACGTGGCTATATTGATTATCTGCATTAAACATGACCATATTTATACTCTAAACATAGTCATGTTCCAGACCATTTTTACAACTTTGTATTCAACACGGCCGTGTTGATTGTTTAGGGCGCCGAATCACCTACGAGTCTTCCAATAAGGTATGATAAATTTTTATTCAAAGTTAAACCAAAATTAAAAATAAAAAAAAGTAAAAAAAGTAAAAACAATGGAACAAATTATCAATACTCCCTCCGTTCCACATAATTTGTCTCTATTTTTTATTTCCGTCCGTCCCACATAACTTGTCCTTTCTATTTTTGGAAATATAATTATGCATTAATCGCATTTTAAAATTTAAAATTTATAATTTTCTTAATTTTAATTAAACTATTTACTCTTAATCTATAATTATTTTTACTAAATAATAATTATTTTTACTAATACACTTCTTAATTACTTACTAATTATACTTTACCTAAATTCTCGTATTTACGGTAATATATCCAGATTACATGGGACGGAGGGAATATTATATTAATGAGACGAAGTAAATGACATTTTGTATAAACGAAGAGACAATACATGTTCAGTAATGAATGACAGGGTGACATAGGTGTTAAACTTATAATGGTGAAGTAATGAGTTTAAATATCTGATGTTTCGTCGAACTTAATTTGCATGGTATTTCACTCGGCCGGACGCGTAGCCCGTTGGTACTCTCCGGTAGTTTCCGCGCCATAAAAACAAGAAGACAGTATAATAAAAATAGTACTCCCTCCGTTCCGGTGCTGCTTTTTAGTTTTTGCAAGTTGATCGATAATAATTTTAATTTTATAAATAATCATATGACTGTAAAAAATTATTCATATTTTTTTTTTATTTTTATCACATAATTATCCTTTTTTATACTGATCCAGAAAAAAATTCTTTTATTATTGTTAATATAATATTGACAATAAGGTAAAGTGATAATAAATATATATGGATTTACTGTCAGTCCAAAGATTTCCATCCATGGCTACATCCGCCTTCAGGTCCACCTCAAGGAGAGCCGCCGCCGCCGCCGACCCCAAACCGCATCCGCGGCGGCGCTCCCACAGTGTCAGCGCTGTTTCTCGGAAAACTCACGCTCAACTTGATACCGACACTCTGAGTTCCACCGAATTTTCCAACAGCAGAGATAACCCCCTTTTTTGGGTTCCATCTCATTCGCCGACGGGCGGTGAAGATGGGGGGAGGACAGGCCAAGCTCTTTCCAGTAATGCCAAGCAATTGGCGGATAGAGCTACCAGAATCGCCAATGGAAGTAGCAACTCCGATAGAGAACGGCGAGGTCGTTCGATCACGCGGAGTGGCAATAACACGAACGGGATCGGCCGCAGCCTCTCGAGAGTTCGAGGGCGGTCCGTGTCTAGAGATCCTTGTACAAGAGCTCTCGAGGTACCGTTCCATTCTCCTTAATCTGATGATTATCCCTTAGTTCCAGTCTTATCACAATTGTGTGTCAGGGAAGTTTAAATTTCAGAATTCAGATCAAATCTCAATTCATCAATAATATGTATATATATATATATATGTTTGTATGGCCAGATACATTTGAATTCTGAATACGGATTTTATTGATGCAATTTGAACGAACAAATTAGGAAAAATAAAGATGGTGAGCTGGTAGATTTGGTCATGTTATTTTTTCATGTATTACAGTAGAAAAAGTCGTAATCCTGATGTAACGGATTAATATTAATGATTAGGATTGATAATTAGGACTAATGCTCGAATAATAAACAGACATTTGCATGGTTCACCCACACGGATTAAGGCGGCTAAGTTACATATTACAAGAGTTACGGTTTAACCTAGATTGTATATATCTACGTCTATTCAAATAAACTAAGATAATAGGCGGGCTCAACCCAATATGAAATCCAAAGCCCAATACTGCATATACCGAGTAAAACCTCAGCTAAGTGACAAACTAGATTCAAAAACATATCAAAATCCTTTAATGAACTGCATTGGTACAAAGAATGTAATTGCATAGAAATAATAATTGAGAATATGATGGCAGAGATAGAGAATGAGAATTGATTTTTTTATTTAGTAAAATATAAAATTCAACGAAGAAATGTACTAATACAATTTGGAAAACGTTCAAGATGCTGTATTATGTTTTAGATGAGTGAAAAAAGAGAGGGTGAATTGAGTATAAGGAAACAATGAATTAACTAAAAAAGGATTTCATTGGAGTGAAAATCTCTTGAGAAATATTATTGATTTGTTTAGTTTGTGATTTTTATTTTTACTTTTAACAATTTTTTGAATGTTATGTTTTGTGAGAGGAAATATTATATTTTTATAGATAATAACCAACAATTGAATAGTAGAAAAAAAAAAACGTTAAATAAACACTATGTCGAATTCTCATCTTTCATTTCTTTGTACGGTAGAGAAATGAAAACAAACCCAATTTATCTGTACCAAACACACCCCAAGTTCTTTGGTATTTTCTTTCATGGCAGAACAAAAAAGAGCAGGATATTCTCACATCCACCATGCATACAAGCAGAAACACAATAAAGAAGAATAGTAATGGGATAATCAGAACTAATTCACAAAATGCTGAAGCATTTGTGGGTTCGGAAGATGGTTCTAGTGTGAGTATGCTTCCTCTGGTTTTTATGCATTCAACTACTTGTCGCCATGCCCATGACTTTAATTTCACACAAAGGTGTGTATATTTTTGCAGTGTTGTTGGCAAATTCCAAATTTGGAGGACGGGGTTTCAGTAAGTTCATTATCAGAAGATGAAGAGAAAACTATTAAACCTGTACCCGAAGATTTCAATGTAAGCACTGAATTTGTAGTTAAAAAATTTGCACGGTTACTTAGCAACAGTCTGCTGAATCATTAGATTTATGCCAACCTGACTTTTTTACTTTACTTTTATCCTACTCATTTTGTTTGGTTGAATATATATATTTTTTGGTTCTTACACAGTCAATGGGGGAGAAATGGGTTGGAGGTGTACCACCCAATCAAATATATGAAACTGTTCAATCTGAAGTGAGACGAGCTATAACAGATATACAAAATGATCTTGAGAGGGTAAGTGTTCATGTTCTTTCTAGTCATTATTATACTGTTAATCATTCCAAGCCTGAAAGAATATGAATGCTCATGCTGTCTCAAAATTTAACTTGTGAGCCCTATTCTAAAATGCTACACAGCTTCGTTTTGTTCACTTGTGAAACAAAACATTGTTTTGGTGGAAATTAGTTACATTGTGATTCCACAAAGGTTTTCTTGAGCTTCTTGTGTCTGTCATTAAGCATTGACGCAATCCGAAATCGTGAGTTCATTCCGTTATAATAATTACTGTATCAAATTAGTACATAATGATTCCTTAATGGTGCACTTATGTAGGCAAACAACGGATATCATGTGGGTGATCTCTATTCCTTTTGATTGCCTTGACAATAGTAAAATTTTGCTAACATTTGATGATCGGTGACTACCCTAAGGGAATAAAGATATATGTTAGGAATGGAAACCTCTTTACTCACAGTTATAAATTAAACCCTTCTCACTAGGCTGGGTTCCTCTCATAGAGTCTTTCAAGTTAATATTTATGCCTTAATTTTTTAAGGAATTGTGATTCAAATATGTTTTAATCATTATACAGTTCTGCAATGTGCTTCAATATGACAGCTACCATGCTAAGATTGATGGAGTATAATACTTCTGTTTATATATCTTTGACTGCTTCCTGCAACTACTTCAATTCAGGCTTTTCAAAGAAATAATGGCAGCACAGTTTCAGCTACAAATGTTGCCAATATGCTTTCAGGTTTTGTGGATTCTGAGGCTGTTGATTTTGTCACGGACATCAGGAGGGAGTATGCCATGAAACTAGAAGAGGTGAATATTTGGAGACCTCCAATTTCTTATATCATCAAGTCTCACTATAACTCTTTTAGTAGATCATACAATTTATTAAATTATATTGGTGAAGTCTGAAGAGCGTGCAAGAAAACTTAGAGCAGATCTTGCCGTTGAAGAGCATCGTGGGCAGGAGTTGGGTAGAATGCTCAAGGAGATAGTTCCCCATCCCAACTCATCTGGTATGCAGAGGTCACGTCGAGGGAGAAGGGTAAGATATCTCATTCGTTATTTATTGTGCCTTTGGATATATATTATCTGAAATATTATACATGATGACTTCGTAGTTACAAGGTTTCAGATAGATTGCTACAATAACTTTGTTACTAGCTGCTAAGATCGTAAATGTGCCATTTCTGGTTGTGGAACAGAGCAGTTTGCCAGGGCTTTGCACGATATTTATGGTGTTATACATTCTTGCTTGGCTACCATTCTGTGGATTTACTGCCACTCTAAATTAAAAATCTCGAAAATTAGTGTATTGGAAGTTTGAGAAGCAGATTCTAAAACTCTTCTCAAGGTCATGACATGGAATGAAAATATCACCATGTTAAATGGAAGGATAGTCCACAGAAGAGGAGAGCTAAGTTTATAAATGCGTGAAATTTTATCATACTGAAAGAAGATTATGGATACTAAAGAATCCAATCCCCATGGCATCTTGTGTCGAGAAAAATTTATTTCTACATCAAAAGGGCGGGTATCCCTTGCCAGTTAAGTATAATTCAAATTCTTGAAAAAAAAAAGCAAAAATTGCTTCTCAAGTAATTTGGCCTTTATTCCTGTTTAATGTACAAAACATTTTATGGAAGTAGACTCGGGTGGACATTCTTGGTTATGCATATTACTGCTCCTTTACTGGAACTCAACCTGAAGATATCTTTTAACGATATTTTTGATAGACAAGCAATGAGAGAAAGCGGATGTCGAAATGTCTCAGTGAAGAAGCCATGGCATATTTTGATGAGTGTGTGTCCTTGTCAACCTTTGATAGTTCCGACTTCTCTGCACCAGAAGACCCACTCTGCACTTCAGCTGCAGGCACCTTACCATTGGGGGCTTCGTCTCTAGTTAAAGAAAGCCCAAGTACCTCGTGTAGTTATGAGCATGGTACCGGCCCTCATCTGGATCAGGTTCATTTCCTTAAACTTCCTTATTTTATGTGTACTTTTTCTATTAATGATGATCTGACGTACTATTGGAATTGAACCCTATGAAGCTCTATGCTATCATACGCTATCATACGACGCCAAACTATGAAAGCTTGATGGTTATGAGGCACATTGAGGCAAGATAACATAGTTGTCCCAATTTATCCACTAAATAAAAATCCTGATCCTATTTTTTTTTTGTAGAAATTTTGATCTGAGGTCAAATTTGTGGCTATTATCCTCCCATGAAATATATCTGCCATCAGACCTCACCGTATGTTAAATAAGTAGTATGAAATTCCATAGAGAAATCTTCTGACATTCTTTACTGTCCTGATTAATCTGGTCTCAAATTTGCTGTTTTTGTACCTATATATATATATATATACATACATGTTTGTGTGCCTCTGTATTAGCAGAGCTAATATTGAAATGGAATCATCTGAGAGACAAAATATACCATTTTCGGCGTATATTGAAAAACCTGATGATATATATATCTGACCCCATTTCTCCACTGTTGATATCTCCATAAATGTTGATTTGTTGTTTGTTGTTCGACTACAGCCATGCGGGTTCTATGATTCTGGACAGACTTCCAACGGTGCTAGCTCCATTCAAGGATTCAGCGAGCCGTCCCAATTCTCATTCGCTCCCACTTCACGCCCAGAAAGCTCCGGTCCTCAACTAGATATCAAGAGTTGCATCAAGATCTTCGAGAGAGGATCTTGCAAAGACAGCAGCTCCAAAGCCGTGCCATCCCACTACGACGCAGGAGAGTACAAGGCATACCAGCACATGGAAAACATCCACATCGAGCGGGTAGTCAACAGCAGCAGAATTCGATCGGGCAGCTTGCTTCTCTGCAGCCCATTGTTGCTCCCTTTTGCTTCTTCAGCACTGCTGTAGAAATTGGAACGACAGTAAGCTTCAAGATCAAGAACCTGTTTATGGTTAGTTTCTCTCTCTTGAGCTGTGCAATGGTAAGCAAAGATTTTTTTGAATTTATAACACACACACACACAAAAACATGTTTGTTATGAATTATGATTGTGAAAGTTGCATGGAGAGATGACAGTGAGTGGATTGTCTTCTCTCTCTTGAAAAATGCTGTATGTATTTGTCTGTTTGTTTGTTGGTCAGAAAAATTGAAGTTGAAGAAGGTGTATATGCATACAGGTATAATATTTAATGTAATTGTTTTTTAGTGTTGTGTTACTCATTAGCCAAAAGTAAAGCTTTATTAGTGGTTTTTTTTTTTTTTTCCTAAATTTTTTTTAAAATTTTTACAAAAGAAACACACCTCAAGATTTTTGATTTATTTGTTACATATTTTTTCACGATTTCATATAAAATATTCTATTATTTATATTTTATATATGGAGGAAATTTTGTGTAGTTAACCGAATATACTAATGAACTGAAGTAATACAATATATAAATTGAAGTAAATATTACATTTTTTTTTTTTTTGAATGGTAAATATGTTATGTTGAATTATTATTATTTTTGAATGAGTACTAAAGTTACTTTGAATTTAAAGTATTTAATCTAAAACATCACTAAGAATTGATTATTTATTCAATAATTTACTACTACAAATACAAAATGACATTTGTGTTTTTTTACCTTCTCTCTCAATTTATACATATAGAGATAGAGAAAGAATGAATGTGCCATTTGGTAGAGATGGCAGGAGGCAGAGGCCAGGTGTTGCATGCAAAATTTTATTGAATCCAATGAACCAAATTTATTTATTTTTTAAAATATATTTTTTTTAATACTTTCAATTTTTAAAAATTAATAACAAAATAAATTTCAAATATGATATCCTTAAAATAAATGTATATTTAGATTCGTTCTTTTGTGATTTTACATTGAAATTAATATTGCAATTTTTGATAAAAATATGTAATATTTTATTTTATAAAATATCACATCAAAATACTATTTCAATCAAAATTCAAATTAATATTTTATTTAAAATAAATTTCATATTATCAACAATATATTTAAATATAATGTTAAAAATATTTAAATACATATTTTAATTTAATTCATATTATAAATATACCAACAATATCACTTTTATAAAAATAATATTATAACTTAGTATTATTACCTTGTTAACTTCCACTACATAAATAATCGTAACCATAACAAATAGATTATCTATTTTAGGATCGAAAGAGTATTATATACTGTATTAATGTATATATTGTATTTTTTTAAAATAATATTTATAAAAAAATTTATGTAAACCAAAAACACCTAATGAACACAAACTATGTTTCATTAGAATTATATAAAATTTTACAAAATAAATAAAATAATCGAAAACTTCATTTTATTTTTCATTTTTGTTAAATATTTTTAAATAAATTGAATTGAAACAATTAGCATGAAACACATGTGTGTGCATATATATTCAGACACTATATATAGAATCATTCCCCTCTTAGCATACTTTCCTAAATTTCAAGTCGTATTTCTGATTGTAATAATTTGTTGAATATTTTATAATATATCTGAAATATTATATTACTTTCGTTCGGTTCTAAAGATCTCATTTAATCTTTAAATATTAATTATTATATCAAAATTTAGTACAACTTTTTAAAAAAAAATTGCAAAAATGTTTCCATATATAATACTAATAAAATGACATTTGTACAAAAAAAATTATACAAATATAATAATATTTTTAATATTAAATACAATGATGAAAAAGGTAAATAAGAACGTTAAGAAGCAAATTGAGGGAGTACTGTATTATTATACATGTTATTTTAATCTTAATAAATATATAATTATTATGAGTGTGTTTATATTTTGATATTTTGAGTTATTTTTTATTTATTTATTTTTTCATATGTAAGGCATAATTGTAAAAATATTAAAAAGAATATATATATATTATTATATTATATTTTGAATGAAAATAAAATGTAAGTATTTTTCTATGAAATTACTAGGGTTGTGTTTGGTTTGAAGTTCCTAATTTTAATTTTTAGTACTATTTCCGTCTCGTTGGAAGGTTGTCATTTTTCATTTTCGTCCGTCGTAACATAAGGTTACAATTTTCTAATTTAGTAATTGTACTGCCTACCTAACATAATAAATATCTTTTCAACTTACACTATATTACACAAATGTCATTATTTTTATATTACACAAATGTCATTACTTTTATATTACACAATACTAATATTAGCATTTTCGTCCTTTTCATTATAACCCATTAGAATACTAATATTAAAAAATTTATATGCAAAAAATAAACGACAATCTTGCATCTGGACGGAGGGAGTATTATTTTAAAGTAAAATAGTTATTCAACTTAATTGTTTATTTTATATATTAGAAGTGATTTTTAGATGCAATAGATTCTTTTAAAGAAAAAAATAATTCTATGATTTCTTTTTTTTTTTTTTATTTTTCTTCTTATTACATACTTGATGCTTTTAAGTAGAAATATATTTTTATATCATATCTAATTCACTATTTAAATAAATAATCAAATTCTCGATGTATATTATATGTCACACACGTAGTTCGTCTAGTATGATTTATCTTGTCAGACTTACTTTGCAAATTATTATATTCGATCGAAAATTTACTCAAAGCATACTCGAAATATAAGGATTTTACAAGTATTTACTATTTATAAGGATTTTTTTTTTAAAATATTAAATTAAATATTTTAGTTTTTATTTTACATTATATTAAAATATTAATTTCAATTAAAATATATCACATAAATATTTATTTATATCATATTAAATAACTACTTCAATTAAAACATTTTACTAAAATCCGAAGTATATAAAAAATATAAAAAAACAACAATTGTTGATGTTGATGGACCTATTTTGAATATTAATAAATAGACTTCCGTCATTTAAATTTATATTATTTTTTTTATTGATATAAAAAATATTCACATTTCTATTTTCAATAAAAATTACATAAATTTATAGCATTTTTTTAATATAATGAGCAAAAATAAATAATTATTATACATTTTTATTAAAATTAATATCCAAATATTTAAGTACATAGTTGAATAACAGAATAAAAAAAAAATCACTAAACTTCGAAACATTCAAACAAACAAACTTCGTATTTTACAATCACGAGAACCAATATTCCTGTAATATTTTTCCTATAGATAATGATAAAATAATCTTAGGGTGTGTTTGTTTGGGGGATTAGATTGGATTTACACTATTTATCCAATTTTTTTTTCTCCCAAAAACGTCAAATTAAATACCTATTTTTCATTTTTTATATTATACTAAAAATTAATTTACATTCAAAACATCACATCAACACATATTTTTATCACATCATACAACTATTCAAATTTAAAACTTTTACTATTCGAATCCCAACTCAAAATCCAAACTCCCAAACAAACACACCCTTAATCAATTGATTTTATTATGAAATTGCCGAACTTTTTCATAATATTTTCTTTTTCATTTTTTTTTTCCTTTTTTTTCTATTTTTATCATTAGCTCCTAAAAGACCCTTTTATTTATAAATTCAATTGTGATGTTTTTTAAGAGATTAAATAATATAAAAGTTTAGAAAAAATAAAATAAAATAAAATAAACAATTTCCACATGGAAAGATTTCAAACGGAAATAAATAGTATCTAATGTGATATTTTTATAAAATAAAAATAACCAAACAATATACTCCCTCCGTCCGATTCTAAAAGTTCCATTTACCTTTTGCGTCATTATAACATTATAAATATCTTTATATTTATATAATTTTTGGCACAAATGTCATTATAATAGTATTATAAGACACTAGTAGAAATATTTTTGTCATTTTCTCTTAATTTGTACTACGTTTTCATATAATAATTAATATTCAAAGATCAATACGCAAAAATGAATAAGATCCTCAGAGCCTGACAGAAGCAGTACATCAAAATGTTCAGAAAACAGATTCCACATATTACAGTCACGAGAACGAATATTCCCATAATATTTTTCGATAAATAACAAAAAAATAAAATTCTCTAAATAAATTTTATTACAAAATCGCCTAACTATCCCATAATATAAAAAAGTTTTAAACCAACGCATATCTATATCTATATTCACATAAATGTAACATGAATAAACAGTATTAGTGTGATATTTTAAAAATAAAAATAAAAATTATACAATGAATATAAACATTCAAATTCCATATATTACGGTCACAAGAATCAATATCCTTGTAATATTTTTCGATAGATAAAGATAAAAAATTTCTTTAAATAAATTTTATTACAAGATTGCCGAACTTTCCCATAATATAAAAAAAAATTAAAACCGACTCATCTATATTTATATTCGGGTATGTGTAACCGGTGAATTATGTAATAAAATTTACCTACATATATATTTATTGTCAAAATATCACTATCTCTTTTTTATTCAGAAGTCTCTTAAAATCCTCGTATTTATAAATTCAACTGAAATATTTTTTAAAAGATTAAATAATATAAAAGTTTAGAAAAATAAAATAAAATAATTTTGAATGAAAATAAATATTAGATGTGATATTTTTTTATTTTTTTTGCTAAATAAAAAGTTAAATAATATACATTGAAAATAAACTCCAAATATTACAATCACGACATCGAATATCTCTATAATAATTTTCAATAAATAATAATAAAAAAATTGATTTTTAAAAATCCTCCGATAATATAAAAAGAAATTGAATCAACTCATACATATATACTTGTATATATTTAACCGGTGGATTATACCATAAAATTTATTTATATATATTTATTTAATGCCAAAATATCACTATTTATATCCCATTTTTATTCAAAGTCCCTAAAAGTTCTCTTATTTATAAATTCAATTGTGATATTTTTAAAAGATTAAATAATATAAAATTTTCAATAAAATTAACAATTGCTCCGATTGAACGATTTTGAAAGAGAATAAATAGTATTAGATGTGAAATTTTTTTTAAAAATAAAAATTTAAATAATATATATCAAAACATTCAAATAAATAAATTTCATATATTACAATCGCGACAACGAATATTCCTATAATATTTTTTTGATAAATAACAATAAAAATTCCTCTAAATAAATTTCATTACAAAATTATCGAACTCTCCCATAATATATATATATAATTAAAACCGAATTCATATCTATATCTATATTCATATATATTTAACTCGTGAATTATATAATAAAATTTTCTCAATATATATATATATTTAATGTCAAAATATCACTACTTCTATCCCCTTATTTATTCATAAGTCCCTAAAGTCCCTCTTATTTATAAATTCACCCCATTCCAAGCTTTCCCTGCGCCTGTTAATGGCGTCTCCCTCTATATATCGTCTTCTTCCTCTCTCTCTCTCTCTCTCTCTCTCTTAAATATTTTGGTAAACCACTTTAATTCAGTTCACCAGCAAAGCAAATACAGCTTTAGCTTCTTCTTCCCTCTTCTGTTTTTTTCGATTCCTCACCAACCCACCCACATTCAATACTTCTCTTTCTCTCTCCTCTCTCTCTCTCTCTCTATATATATATCTATATATATATATATATGTACACATAAATCTCAGTGTCTGAGTTCAATCATGGAAAAGGACAAAAAGCAATTAGCAACAACGAAGACGAGGAATAAGAAGAGACCTCCTTCTTCTTCTCCTTCTCCTCCCTCAGCTTCTTCCTGCATCGAATCCGCCCCTCCAATGGCCAGGAAGTCCCGGACCAAAGATCCTCTCCCCGTCGCCCTCCCTGCCAAATCCCGAAGCTCCATGTTCAGAGGCGTCACAAGGTATACACACACATATATTAATTAATAAATAAATAAATAAATAAATCATTTCTAATTTCTAAATTCCAAAAAGTAATTTACAAATTAAAATACACTCCATCTTCGTCTTCTTCATCGCCGTCGTAGCATTGCATGCACAGATTATTTTTATTTTTATTATTGTCAATAATTATTGTAATTCTGATTATTCGATAATTAATAAATTGAGAAGAATTGAAGGTTCATCAATGGCGTCCTGCAGGCACAGGTGGACCGGCCGGTTCGAGGCACATCTCTGGGACAAAAATTCCTGGAATTCTGTTAATAGCAAGCGAGGAAAACAAAGTCATTTTTCTATTTCTTTTTTTTTTTTCCTTAATTTATTTATTTATTGAAAATTATTTATTAAAATTCAGATCTGCAGTGGGAGCATAAACTAATGAATATTTGCGGAGCTGTTAATTTTTATATATATATTTTTTTATTTTCTGACCCCTGTTTTTTTTGCTTTGCCGATTTGATATGATCCAACGGTCGGGAACGACGCATTGCTTCTACACACATCATCAGTCTATTTAGGTATTTTTATGTGATTATTGCAATTTTTATTTTTATTATTTTGAATGAAATTTTTGTCGAACAATATGATTATTTTGTGTTATTACTTGTTTATTAATAGGAGCTTACGACACCGAAGACGACGCCGCGCGCACATATGATTTGGCTGCGCTTAAGCATTGGGGTCGCGACGCTTCGCTCAATTTTCCGGTATTTCTTATTAATAGAATATACAATTATGAAATTCTATAAAATGTATCGTAATTTTAGATATATTTGTTTCAAATGTGCAATGTGTGTTGATTAATTGCTTGAAAATTTATTGTGTAGCGTAGGTAGTCGAATTTTAAATTTGTCACTTATTATTCGTCGATTTAGATTGTTTATTTTTAATTAATTGAATGCATTGATGATATTCTGATAAATTTAGGTCGGAAGATATGTTAAAGAGCTCGAAGAAATGAAAAAAATGTCTAATGAAGAGTATCTGGCTTTTCTGCGAAGAAGGAGCAGTGGATTTTCGAGAGGGGTTTCTAAGTATCGCGGCGTGGCAAGGTAATAAAATTTTCCGACTGATGGCCGTCTCCGGCGAACAGAAACGGCGATAGTTTACTGTTGTTGTTTCAACTTTCGATGTATAAATTTGATTCGAAGTCTGTCACGTGAGTCCTATTTACACTTTTTCGCGGAAAATCCGGGTGGGTCCATTTTTTTTTCTGTGGGGCTCTGACAAAATTTAAATTTTTATTAAATAAGAAAGTGTAACGTATCGACGACCAAACCGAGCATCTTTTTATAAATATAATTTGTCGTTTTCTTTCGAACTGAAAAAATAATTACGACGAACCTATAACAATAATTACTTGGTTGAATTTTGACAGGCACCATCATAACGGGCGGTGGGAGGCGCGGATTGGGCGCATCCACGGAAATAAATACTTATATTTAGGCACATACAGTACGTATTCTCGATTTACTTTCATGTTTATATATACATCCGTTACAACTCATTTTTTTTAATTTTTTTTGAATTAAAAATTAATATTTTCTTATAGAAAATATTTTTGTAGTATAATTCAAAATTACATTTATGGAATAACTACTTATACTTAAACACATACACTACGTACTCCATTTACATACATCCGTTACAATTCAATTTTTTAATTTTCTTGAATTGAAATTTAATATTTTAAGATAATATTTTGATAGTATAATTCAAAATTACATTTTTTATCATTATTATTATTGAAAATCATGGCATTATTAATTAATTATATCCTTGTAAATATAATATATAAATAAAATAAAGCTCACCTAATTGGGTGTGGAGATCTGGGGTGTGTTTGAAATCTAGCCCAAATAGTTTATTTAGGAAATAATTAAATAATCAAAATAAATAAACAAAAAAATGACGTGGCACATTGCTGACTGTGTTGTGACATTATTTTAATATTTAAGACAATCTCTGCATCTCTAGTAAAAAGTAAACTTTATAAAAATGTAAAATATTCCCTAAACACACATGACTACTACTCCTTTGAATTTTGACCCAATTTTTACCATAAAGGGTATGTATTTTATTTAGAATAATATAATATTCATATATCTTTTTTTGAAATAATTATGGTCACACTTAGATATATTTTAGTAAATAATGAGTGCGATGTTTCTTAGAGATCGAATTATCGAAAACAAAGTTGAAAACACAAGTAAACAGTCTGTCGATTTATATATATTGTTCCGTAGGTACGCAAGAGGAGGCCGCGGAAGCGTACGATCGAGCGGCATTGGAATTCCGAGGCCCGAATGCGATAACAAACTTCGACATCAATAGGTACACCCAAACGGCGAATACTTTCGCGCCAAATGAGGAAAGACAAGAAGTCGACGCACCGGAAACCGAGTCGATGCCCCCGGGGAATGTATTACCCGTCTGTCAAGAATTCGAAAATCCGGACGCTGCCATTTTAGAATCATCAGTTCCAGAGGACTCTGCAATTGTCGTCGCGATGGAAGATCTCATTAACCCGGAAGCAATGAACGACACAATCGATTCGATCGATACGCAACCCATTGTAGCGGTCGATCCGACGAACGTGCAAGCCACAACGGGCCCCGTCGAAGCGCAAGTTGCCGCGCCGTGGGACGATATCTGCCTAGACGTCGGGTTCAACAACTTTACGATTCCGGACATTTCTATGGGAAATGGGTCCGGCGGTGTGTTCGACTACAAGGGGTTCGATGATAACATCGATTTCATGTTCGATGGGTCGATGAATGATACCGAGATGTTCTTTAACGGCGACGGCGAGGCCAATGCCGTTGCCCCCGTTGCCGCTGCGGATGCTTCGTCTTCGCCGTCTTTGTCATCTCCGGCGTCGGCGTCGACGTCGACGGCGGCGTCGACAGGCAGCAACATGTGAAGGAAGTAGAAGGCATTGAGTAGTAAGTTTAAACTCTCCTTAAAACTAGACGAACCATGTTTGGCTATGACTATGGAGTTTTTTTAGGTTTTTATTTGGTTTTTAGATTTTTTATTTTTTATTTTTAAAGAAAACTTGAATTTAGACTTTGCAATTGCAAAATTTGGGCATGGTTTTATTTATTTTTAGTTTTTGGTAGTATGATTATTGATTTGTGCATGTTTGGAAATGCTTAGATAAATCATAAATTGTTTACAATTAGAAAGTTACATAGATTAAATTAAATACTTATTATTATTTGTAATTATATTTTTCAGAAAACGGGGATTTGAATAGTAAAAACTTTTGAATTTGAGTAGTTGTACGACGGTTTGAATGTAAAATTATTTTTTTAGTATAATATAAAAAACGAAAAATAAATGTTTGATTTAATATTTTTGAAAAAAAATGAAATGAACAGTATATTTAAAATCCAAATCTCCAAACAAATTATTCTTATTTTATGTACTATTTGATATTTGCTTAGTTTGATTTATTCCATTTTTATTTTTTTTTCTTGGTTATCCATTTTAAAAATTATATAAAATGCTCGGTTTTATTTTTTATTTTTTTTTAATGTATTTTCTTTGGATTTAATTTGATTCTGAAAATAGTTAAATATTATGTGTAAATTAAAATTTTCAATTCAAATATTGGAATAGTTTAGTTCAATTAGAATATCAAATATTTGAAATTTATATGGATTATTCACCTTTTTTTAAAAAAAATAAAAAAATAAAAAAAATTGAGTAATATACATTCTACTAATTTATTGTATTTTTCTCTTAAATCTAGACAAAACAAAAATATAGTAAAAATATTTGATTTTGCTGCCTTATTCACCCAATAGAACATTATATTCAATAATTACAAATAACTAATCATATCATTGTACCATAATTGATTGAACACACAAGTATTAAATTATATCATATATTAAAAAAAAAATATATATTTATAGCGAAAATTAAAGACATATGATCGTTAGCTACGTAAAAATTAAAAATAAAATTTAATAAATTTTGTCAATAATATTATTAGTAATGAAAAATATGAATTTATAAAATAATTTTTTTTTTATTATAAAAATATTATTTTCTTGGACCAATATTTAATTAATGAGTTTGGGTGGAGTCTACATTAAGGTCCAAGCCCAATTTTTTTTACACCGCCTAAAATCTATATAATTTAAAAAATAATTTTATTTTTATGTAAAATATAAAAAATTATTTTAAAAAATATAAAAGTAATAAAAATATATAATATTTTAAATTTTAAAAGTATATATAATTTTATTTATTTGTTTTTATTTTTTTTAGGAAATCACACCCTTATTAAAATTATATTATATTAATATTGATATAATGTCTTTATGTTTTATTTATTTTTATATTTTGTATTGTTACATTTTATAATTCAACTCAAGTAACACCAGCCGTCACATTCATAAATAAATAAATAAATAAATTCTAAATTAGAGTACACATGATTTTATATTTTGTTTGATTTATGATTGGAGTTTAATTTTTATTACTTTAATTTGATAATTGGTAAGAAAAAAATATATTTAATAAAAAATACCATAAATTAGAAAATAAAAAAAAAATTAATTGAAAATATAAATCACTGCGTCTAAATTCATATCAATAATTGTACTATTATTAAATCACAAAGGCTTAAATACACAACACAACAATACAAAGCTCGAGAGTAAAATGGAAGGAGGAGCCAAAGCCTTGGCCAGTCAGTCTCCTCACTCCGTTGAACTGGTCCGGGACGAGACGACGCTGCTCCCTCCAAAATCACGCACTAAATCCACCTAATTCAGTGACTGACACCAATCTGGGCCACTGCCCTGCTGGAATTGCAGTGATGCTATTATCAGAGGCGAGAATTTTTATGTATTCTACATTATGAAAAATGAAACCAAAAGGTGTTTCTTATTTACCGTTGATTACGCTGTCGTTTGATAAATTTGTAGGTTTCGACGATTATTGGAGGTTACGGTTCATGTTAATTTCTGTACTGCGTGTGATCTTAGGATTTGTATAGAGAAATTGCAAAATATTACTATTGTTTTATTTTATTTTTATTTAATTCGTTGGGTGTTAGCCTGTTAGGTGAGACTTGAGAGTGGTTTTGGTATTGGGTGAATAGTTTGGTAAATGAATGTGAATGGTGTAGACAACATTCTGTGGATTAAGGGCCAAAATTATGCTTAAGAATTTACTAATTGAATGAAGGGTTTTATCTACGGTGATTGAAATATTCAGTATGGATGTTTTTTGTGGGCTTTTGATTTCTTGCAGGAAATATGCCACATGTTGAATTGTTTAGTTTTGGTTTCATTTATTGAACTGATGGCTTTTAAGGAAACAATCACAATTCACACAAGGTTGTTTAGTTTCCAGCTCATAATTTGATGAAAGTGTATCTTCAGTTTGCTTTAACGATGAGTTCTGAATCCTCTTTTGAGCCATGAGAGATTTCTTGTTTCTCCCGTGCAATAGATTCGATGGTGCATTATTATGTGTATAGTTTACTTTTACTTACATTAATTGATGACTCGAACTTGCACGTTCGATGGCATTTATGGAAACAATACATGAGGTTGTTATTGCAGCTCAGGATTTAATCATAGTGGTGTTTGCTTATTTTTAGGGACATGTTCATTGGTGTTGATCCCGAGCAATGGAATTATTGATGCGTTATTATGTTTTATGCCGTTTGTTGCAGAATTGAGCCTCTAATGCAAGCTCGTGGTTCTTATCTACTTTTGCGTGTGGAGTTTTAAGAGAAATTCTGGTCTTGAAATCATTTTACCAGACAAGATGGACACTGAAGTGATTAAGGTAGAAATAGAGAAAAGGCAAAGAGATGGGGTTTCTTGTACACAACGTAGTGAGGATGGGAATGAAAATCAAAGTGGCAATCCTGTTGAAGGAGAAAACAATCAAGCTGATGATGGGAATGAGAAACCTTATGTTGGTATGGAGTTTGAATCTGAAGAATCTGCCAAGAAATTTTATGATGCATATGGACGGCGAGTGGGTTTCAGCATTCATGCTGGTCAATACAGTCGCACCAATCCTGACGGTCCAATCGTTTCTTGGGAGTTTGCGTGTTCCAGAGAGGTTTTCAAGAGGAAGAATATTGAAAGCTGCAGTGCTATGCTACATATTGAGAGAAAGGATCCAGACAGATGGGTTGTCACAAAGTTTGTTGAGGATCATAATCACTCTATTATGAACCCGAGCAAGGTGCATTACCTCCGAACCCGTAGGCATTTTGCTGGAGCTACAAAGAGTGCTCAACAGATAGTTGATAATCAAAATGATATTATGGTTTCTGTGGAAGGGAACAATGTATTGTATGATCCAAATCCCCTTGTTGGTAACACTTCTCTTAAAGAGGCAAATTGTACACTAAGAAATGTCTCTCCTGCAGAAAAGATTCCTGTTGTTAGGAATTTATCATCTGCAGAGGCAAATCGTGCAACTGTGAACACTGCCCCTGTGATGCCACTTCATTTTCTTCAGCCTTCTAGCCGAAGAGGATCTCTTGGAAAAGATGCACAGAATCTTCTGACCTATTTTCAGAAGATGCAAGCTGAAAACCCTGGTTTCTTTTATGCCATACAGCTTGGCGATGACAATCACATAAACAATGTTTTCTGGGCTGATGCAAGATCAAGGATTGCTTATAGCCATTTTGGTGATGCAGTAACTTTTGACACCATGTATAGACCCAATCAGTTTCAGGTTCCATTCGCACCCTTTACTGGGGTTAATAATCATGGTCAAATGGTTTTATTTGGCTGTGCACTGCTTTTTGATGAGTCAGAGGCTTCCTTCACTTGGGTCTTCACAACTTGGCTCTCTGCTATGAATAACCGACCTCCTGTTTCCATCACCACCGACCAAGATAGGGCCATCAAAGCAGCTGTCCATCGGGTGCTCCCAGAAACTCGCCACTGCATTTGTAAATGGCACATATTAAGGGAAGGTCATGAAAGGCTTTCTCACATTTATAATGTTCACTCAACTTTGTATGGAGAGCTTTATGGCTGCATCAACTTCTCTGAGACAATTGAAGATTTTGAATCATCATGGAGGTCTATAAATGATAAATATGATCTGTGGAAAAATGAGTGGCTGCAAGCTGTATACAATGCCAGGAGGCAGTGGGCTCCTGTTTATTTTCGTGACACTTTTTTTGCAGCTCTTTCATCCAACTACGGAGTATGCTCCTTCTTGGATGGGTATGTGAACCAGCAGACAACACTACCTATGTTCTTTAAGCAGTATGAACGGGCATTGGAGAAATCTGTAGAAAGAGAGGTAGATGCAGATTACGATACATTAAGTACCACGCCAGTACTGAAGACACCATCACCAATGGAACAGCAGGCAGCTAATTTATATACAAAGAAGGTTTTTATGAAGTTTCAGGAAGAATTGGTTGAAACTTTTGTTTACACGGCCAATAAGATAGATGGCAGTGGTAGCGCTAATAAATTTAGGGTTGCAAAATATGAACACGATCACAAGGCATACATTGTCACATTGGATTTTTCTGAGATGAATGCTCGTTGTAGTTGCCAGATGTTTGAGTACTCGGGTGTTCTGTGCAGACATATATTGACAGTATTTACTGTGACAAATGTATTGACCATTCCATCACATTATATACTAAAGAGGTGGACTCGGAATGCAAGAGGTGGCCTTCCAGATGAGCAGGAGATGCATATGGCATCTGTGGAATCTCTGATTGTACGTTTCAACAGTCTTTGTTGGGAAGCTATAAAGTTTGCAGATGAAGGAGCTATTTCTAATGAGACATATCAGGTAGCCATGGAAACTCTACGTGATGGTGCAAGGAAGATTTCTATGGTTAAGAAAAACGTAGCCACAATTAAACCCTCTAGTTCTCAGGGAAGTGGAAGTTTTCCGGACCAGAGTAGCAAGAAAGCTTCTTTGTCATTTCCTGATACAGCACCATCCTTGTGGCCTTGTCAAGAAGCTGCATCAAATTGTTTCAATCTCAATGATGCAGGAAACCCAGTTTCTGATTCAAGCCATCCAACTATGGCGCCAATAGCCATAAACCGTGATGGTTCCTTGGCTGATAATACGGTATATATTGTAACATCTAGCTATAGCACTATGTCAAATGATTGCAATGAAAAGTATGGTTCAGGTGGCAGTAACTTTTAAATCCATTGTTCTTTAAATGCTCGTTTTCCTCTTGTAGGTTGTGCTCACATGTTTTAAATCCATGACATGGGTTATAGAAAATAAAAATTGGCCAAGTGAAGTGGCTGTTATCAATTTGAAGGTATGCATTTTGCTATATAACCAACATTTGCTTTTCTGAAAATATGGAATGATGTCTTCTTTTTGTTATAATAACTTTGGAAATTGCAAGACTGGCGCGCCTGTGTATGTGTTCTCTTCTGCTACTCCACTAATTTTACAGTATCCTTTGCCCAAGGCAGCTCCAAGATTATGGCAAGACTCCTTCAGGAGAATCCGAGGTGCAGTTTAGAGTTACACGAGCCACACTGGAGCCAATGTTGAAATCCATGGCTTATATAAGTCAGCAGCTCTCAATTCCGGCTAACAGAGTTGCTGTTATCAATCTAAAGGTGTTATATCTGATTTTGTAGCCACGTTATATATATATATATTTTATATCTAAGAGTTTTGGGACTATCATTCATCCAAAACTATATAGGGGCTGCTCTTTATTTGATCATGTTGGCCCCAAGTTTGACATTTGGCATGCATGGAGAGAGAAGCATGTGAAAGCTGGAGGGTATAATACTAATATGACTTGGTAGCAAGTGATAGGAAATTCCAGTTGGAAAAGCAGTATATCTCTTTGTGTTTCTTAGTTAATAGGACATCACAATCTGTGTGCTACTTTGATTGTGCTCAAAATTTTCATGACCAAAGAAAGTAATACAAATGTTTCCTATCTATTTTTTGTGTTGCTTTTAACTCAATACTGCTAGACCTACAATTATTCTTATTGAAATGAAACACTGTTTCGGTCTGCAGCTCCAGGACCCTAAAACTACAAGTGGAGAAGCAGAGGTGAAATTCCAAGTTTCAAGAGATACTTTGGGTTCAATGTTGAGATCGATGGCTTATATTAGGGAGCAACTATGACACGTGAGTTAACTTCTTTTTTTTTTTTTTTTTTCATTCTTATTTTGTTTTGGCTTTGTTATAATTTATTTATTGTGTAAGGTTGTTATCTTACTTTTTTGGCACAATCTAATTTGCTTGCTAGTTGTCTTATACTCCTATTTGGCAAGCCATTTATCGGGGTGCACTGAATTTAGTCCAAAAGTATGTGGAAATAATGGCTATCGACCATCCAAAGTTAGAAAGTTGTGCAACTGTGAAAAGCAATGTGCATTGGTAAAATTACTGAGTGAACTTGTCAACTGTATTTTTCGGCTTAATGTTCTTTGGTTCAGAAAATTTAGAAAACCTAATAGATGGGATTGTTGGGGAGTTTCCATCTGGCTTTATTTAGGTAAAGTTAACTTTGAATGTTCACTTTTGTATCCCTTTTTTTCATTTTCCATCTTTAGCTGTTGGTTTAGATAATGGAATGGCAACGAAATTTGATTCCATATTTACACTGTGCCGCATTTTCTTAATTCTGCTTTGGCATCCCAAACCTTCATTCGTTGATCATCATCATATATGTATATATGTGTGTGTGTGTGACATGAAAGTCATCAATTCAAAAATATGTTAAAAATCCTCTTAGTACCATAATTATATATCATTGTAATATGCATTTTTCACGCACTGATGAGTACTTATCTTTCCCTAGTTTGCATTATGTTTTTTTTGTCCTTTCCCAGTTATACTTTCTTTTCCGGTTTACCCATTCCAAAAGTTATGCAAAACTTATCTCCCTGATTACTTCCCATTCTCGACATGTGAAAAGCTACAATATTGACAGAAGTTGATAAAACCATTTATTGAGAACAGCCAGCAAGCTAGAGGTAACTCAATGCCAGTTGTTTTAGAATTTGTTCCACAGCGACAGAGTATTCTAAGCAACCAAAACTATCAAATGACACGAGATTTCTGAGCCATGATCATTTTCCTGTATCTCTGCCGGTATCCAAGGTTTGTCAGCTCGTCTGTATTACTATTGTTCGATATTGTTTGGTTGCAGCTGTTTACTGTAGTAGTAACAAATTGATTGTTCAGTTCTTCCCAGAACTTCTTTGATGGATGGATATCCAGATTTCTGTATAAGCAATGAAAGATTGCTCTTTTTCACTAAATGTCATTAACTGTAGAATTTACGCATATCTCTAATTGATCACGGTTTTTCTCAGACTCGGTATAAGTTGCCCGAACATTCTTCACTCTGTTAACCCTTTTCTGTGTTTTCAACGACCTGCAAAATGACTGAAAACTGCATCCTAGATTGATTGAAATGGATAGTAGAATGTAAACTGCTTACATTGTTGTTTTTTCTTTCTTTCTTTCTGGTAAAATAGAATCATGTATATGTTTGGGGACATTCATGATATTCCTAAATATTTATGCTATCAAATCCTCAAATGGAAATTCGGCATTTAGCTCTATGGACTATCTTTAATTCTGACTGAAATAGATCAATTTATATCTACCAAGCGTCGAGATTGCTCCAAGAAATTCATGTGGCCTCTGATTCTTTGAAACCTAAATTGGAGGAGACAGCAAGATTTGCTTTCATGAAATGATGCATGGTTTTGGACACAAATTTGGCAAAACCAGAATTAATCTTCTTTAATCCCATTCTTGATTGCTCTCACTTACAGCTCTACCAAATTTGAACTACTCTTTTGTTTTATTCCAGGCTCTAATTTAGGGATAGACTTGATTTGTTCTATGGGGGCAAGTAATTAGGCCTTATTAGCAAATTGTTATCCATATCATGATTGCCCTTTTACCTACCTAGAAACAAATATCTTTCTTTGCTTACTTAAAATCCTACTCACCAAATATGTTTCTATGATATGCATCAAGAAAGTGATGGGAACCTTAGATATTCAGCACACCAAGAAATTTGGACAAGACAAGAAAGCTTACATAAACAAACTTTACTAGTTCAAAGTTTAGATGTGCATATCACAAACATGTAGTAGAAGTAGCAAAAGTAGTAGTAGAAGATTGTATCTTCATCATCTAACCAAATATGCTTAGGGTATCACATAATATATAGCACTCATAAAGGGTTCATAAGCACACACAACCACACAAATACCTATCTACACTTATGCACAATGCTTACTTATATGTTTATATGTATATATATATATATATATATTAAGAAAGTGTGTAGCTAGAGAGATGTCGGAAGCTCGGGACGCTTCCATGGCTTACTACAGCCTTATACAGTGAGAAGAAACCTATGAGGTCGGGATCATCACATGTACCACAGAGGGACTTCTTGCTTGTGCAGGGGATCGAAAGATGAGTAGTCGTCCATTGGTGTGAAATTGAATGGTGAGTTGAATCTGAAGTCGGCAATGCTGTCGCCGTTGTTGCACTGATCGTACTGGAAATCAGCCACCGGGAATGCGGAGTTGTTGCTGCTCATAGGAATTCTGTTTTCTTGAAATGTGTTGGGAGCAGTAGCCAAGAAGTTGTCTTGTTGAAGCTGCATTGTCGGGTTCTGACCGACAAGACTGTCGAAATTCACGGCATTGTTGTCCTGAACATTGTTGTCGTAGAAAGCCATAAGCTCGTTGATCATTCTCTGACCATCCTCCGGGATTCCAAGTTCAGACACATCGATTGGAGCATCGTTCAAAGGCATCAGAGTCGCCGGCTTGACAGCTTGTTTCACAATGTTGTTCTCGACTAGACATACTGGCCGGAACTGACAGTTATTCTGATGATTATTTCTCCAGGATCGATCGGTGAATCCCATGGCACAGTCGCTATGAGGGCATTGAGGAAACTCGCAAGTGTACAGTTTTTTCTCCGCCTCAGGCGAGGCTGATTTCCTCTTCGGCGTACCAAAGTCCGGATCCAAATCGAAGACCTCTCCCTTAACCGGACGAATTACCGGCTTATCTTTACCTGCAGAAATCCCGAAGCTGAAAAGATTTTTACCGGCAGGCTTAAAGTCCGAATCAGTAATCCCATTGTCTTCGGCTCCTTCGACGTCATAGTCGTTTGTGTCGCTAAGAAAATCCGATCCGCCCCCGAAGGTCGTCGGCAGGAAGCTATCGGGAAAAAGCTTTCTCGACAAAGCCTCCTCTTGATTAATAACCGATAGCCAAGTCGCGCTCTCCTTCGCCGTCATCTTATCCTGCAGGCACTTCGACTGGCGGACGAGCTTCCGGATCTTCGCAATATCGGGTAACATATGTTTAATCACCGCCGTCAAAACGCCGACCTTCCACGCCTTCTTTAGATCATGAGGCTTCTTGTATGGCGGCGGGCCTTGGCCCTTTGGCAGCCCGAGCTGATCCCACCACTCCTCCGCCCCCGTCGGCCACCACGGCGGCGGGACGCCCTTCTCCAACGGGAACCGCCGCTGCGGCGGGTCGCAGTGCTGCATAAGCGCCGAGAGCAACGACCCGAGCGTCGTGTCCTGAAGCTCTTGGAGTGTGTGAGGTGTCGAGACATCGTTGTTCGTCTGCTCGGGTTTCCCGGGTACGGAATGCTCAGTTTGGTACTTGGCGATCGCGGCGGGGCCGTTGCGATCGAACCTCACTTTCTCCTTCCACCACGCGCGGAGATTGTCGGAGGCTCCGGTCACCGGCTTCCCCTTCTCCGGTATGATCCCGTAGACGAAGCCTTGAGCTTTACAGACCTCCATCATCTTCAACATGTACTTCAAAATCCCGTCTTGCGCCCGCGACATCTTTTTCCGGCGAGCTTGCTCTTGCTTCGCGGTGTCCTCCGTCGACGCCGCGCTGCCGCCGCCCTCCTTGGACTTCTTCTTCTCCTTGAGTCGACGGAGGAGCATCCGGTCGCGCCACATTCGGCGTTCGAGCTCGTCCTCGTCCATCTCCTCGTCGTCGCTGTAATCCTCGTCGACCTGCCCGGCCGGCGGGGGATCGGCGGCGGCATCGGCCGCCTTGCCGGAGGGGCAGGATAGGAAATCAAGATTGTCTGAAAAGCCAATCTCCTCAAAGATGCCCATTTTATTCTCAGGTGGATAATAAGCTTATCGATGATGATGATGATCCTCTAAAGCCAAGAGATCTGAATCTGAGAAATACATCATCACTCACCAAATAATTCATCCATTTATATCTATCTATCTGCAATTTTCTTTTTTTCAACCCTAAAATAAATTAACAAAAATCAATTGGGATCGAAAATCAGAAATCGGTGGAAAAGATATATACATACATATATATATATAGAGAGAGAGAGAGAGTAGGTACTTACAGCAGATCTAAAACAGTAAAAATAGAAACCCTAACAGAACCATCGATCTAAATCCTTGGAGAAGCAAAGATGATTTAGGTTTAAAACTCTCTCTGTCTATATATATATATATAGAGAGAGAGAGAGCGAGACAGAGAGAGAGACGATCACAATAAACCTTTGGGAAAAAAAAAAAAAAACCAAGGAACAAAAAGAGGGTTGAGATTAATTTTTTTCTTGTAAGCTCATAATAAAGCAAATTAAAAAGGAATGGATTGGATTGATTCAGAAACAAAACAAAATACAGAGAGAGGAGATGATAAAATCACGCACAGTTGCCATTAATTTGAATTGTCCGACGAGTCAGAAACAAATTAGAAATATGAAATGGAAATCACAGAGAACAGACGATTTGGAATCGACCAAAAACAAATTAACTTACAGTTTCCTCCGCTGCTCGCCTTGTAATTTGACGTTGGAGTGTAGGGTTTTCAGAGTTGCCAGTTCCACCTTTTTGGTCAGATAAGAAAGAAAGGAGAAAGAAGGTTAGAGAGAGAGGGAGAGAATGGGTCTGTAAGAAAAAGGGAAGGATTGTGTTGAGTTGAGTTGAGGTGCCAACAAATGGGAAAATGAAGAAGAAGTTACCTGTCACCTCAATGCCTAACCATGGTTGGGTTTATTTATTTACAATCTAGTCCCTCTATTTTGCTGCAATTGTATATTGGGGAGGGGGTCCTTTAAATTAATTAATTAATTGATTGATTTAAATCCTTTTTGAGATTTGTGGGAAAAGGGCAATTTTGGAAAGCATTGGGTTGGGAATATTTCATTAATTAATGCTAATTGGGAATATTTAAGACATACTAACTCTCTCTCTCTCTCTCTCTCTAAATGATATTTGTTGTTACCATTGAGGAGCTTCATTCCTATTTGGAAATTATTATGAGAGTTTTTTAAAATAAAATATAAAAAAAAAATTGTTTATTGTACGAATTTAAATTTCATTGTATCGAGATAATTTAGCTGATGTTGTGTTTATTTGTATTTTATAGTAACATTTTTTAATAAAAATATATGTGGTGAAATAGTTTTAGGAAAAAAAATGTTTTTGGTAACAAATAGTATTAGTTTTATATATATTTGAAATTTGTATTTGACAAAATAATATTGAGAGTATAGATAAACACAATAACATACGTTAATAAATGAGTGCTTAATTACTTAACAATATGGATGATGAAAAGATTGTATAGTATCTCAGATATTTTTTAAAATTAATGCTAAATAGTGGAAATAATATTTAATTTCTACATATATATGTATAATGATAATTAGTGGATTTGTTTGTTTAGCGTTTTAATTTTAATAAAAAATAGTATTTTTGTCGCTTGATACAAGAGTTACGTTTATTTTTTATATTTTAATATTTGAATATTAATTATTATATTAAAGTACGGTATAAATTAACATAAAAAAATAACAATATTTTTATTAGTATTTTATAATATTAATATAATGATATTTTTATAAAAAATATATACAAATATAAATATAATTTTAATATTAAGACGCAAAAAATAAATATAACTTATGTGACTAGACGAAAATAGTAATATTTTACATTAAATATTAAATTTTTGTGAAAAAATAATTAAAAAATATATATATAACATATGATACCGAAAAAAAAAAAAATAATTATTATGGGCAAACAAATCCATTATAGTTTAAATAAATTATTATTAGTGGATTTGCCATTTAAATTTTAGTTTATATGGTATTTTAATATATTTCTTTCATTCTCATACAATATAATCTTTTATTTTTTTAATAATTAAAAAGTAATATTAATATTTTATTCATTAGTAAAAATTATATTAAAGTTTTTGATATTTTTCTCTTTTATTAATTATGAATGTTTGTTTGTGAGGTCTTTGTTTAAATTATAAGATTTTGAATTTGAAATAATTTTTTGATATAATATTAATATAATATTTTTAATATAAATTTAAATTTAATACAATATAAAAATAATAAATAAAAACATAAATATTTGAATTTAATATTTGTGAAGGATTTTTTTTTTTTTTTAAAAAAAACAAAAATTTAAAATATATACACAGATATAGTGTTACCAGAACTCTATGAACTTACCAATACTTTGAATTTCAATCCAAACAATTCAATTGAATAATAATAATAATAATAATAATAATAATAATGATATTAATAAAAAAGATACTTAATTTAATGTAAAAGAACTAACATCCTAATTATGTATACCTTAGGAAGAAAAATGATATATTTAATTAGAAATTTATTTATAAAAAGAAAAATAGCTATTTTATGTACAGTTAAAAAAAAAAAGGTGAAAAAAACACATGTCAAAATTAACAAAGAAAAGTAAACACATTAAAGATGCAACACAAGAGTATACTACACAAGCAATAACAATATTACAATATCATCGAGCAGACAATATATGAAACCGATACAACGTAGGTAAGTAGTAAGGGAACGTCATCTTACATAATACATATATAGGATCGGATCGATCATCTATCTCTAACATAACATCATCATCATCGGGGGCACATACAAATCACTACAACCTCATTTCTCACCGGGTTGTGGTTCGCGACCGTGGACCCTTACTCGGTAGATACATGTGTGACTACCACTCCCGTGGTTGGACCTGAAATCGAACCTAACTGTATTCACCACATTAGTGCCTGATTGCACCTTAAACGTTTGAACACTGGGCTTCTCCAGGTCGTAGCTAAATTCAGTAAGAACAAACTCTTCCCTCTCGTTGCTTTCTGTCGTAGAGGAATCTTGCCCATCCAGCCATCCAGACACTCTGCAGTTCTTGGGAGCGCTGGATCGATTGTAAGCTACACTCTGCAGTTGCACCAAAGCAAAGGAACTTTGTTAGAACCTAATAGCAGGACTGAAACATGTTTTGTGGTTTCGGATTCAAGAATGTTGAGAACAGCAAAGCCAGAATTTAGGTGCCTAAGAACTCTAGGAGTCTGTAAGTTATCATTTTGTTCTTCAGAACAATGAAATTGATTGCCACAAGCAAGCAAAGAAGGTAATTTAACAATATATATAATACACTTTGAGAATCTTGTTTCAAGGAGCGAACTAAATTCACAATCCGAAAAGTGCGGGGAAGATGTGTGCTCAGCCTTGCATACATCTGATTATATTAGAATCTCCATTATGCATCTTAGGATTTGGGGTAGAATAGATGAAAAAATACTTGTTTATAACTCATACAATATACCTACATATCACTGAAATGAACAATTTATGATTACGCATAGTATGTTAAGGCATGGAGCCAAGGCCCAATGCCAAGAAGATGCAACTTTTCCATGTGAAGGCATCGTACCCTTTTACTAATTACCAACGAAAACTACAGCAGTTGTATCCTACTTAAAGGAACTTTGGTGGGATAAAGAAAGTGTAGTGGAATACATAAAAGGTCAAGGATTTGATGTTAGTGACAACAGGTAAACCAACGACATGCATATTGCAGCCAAAATTGCAAGTCCCAGACGCTTGTGCCTATTTTTAAAAAGGAAAATACAAAATGGTTTTTGGTTACCAATCCTTTGCAAGGCTACATTCAAGACTTTAGATCTATTCCAAAGGCCATATAAGATGATGCAAATGCAATATTTACCAAATGACAATCACATTCACTATAAATTGAGACAATGAAGAAAAAAAGAGATCCGAAGGTTATTACTTGTAAGAAAGAGAAAATTGTCTGACAAAACAGAAATAAGAAAAAACCAAAACCCCAACGAGTGGACTTGTGAGACGTACAATGTGGTCTAATATATAGTTATTAATGGCACACAGTAAACTAGAGGCTGACTAGATGATGTAAATGCCATCTCATAGTTGTAAATGGTGCGCCATCGCATGACCATTGCACCATTTCCTATGAAACTCAAAAGGGTTCAGCAGGTCGCAATGGACAGAAAGGAAAGGGCCTGCATTTTTTCATTTATTGACATTTGCCTTCTGATAAAGATATAAAATGACGACTGATTCTCTTAAGGCATACGAAATGACAGTAGCAAGCCTAACAGCTCAACAGCCTCGAGCCATAACAAGCATAAGAGAACTTAACTATGACAAATCAAAGAGGTTGCTAATCCATAACCTTTTAATTGTTTAGCAGCAACCCAGGATTTAGAATATTGCTCATCAGTGTGAGAAAACCCCACCCATTAACATGAACTATGTAATATCACTTGAAATAATCATGAAAACAAGTTCCTCCTAAAAGATGAAATCTTGCCTACAGCACACCGACTCACTAAAGACAGGTTTGTCAAGAGTATTATCATTTCTTACTCTTTTCCCTCTGCAGTTGCCTCCTAAAAGATGAAAATGATTGTTAGCTTCCACATGCCATGATAATTTTGGCTAAATTTTCTTCAAATTCAGTCAACTACACAGCATCCTACTCGTGTAACACAAAGAAAGTTGGGTTTACAATCCTTAAGTTTACTATTTCCACAATATATATAAATATATATTAATAACGGCTTGCTTCATACAACAAAACACATGAAATTTTTGCAAAAAAGCTAAATGTAAACATCATGCCATAATCATGACCCAAAAAATGAAACTAAACTTCTGTAGAACAAATCAAAGTAAGAGTCAAAAGATCATTACCTTAGCAACATGTTCCAGGGTGACAGCTTCGGGCACTATTGCTGCTCTCAGTCTAATTTCGACAAAACCACTACTACCCTTGAGAGGAAAGCACTGCCCAGGCTCCCCGAAGCTCGGCTTAATCAACTTCTCCGCATCCACACTAATCACATTTCGAGTCAGCAGTCCACCCACTTTCTTAGCACCGTATGGCTCCGAATGTCTCACCACCTTCCCCCCTCCAGATGCCAGGGCATAATCCACCATCCCTAAACCATCAGCAGCGTGTTTCTCAATTTCCTTCTCCACAATCTTCCTTGCAAAATCTTTTATCTCATCCAAACTAACATCTGTTCTATCACTACCAGTTTCAGACCTCTTAAACTCCTCAAAGAAATCACGAAACTCTTCCTTTGTCAGTAAACTCTTGCTTCTGAACTCATCCATAAACTTCTCGAACATATCACTCCTAGCATCCAATGCCTTTAATTTCAAATCCGTTGAATCGGTCATTTTTTCCAATTTCTCGTCCAGATCCTTCCTCACCGAACTCATCCCTTCATCAATTTTCTGATCGACTGCATCCATCTGAACCTGCATCGCCTTCGTTGTTGTCATGACAAATCTCTTCAACTCCGACAACTTCCCATCAAAATCCCCACGAATTATCGAAGGATCCCCATCTTCACGGCCGGAATACATCACCACCCATCGAATCATCTGCACGAACCCTACCAAAACCACCAGCAACGCTATATTCTTAGTAAGAATACTAACCACAGTAAGCCAACGGGGCTTCGTCGACTTTCTCCCCGGAACAGACTTCTTCCCCTGCCCCTGCGCCGGCGCTCTCCTCGCCTCCCTCAATATAGCAGCCGCAGTGTCGGCCGCCGTGACCCTAACGTCTTTATCATTTTCAGCGGCGGTTACCGTCGCGGCAGCGACCAAATCCGAACCGCCGGCCGAAACATTTTTCTCGTACGCTCGGCGGCGCGTGGTCGGACCTTGATTCGCCGTAATGGAAACCGTCGAGGCCGACATTCGTGCAAAAATCTTTGGATCGTCGAAACTGAATCGAACTTCCTGCAGCAAAGTCAAATCTGATCCAAACACCGAATTGATTGAGGCAAAAACCCTAAAACCATATGGGATTTAGAATGGAAACTCCAGTGATTAGGTGAAAAAGGATCTACGAACTGAATCGAGCGTCGTTCTCGCGGCGAAAGGGAAGGGCGGTCACAAATTTTGAATTTTTAGGGATTGCAGTGACGACCTGCGCCTTCCATTTACGCTAACACAGTAAGATGTAGAGAAGGGTCCAAATTGTCATTTTGCACTTTCGTGAAAACCCCATTTTACCCTTCCGAGATATATTCGGCCGAACTTAAATGGGCTGGGCCTTGCAAAATTTTTATTAGATCCTCCCAATTAATAGTCTATATTTACAAAACTATGGAATTTTTGTTTGGGTATGGATTTTGAATTGAAATTTAAATGTAAAAATTTTGAATTTAAATAGTTATATGATATGATATAAATAAAAATTGATATGATTATTTGAATATAAAATTAATTTTTAGTATAACATATAAAATAAAAATTAATTATTTAATTTAATATTTTTTGAATTTTTTTTTGATGAATAATATAAATTAGTATAAATTCTTCAAACAAATACACGCTATATGTATTTGTTTTGACACTTGTATTTTAACGTGAGTGTAGTAATATTTTATAAATAATAGTATCGTAGAAATATAAAAAGTATAAATTCATCTGCTTAATTCATTACAGTACAATAGTTTTATTTATCATTTTTATTTGTTTCAAAACAATAGTCTAATTTTCATAAATATTCATAATATTATAAAACTATGTCTACTTTTTCATTATTATTACACAAATACTACTATTTTTTACACTAATAAACTTGTGAGGGTAAAGAACTTTTTTACTCGTACTTTTTACCAATTATCAATATAATATAGTTATTTTTCAGATCTCATGCCCAATGGAACTACGGTTATGGGACGGATGGAGTATTTTTTCGTGATATTGTTTGTAATATTACCTAAAGTGTATTGATATTTTTATTTTTTAAAAAAATATTTTTATTAAAAAGAGAAAATACACATTTGAATTTGACAAACAAAAATGATAAAATGAGACTAGGGGAGATGTTTTCGATAATATAAAAATAAAATTTAGTATATATTATATATTTTATTTTTTTTATAATATTAACCAATATAAAAGTGACGAACTTGCTTCATAACTTACATGTTATAAAAGATTGTCATTTTTAAAAGTTTAAACTGTGTTAGGATACCTAATATTTATATACTTTTGTACAAACGAAAGTCAGCTAACATCAGAGCCTTAGATCTCGAGTTTGAGTCTAACCGTCCTGTGGACAAGTTTAGTTTGGTGAATACTAAAATGTCTTTATTTTTTAAAAAAATTTAAAAAATAAATTAAAGTAATAGTTAAGGATAATTTTAAAAAATATAAATAATTTTGTTATAAAATGAGGAACACAATTACTAAATAAATAAATAAGACAGTTTTTTTGAAAGAGACGAAAGCGAAAAAAACAAAAATTCTTCTGAGACAAATAATAAAACAAATACATTATATAAAATAATTAAATTTAGAATAATAGTATTACATTAAATAAAAAAAAAAGAGTAAAAAAGCAAGTATAGTACTTTCTCCGTCCCATATAATATAGGTGTATTACCATAGACACTAGAATTTAGGTAAAAGATAATTAGTAAGTAATTAAGAAGTGTATTAGTAAAAATAATTATTATTTAGTAAAAATAATTATAGATTAAGATAAGTAAATAGTTTAATTAAAATTAAAAAAATTATAAAATTTAAAATTTAAAATGCGATTAAAGTGCATAATTATATTTCCAAAAATAAAAATAATAAGTTACGTGGGATGGACGAAAATAGAAAATAAAGACAAATTATGTGGGACGGAGGAGTAAATATCTGTAATAAGAGGAAAACATAATAAAAATTTATCCAATATTTTAAAAGTATAATCTCAATTAATATTAAATTATTGATAGTTATCGCTGTCCAGAGTTGCGGAATTGAACAAATGCTTAAACCAACGAATATTTAAATATATTAATAAATATTTTAGATTCCATTTAACAGAAGTTTTTAAGATATAAAATTTTTAAAATGTTAAAAAACTAAACATTTGATATAATATTATATAAAAATAAATAAGATTATGATTTTGTTCATATAAATAATTTTATTATTAAGATTTCTAACATTTAATATTTTTTTTATTTTTTATTTGACAAAAAATGGATGTTTAATATTCCATCCTTCTCATAACTAGATATTCATTTGTTTTTTTACAGAGTTTTAGAAATATTAGTATTATATTGGAATTTAGTAGGAATAAAGTAGAAATTACGAAAATAACCTTATTAATATTGTGTGATATAAAGATAATGAAATTTGTGTAATATATTGTAAATTGTAAGAGTATTTGTAATGTTAAATAGATAGTACAGTTACTAAAAAAAATAGATACTTTGTTACGAGACAAACTAAAATGGAAAAATAGATACTTTGTTATGGGACAGTAATAATATAAATTTTGGGGTTTTGAGTTTTTAAATAGTAAAAGTTGAATTTAGACAGTTGTTTGATGCAGTATAAATAGAAATTGATGTGATATTTTAAATGTAAAATAAATTTGTAATATAATATAAAAAATAAAAGTAATTTTTTAATTTGATATTTAAAAAAAATTTGTAAAATTCAGTTGTATAATTCACAATTTTTTTTATTAAAATGAAATAGTAATAAAAATTTAACAATATTTTTATATTTGATCTAAGAAGATTTAATTTAAATTTTATATTTATTTGATTAAATACTTTATAAAAAAAACAAAATTCAAATAATATAATTTGAAAAGTTTGTGTAAAAAAATACTCCTTTCGTCCCAAACATCCGGTAACATTTCATTTTTTATGTTTCAAACATCTGCAATATTTTCAAAATATAAAATAATTAATTATACTTAATCTCTACCCCACATTTTATCATCCAAATAAAAAAATAAAATATTTATTTCTCTCTTCATCACATCACTTAATTTCTAAATTATCCTACTTAATACTACTCACATAAAAACCCGTGTTAAGAACAAATATTGCATCTTACTTGGGACGGAGTGAGTACATCATAATATATTATATTTTAAAAATGAATATTATAATATTTTAGAGGTTTCGTGAAGGAAATGAGGGAAGAACGTTTTAAGCGACAAGAGAGCGTAATGACAACATTACCCTGCGTATTTTCTGCTTATTCGTACAAAAGGTGAAAAGGGCAAAATGGGAAATTGGCATTGAATCAGCATAATTTGACCTGCCTTGTATATACATATATACGTACACCACACCACTGTAGAATCTCTTTCTCTCTCTATATATGCGTCTACCTTGTCTCTCTCTCTCTCTATATCTCTCTCCCCTTGTTCTCTCTATCATTACAGTGCAGTTAATTTTTTTTCTTGCCTGGGTCGCGTTAATTTTCGCCGAAAGATAATACAAATCTGGAATAAACTTGATAGGGCACCGAAAATCTATTCGGGTCCGATCGCAAATCACTTGGTTTTATTCTATTTCTGATCAGCCGATAAGTTCGAGGTTCTTATTCAAGTAATTTTTCTTGATTTAATTTGGTTGTTCTCGGTTTACGGGCGTAGAAATCGAAAAGATTGTTTATTGGAGATTAAATTCATGAAATGTGCATACGCTGGATGGTTTGTATTGCTTAATGGAACTCTTATTGATTGGATTTTTACTTGGATTCTGTTTTTTCTTGGTTTTGTTGCCAGGGTTTGGTGCCGAACAGCTAATGGTTGATTTTCTGGAGCACTTGTGTATATGTATATCTATGAATAATTATTGTATTGCTTAACTGTTGGTTAATTGTTATGATTTTTAGAGGGAATCTTTATTTTTTCATCAGGGGAGAGAGACTGTTTACTTGTATGAAAACCATATGTAATATATGAAGTTTCAATGATTTATGTGGCCTACTTCTGCTGTCTATCCAATTTTGCAAGCATAAGTCGATTGAATCTGCAAAGGTTGTGCCATTTGATGCAAAGGGGTTACAGTGCCACTGTCATCGAATGCGGGGGCATGCATGTTATGCTGTTTTTCTGAACTTCTACTTTTGTGTGGCTGTGAATTTATCCCGGGGATATGTATGTGTGTTGTTGTTATACGCTTTGTGACACTTGTCTCATGTTTGTTTGTCTTTCGCCTGATATTGGATATATATGTATATATATCTTGTCTTTCACCCACCTAACAACTAACGGATACGTATGTTTTTTGACGCATTTCTGTATGTGAATAATTTTTTGTAGACTGAATTTGGATTACAAGTGCGGTCCTTGATCCTCTCGGAATTGTAGCAGGGCGATTGGTGTGGTGTAAGTAATAATGGAGAGCTTGGCGCAGTTGGAAGTGTTGTGTGAGAGGCTTTATAATTCGCAAGACACAGCGGAACGGATGCACGCTGAGAACACACTGAAATGCTTTTCAACCAACATTGATTACATTTCTCAATGCCAGTTTATTCTGGACAATGCTTTGACTCCTTACGCATTGATGCTGGCAAGCTCAAGCCTCTTGAAGCAAGTGACGGAGCATAGCCTTTCCCTGCAGCTGCGGCTTGATATCCGTAAATATACTTAGCTTAAAGTTTAGATGGGCATTCTACCTTAAAAATCTGTTTATTTATGCTGCATGTGATTTGACTTTAAACTTGAGTAACACCATAAAAATATCGTCAACTTCGCTAACTTTTTAAAGAAAGTACCTAATACTGGTCCCACAAAGCTAAAATCGTAATCTCATCTTCATTGAATAAATATTACTTATTTATGTATTTCCTTTTATGTTGATCTGAATTCGTTGGCTTTTACTGTGAATGAAGGAAATTACCTTATAAACTATCTGGCGAACAGAGGCCCTGAGCTGCAGCCCTTTGTCATTGGTTCTTTAATTCAGCTTTTATGTCGGCTTACGAAGTTTGGGTGGTCAGATGATGATAGATTTAGAGAAGTGGCCAAGGAATCTATAAACTTTTTGAGCCAGGTAAACTTTCCTAATGCGACAAAGTTACTGTATGTTCTTACTATATTTTTGGAGCTATTTGCGTCATGACATTCCAGCCTTTTGCCATCTGTCATGGATGGCGTATATTCTGTCTAGTTCATGAAGCTACGTAATTTCTTAAATATTTATTATGGCATAAATCCAGAACCTTCTTTATTGTATGCTCGTACTATATTTTTGGAGCTATATACATTATGAGTTCCAGCCTTTTGCCATATGTCATGGATTGCGCATATTCTATCTAGTTATGGAGCTGTCTATTTATTTTAAATCTTGTATCATGGCATAAATCCAGAATCGTTGGTATTACAATATTTATAGAATGTGCATTATTTGGCTTCGTCAGATATGCGGAAGTGTAATTTATAGTTAGTTGTTGCATATCCAGCGACGTCGTATTGTCCTTAAAAAATATGATCATTTTTATTAAAGATAGGTCAACAGGGGTTGAAACTTTTCTATTAGAGTGCATCACAAATACTTCAGAAAACAGTGGGAATGTTAGAATAACTTGCGGTACATGGGGGTTTATGTTATGAAGAGCTTGTTTTGATTCATATTATTTGTTGAACTTCTAAACGGTTTGCGAAGTGGAGTAAATGATGTGCATACTACTCCGTTAAAGGGCGTTATCACAATTAGCATTAATTCATCTACTTGATCTGGGATTTTATCCCTCATTCCATGTAAACAAGATACACTACTTCCCTCTATCTTGTGATCGGCACTTTTCCCCCCAATATAAATACTTATCATTCTATTTACATGTCTTAGGCTAGATATTCATCCTCTCTAAAAGACATAAATAAATTAATGTAAAGATATTTCTTGAGTATCTTTATGTTTACACAACTTTTCAATTTTAACGGACTTGTTTGCTTGTGGGTTTGATCTCTGAAGAGGTTTTCTTTTGCCAGGCAACGACAGATCACTATGCTATTGGTTTAAAGATATTAAATCAGCTTGTTTGTGAGATGAACCAGGTTTGTCTTTTCCATTTGTTTTTTTGGGAAAGGAAGCATTTCTACTTATGTAGAAGTGCTTCCTTATTTTAAGATATATGCTGGATTCCTTTCGGTTTCATTTCATCAAGTTGTACTTTGGTTCCATGCATGCATGCATAAATTATGCTCCCTGTTTTATATTTCATTATTTAAATCTACAAACTACTTTGTCATTTTTGTTCAGTGACATTCTCCTGATTTTTTTTTGGATGCTCTTCATCTGTTCCTCAGCCAAATCCAGGAATGCCATCATCACATCATCGAAGGGTGGCCTGTTCCTTCAGGGATCAATGCCTATTCCAAATCTTTCAAATATCTTTAACTTCATTAAATCAACTTAAAAATGATGGTAAAATGCTGGCTATTGTTTTCATTCCTATATTGGTATTTAATTCAATTATTATCGTTATTGTTACAAAATTTGGGTACACGTTATTTGACTCATGCAGCCATTGGTCGATTGCAAGAATTGGCTTTATCACTGTCGCTGAAATGCTTGTCTTTTGATTTTGTTGGGACATCAATTGATGAGAGCTCTGAAGAATTTGGGACTGTCCAGGTATGATTCTTGCTAGCTAGCTTTATATGCTTGAACCTCGAGGTTTCTAAAGACAAGTATGTTCTGGTGACTCGTGAAAGAATGATATTTGCTTAGAATATGTCTTTTGTTTATCGGTTAAATCATAAAACATGTTGCCTGAGGAATCCTTGCTGCAAGTTTTTTGCTGAAAGTTGTTCTATTGTGCAGATCCCATCTTCATGGAAAAATGTAATTGAGGAATTTTCAACGCTGCAGATATTTTTTGATTACTATGCACTCACAAGCCCCCCAATCTCAAAGGAGGTTAGCATATGCCATGGCATTGTTTCTTGATATGCATGCTATGATCTTAAGATGGTTCTTCATGTTCTTCTGAATCTCTGTGATGCACAACTGACTGTTCAAATTAGACCAATAAGGCTTTCAGGTTACCAAAACAACCTTTTCCATAATGCTGAACATTTTAATATTCTTGCATTTATATGATTGAATTCTTTTAACCCAACCACTTACTGAATATTGTGAATGGTCTCAATGGATATTGAGTTTAGGTGCAATATTGGAATTTGTCTTTTATTTTGTAGGTATAAAATTCTCAAGTCGTGAGTCATAAGAAGTCCATAATCTGATAATACAAAATTGTTTTGAATATTATACGATCAAACAGGATGACGTGGGAGAAAGTACTATATTTTAGATATAAATCCATGTCAATCCATTGGTGAATTGAACTTACTATTATTATAATTCAAAAGTGGTTTATGGAATGTGCTTGATTTAGTTTTCTAATTTCAGGACCAGAGGAAAGAAGCATTATGTGAGTTGATAGATGGAGTGATTAATTCATTATGATTTCTTATTTGTGAGCTAGTAAAGATTTGAAACCATTCCTACTGGTTTATTTTGATTTTGAATTTGAGAACACAAATAGATCTTTTTTCTCTCTCTCTCTTTCACACACACACACACACAACGCGTATGTGAGCTAGTAAAGATTTGAAACCATTCCTACTGGTTTATTTTGATTTTGAATTTGAGAACTCAAATAGATCTCTCTCTCTCTCTCTCTCTCTCTCTTTCACACACACACACACACTCATGTGTGTGCGCATGTGTCAGTATTTGCATCGATGGTTTGAGTTCCTGCAAGTGAAACTTTTCCTTTTATAGTAGTATCAACAAACAAAGAATTTTCTATTCAGATGTTTGCTTCCAATGCATTTTCAATTCATGATCCATATCATTTTTTACCATTCTGGTTGTGGGTATCACAGTGCTTGATTTTATGTGTGCTTTGCATTTTATAACCTGCTCTTACATTTTCAGTCACTGGAGTGCTTAGTTCGTTTAGCTTCAGTAAGACGCTCTCTTTTCACCAATGATGCTGCACGCTCCAAGTTCTTGGACCATCTTATGTCAGGAACCAAAGAAATTTTACGAACAGGGCAAGGTATGTCAAACATGTTATTTGCGACAACTTTCTTAGCAAAATCACAAAGATACTTCATCTTTTATTTGATACTGTAGTGAATATTGTTTTATTGTTCTAACTGCTGGTTCTTTCTAACATTGTTCTTTTTTGTTCATTTTACTCGTCATTTTCTTAAAGGAAGTGGATATTTTTGTCTAAATAATCCCCATTTAAGTTACATATTTTATTCTGAGGAAGTTATTAATTACAAAATCATTCAAAAGCTAATTATTATATATGATGCCAGCTAATAAGTCTATCTTTTCTTTATTCAACAAAATACATTTTAATTTTTGTTGCACATTACCATTTCATGTTTGAATAATATGCTGAGCTGGATAATTAGGTCTTGCTGAACATGAGAACTACCATGAGTTTTGTCGCCTTCTTGGACGATTCAGAGTTAATTATCAGGTAATATTTCTAAGTTTGGCTTAATGCAATTTGTGTTTAGTCATTGAAATTTGCACTTATTTGGTACCCTTTTGTAGCCAATGGGTAGGGCAGGGATCAAATTGTTATTTACTTTTATAGGATTTTTTTTTCTTTTTTTTTTGGGCATGTGGTATTCTCTGGCAGGGATTTTTTTGAAATTTGTTTATCTATAACTTAGTGTTTTATGTCCTCATGCAGTTGTCGGAACTTGTGACCATGGAAGGCTATGGTGATTGGATACGCTTAGTGGCTGAATTCACATCAAAGTCTTTACTGTCCTGGCAGGCAAGTGGTTCAGAAAAAGAGAGCATAATCTTGAAGTTGCTGTAGCTATATGTGCGATCTTGTTTGCGCTAGGCTGCTAGTACTTTAATGCTTCTGCTCTATCTTTCCCCTGCATTAATGGTAGGATGTTGAGTTTCATAGTGCAAGAAACTTATGAAGATACTAATTTTTGCAGTGGGCCAGCAGCAGCGTGTATTATCTTTTAGGGCTTTGGTCAAGGTTGGTGAGCTCTGTACCCTACTTGAAGGGTGATGCACCGAGTTTGCTTGACGAATTTGTACCTAAAATCACCGAGGGTTTTATCACTTCAAGACTGGATTCTGCTCAGGTATGGGTCTTTTTGAACTTCTTCGAGACCAATAATTATCTGGTGCCGCTTACCTTAAAGCTTTTTTCCTTCTTGTCTTAGGCTGGTCAACCAGACGATATTTCAGAGCATCCTCTTGACAATGTTGACCTACTTCAAGATCAGCTTGATTGCTTTCCATATCTTTGCAGATTTCAGGTTAATAGCTGATTTCCTTATGACGTCTAACATTTGTTTTTAACTAGCTAACCTGTTATAGTTTCGTTTTATAAAATGTTCTCTTTTTTTTCCCAGTATGAAAACACTAGCTTGTTCATCATCAATATCATGGAACCTATTCTACAAGTTTACATGGTATGCTGAAATCTTCCTCAGGAGAGACCTTTTCTCTGTTGAAATTCTTGTTGCCATGTGGGGCCTATACATCAACATACTTTTTTATTTTTTTTTTCAATAGGAACGAGCACAGCTTCAGACTGGTGATAAAAATGAAATTTCTGTGGTTGAAGCGAAGCTTGCTTGGCTTGTGCATATAATTGCTTCTATTTTAAAAATAAAACAATCTGTTGGCTGCAGGTAATACATTTTCCATTATAATATTCTTGTCCAACTTCTATTCTTTCTAATTGTCTTAACAACTTGTTCTGTTGTGTCTGTCTCACAGTGTTGAATCACAAGAATTAATTGATGCTGAACTTGCAGCTCGTGTTTTGCGGCTAGTAAATGTTGCTGATACTGGGTTGCACAGTCAGGTAATCCAAAAGTTCACTAGATTTGTCTTTTGCATCTATATATCTGTAGACTGTATCCTTATATAGTTCATGAAGAAACTGGTGATTCTGGTCGGTGGTTGTGACAAGTTTGGTTGAAAATGATTTTTAAGTGTGAATGATCTGAAAGTTGAAAAATGTGGTTTGAATATTCATTTTTCTTTTTTGTTGAATCACGTGTGGAATTGATAAAACAATAGCCCATACACCATGTTTAAGTGTCTCCATAGGGTTGTATTAGAGGAGGTGATCCAGAGGTGGATTAATATGGAAACGATATATTTTGGATGAGAATGATCAAATGATTAGGAATTCTCCAATTTTCAATTATTTATACACCTGTTGCATTAAGCAAGGGACATGATGCCTAGATTATGATGTCATTTGCTACTTCTGAGATATAAAATCATCACACGGTGATAGTGAAACATACTTGTCATATCTTTGGCAGAGATACACTGAGTTGAGCAAACAAAGACTTGATCGAGCAATCCTCACCTTTTTCCAAAATTTTAGGAAGTCTTATGTGGGTGATCAAGCTATGCATTCGTCAAAGGTAAATCGAGTAGTCTTCTTTTTAATAGTGAGGGTTATGATTTTTCCTCCTTGGTACAAGTGTTGGAGATTATCTGTTTTGTTGCAGCAGTTGTATGTCCGGCTGTCTGAGCTTATTGGACTAAATGATCATCTATTGCTGTTGGATTTTTTTGTCCTAAAAATCGCTACAAATCTCAAATGTTATACTGAGGTAACCTTTTGTTTGCTGGATTTATCTTATCTGTTTTTCTAAATTTCCTGTATCTCAGTTATCTCTTATCGCAGGTTGAGGAAGTTATTGACCAAACTTTGAGTCTGTTCCTGGAACTCGCCTCTGGGTTTGTATACAAGCTTACTGAATTTACTGATTTAATTAATCTTCTTCTGTGTATCCTTTAAGGCAGTCGCTTGACTTTCTTGCAGATATATGTCTGGTAAATTGCTTCTTAAGTTGGATACCGTGAAGTTCATAATTGCCCATCACACTGTAAGCCATCGTTATATTTGTAATGTTGTGGAATATTGAAATCCCAGTTAACTTACTTTGGATCTTTCTCATGGATATATTGTTTCAGAGGGAGCATTTTCCTTTTCTTGAAGAATATAGATGTTCCCGATGTAGAACAAAGTTCTACTACACCCTTGGCTGGCTAATATTCCTGGAGGACAGTGCACCTCTCTTTAAGTCTTCAATGGATCCTCTGTTGCAAGTATACTGCTTATCTCCTCCCTCTTCCCCTACTTTGCCCACCCTACTATATGTATTTACTAATGTAGTTTAGCACTGAATATATGTGTGTGTGTTACCTCATAATTTGACTGTGAATTTGATCCTATTTAGAATTATAAATTAAGACTAGATCATTTCATCTATTTTGTTAGAAGATGACACTGGTGGACAGTTAGTTTGATTGCTTCCAAAAAAATTGCTATTGCAGAAGCCTTGTTTAAAACAAGCTGCGTCATGTTTAAATAAAAAGTGTCATTCTACGTAAAAAGAAGATCCCAGAGGCTTTGATACATTGTGTCCTTTTATGTTCCTTCCATGTGACGCTGTTGGTTTTCCTTTTTTGGTCTGAAATGGGCTATAAATAATTAAATAGGAACTCACTATGAATTATGTCGGTTATTTTAGTGGAGTAATGTAAATTCTTTTGCACACAAATAATTTGGTGAAAAGCTTTCCTCAAGTTTAAATGTTTGTGAATGAAATGAACTGGTAGTTTTCAATGTCTGATATGTTCCTGCCCCATGGTCTTTGATTGGTTAGAAGATACATTGTAAAGTGAGCTGACTGATTTGCTCATATTGATAAACTTTATTTTCTCATTTAGATGGGTCAGTTCAACTTCATGTCTTAGAATATTATGTAATGGATCTGTTAGGTCTCTCGTGCAGACACATGGTGATCAACTGACAACTTGAAATCTTAATAAAGTTGGTGGTTATATATTTTAGATTTTCCAAAGTAGCAATTTTAACAAATGTGATGGTACAGGTATTTATGACCTTGGAATCAACACCCGATAACATGTTTCGAACTGATTCCGTGAAATATGCGTTAATTGGGCTGATGAGAGATCTAAGGGGTATAGCAATGGCTACAAATAGGTTTGTACTGATGACTGTATTAGTATGTTGATTAGTTTTTGGCTTGCATCAGTTTATTGTAGCTTGGTTCAACCTTCTCTCACTTTTTTTTTCAGTCGTAGAACTTATGGGCTTCTATTTGAGTGGATTTATCCTGCTCACATGCCAATTCTGCTAAGGGGAATCTCACATTGGGCTGATACACCAGAGGTTAGTTTTCAAGTTTATTCCTCTCATTTTAAGTGGGGAAGAGAAGATCAAATTGATTGATAGGTGTTACTTTAGTTCACCATACCAGGCAACTAGTCATTTAGGTACTGGCATTTTGCAGCATACTAGTCTTAACAATATCTATCAGCATATCTTCAACAAACCTATTCTTAGTGTTTGGGAATGAAAGATGATGACCACAAATGAATAATTTAGTGAATTTCCTGATCAACATTTAGCATAACCGTGTAGTAATTTTCTGGACCAGCATATCTTTGGTGAGATTTGAAATGTAGATCCAATGTGAATAAAATAACTGCATATGTTATAGAGAGAAAAACCATCAAAACACTCAGTAAATATGCTAGAAGCAGATACGAAAATGAAGTCTTTTGATGGATTACTCCACTTTTGACTATTGCTATTTTATCTCCCTAAAAATCGAAATATTTGAATGAAGCACAAATCCTATTGATCCTTTTCCTATCTTTTGATGCCTCTTGAAAATTTTATGTATTGCTTTTTCTGTTGTGATCCTGTCTTGGCTTGGGATTAAAATCCTTGCAACTGTTTTGTATAGGTGACAACTCCATTGCTCAAATTTATGGCTGAATTCGTGTTAAACAAAGCTCAACGTTTGACTTTTGATATTTCATCCCCAAATGGCATACTTCTTTTCCGAGAAGTCAGTAAACTACTTGTGGCTTATGGTTCAAGGATTTTAGCTCTTCCAAATGCTACCGATATCTATGCCTTCAAATACAAGGGAATTTGGATATCCTTGAATATTCTAGCACGCGGTAAGAAATCTCATCTTCCTACTCTAGAGGTATTACAAATCAAAATTTCAAAATATCATATTCTTGAGGAAGTACCATTTACTTTTCACTCGTATGAGTTAATGTGCGTCTCTGGCATAACAACTTCAAGATTTCATAGTATTATGTTGTGGAATTATGGATATAGGGTAATTGACTGAGTTAGACCATCATACTACGTCATATTCATTTCCTGTTGCTGGGTATTTCAGTGACAACTAGTTGGTAGTTGTGTCAACATACTCAACATGTCTAGTGCTTCATGAATTTTGATTTTCTGTCACTTCTATTTGAGCAGTTTACTATATTCTTTTTAATCCAAAATAGTATCTGAGCTAGACCACCATCCTGTGAGACCTAATACTTGTTGACATGCTTATTTGACAAACTACTCAATGATGGAGCCTACAACATGGCCCGTGAATGATTAGAGTTTCTCTTACCTATGAATGTGTTTTTTCATTCAACACTTTTTAACATGTTTTTCTTTTCTGCTAAATATAGCGCTTTCTGGAAATTATGTCAACTTTGGTGTGTTTGAACTCTATGGGGATAGAGCACTTGCTGATGCACTTGACATTGCCCTTAAGATGACACTCTCAATTCCGCTGGCTGACATTTTGGCGTACAGGAAGGTCTGTTAGTATTCTCATACCATTGATACTCTTCACACTCTTCTTAATAAATGACTGTTTAGTTCTCCTAAGAGAGCTTTGTGCCTGTACTATTTCTTTATTTATTTTTGTTGGTATTCACCCTTACTCTGGTCATTATCAACGTATTTATCTTACAATTTTCCAATTTTTGTTGCAGTTAACAAGGGCATACTTTTCATTTCTGGAGGTTCTATTTAACAGCCATCTCAATTTTGTATTAAGTCTTGATACGCGCACCTTCATGCATATTGTTGGTTCGCTTGAGTCCGGTCTGAAAGGTCTTGATGGTGGTATATCCTCACAGGTTCGTTCTTTGAATCATTCCTGATTCTGTTTGATCATTACCATTGCATATATCTCATTATAGTCATGTATATATGATAATTATCTGCACGTGTGTAATTGCCTATATATGATGAAGTTTCAATTTCTCATGTTTTCCTCTTAAAAGTGCTCTGTATATGCTGATAATTTCTTTGTTGCTATATTTGTTACTTGATAAAAGACCATTATTTACTTATCTTAATTTGTTCTTGGCTCCGTATCCACCTCTACGACTACATGAATATAGCTTTACTGGTGCTGTTTGATAGTTGTTTTGTGCCGATGATTACAATTAATGTGCTTGCTTAGTGGGTGCCCCCTAAATTGTGGATTATTGGGATTTTCTTATCTACCATCCATTCTACATGTCATAATATATTCTTGTTAACAGTGTGCAGCGGCGGTTGATAATTTGGCTGCATTCTATTTCAACAACATAACCTCGGGGGAGGTGCGTACATCGCCAGCTGCTGCAAATCTTGCCAGGCATATTGCGGAATGCCCAGCGCTGCTACCTGAAGTAAGTGTTTGGTTTATACTTTCGGATATTTCACATTTTCTTGGCCATTCTTAACTCCATCAACAATTATCAAACCTCTGGAAATGTTTTCTAGCCTCAGACTCTCGACCTGCCTAATCTTGTGATGTCTTTTGAAATTTCATGATTGTATGAAATTATATTAGAATTTAAATGTACCTAATATGGATGTCAGATGCAAAATGTTTAGTATTCTATATTTGTGTCTTTAACTTTAAATGCTTTTTTTCCTCTCAGATTCTCAAAACGCTCTTTGAGATTGTGCTATTCGAAGACTGCGGCAACCAATGGAGTCTTAGTAGGCCAATGTTGAGCTTGATACTTATAAATGAGCAGGTAGTCATTTCTATCCATTTCCTTTTTCATCATTCCTTGATTGTAAGTAGCTATCTGAAATGGCAATTTCATCATCTATGTGGTGTAAAATGTTGATTATTAAAAAGATATGTTATCAACTGGAATTACTATTGCACAATCTTGTTTATCAATTAATTTATCTTTGATGGTAAGTATGGATTATCATGTTAACTACCACTTCTCTAGTCGTTGGTTTTTGAACGTCAAATATTCCATTGCATAGGCATCCAGTGGATGCTGTATGTGGCGATTGAACTAATGAAGTTTCTCATGTATGCAGATGTTCACGGATTTGAAAGCTCAAATTTTAGCTTCTCAGGTAACCCCCTAAACCATTTATTGAATTGTTGATGTTTTTGGTCCTTCCACTGTGTAACTTGTCATTCATCTACGGTATCTAATTTCTGAAACCCCAAACAATCCATTCACTGTGACTAGCCACATACTAATTTTTCATCCCGAAGACCTTCTGAATGTACACATTTATATATTCTCAAAAAATTTCACCAAGTTTTTGTGTAAAGAACACTTGAAGAAAACCGTTTAGGGCGAAAGTGTTGCTTTAGTAATAGTATACAACCATGTTGATTACATCTTTTTAATCTTGCAGCCAGCTGATCAGCATCAGCGCCTTGCTACTTGCTTCGAAAAACTCATGGCTGATATAACCCGAAGCTTGGATTCAAAGAACAGGGACAAGTTCACTCAAAATCTGACCGTGTTTAGGCACGACTTCCGTGTAAAGTAACATCACCTATGAAGAAATCGCTTTGCCCTAGGTAATCTGTTGCATACTTTGGATAGAAAAACAAAATGTCTGACACCAATCCCTCCTACCTAATCAGAAGTTTAATATCTGCATTTTTCATGATGATGCTGGAAATGACTTCTACTTACATTACTGGTTTTGCTCGGTGAAAGAAAAGAAGTGTACTCTAGCATGTATTGTACATTCCCCCTTTTCTTTTCTTTTCTTTTCTTCAAAATGATGGGGTGAATTGTGTGTTGGCGTTCGAATTTCACCTGTAACTTAGATAAAGGCAGCTTTAACAGAATCAAAGTCGAAGCATGTTAGGTTTTGGGGCAAGGCTTGGGGGTGGGTGCAAAGTTTTGGTATGATTCCATGCTTTGTATAGGATGGTAGCGCATATTCGATTCTTTATCTTGTGGATAAGATAAAAGAATATAGAACCGACAGGATTTGGACTGTACATTATGGCGAATGATGACGATGACTGAGTTCTTGTTTCTGCAGTTTAGTCGATAATGCTGCTATAACTTGGTTTTCGAACATTGCTTGGGATTATGTTTTCGAATGTACCGAACATGTTTATAACTGGGAACTTAATTCTTTGGTTTGATGTATCTGTCTTCTGCACAAATGGCGATTTTTTTCGAGCATTTGATGCCGAAATATGTTAGAAATAAGTAGCAGTTTTGAAGTCATGTTTTTTTTTTTTTTATTATTTTTTATTATTATTTGTGGTCATTTTAAGCTTCTTGTGTTATGCATTTCATCAGCTGAGGTTTTTGATTAATTGATTGATTGATTTAATCAAATGTTTTTGCAAAAGCATGAATGTTATGCTACAGAGGATGTACTTTTTGATGTATTGTTTTGAGTTATTACGGTGGAAATATTTGTGTATTGAATTTGAATAGCAGCCATTCTAAATTTCTTACCTTTTTTTATTAGTACTATTTATAAAATTATTTCATAGAAAATAAGTAAAAATAAAATAGTGAAAAGCTCTCTATATTATTAAATAGTATTATTGAGTAATACAAATAATAATTTTGTTTTTGTTTTTTAATATTTACATCATTAGCAATAGATTTTTTTTTTTTTTTTTTAACTTTTTATAAGAACATAAGTATTACTTTCTTTTACAAAATGTCTAAAAAAAATAAAAATAAGAATGCATATATTAATTTTAATTTATATTTCTTAATAATTAATAATAAAAATTTCAAACAATTATAAATGCTTTTAAAAAAAGTTTAATTGCATAAGTTTTAAAATATATAATTATATTTATATTGCCAATATTTCCGATCACCATATATATATATAAATACATTTCTTATTTAAAAATAAAAACATTTCACCTTATTGGTTTGGCTATGTTTTCTATTTTTTACTTTTGCGTAATTTATTACATATATTTTTTTCAAAACATTTCATACATATATATATATATATACAAGTTTAATTTATTTCTACTTCAATATATTCCTTCAACTATGAATTTATATTATATTAAACAATTATTATTTAAAAATACTTAAAAAATTATAAAAAAATAGAATAAATAAATAGTTTCCCTTTTCTAGGAATAGACTAGACTATAGAAGCAAGACATTTTTATTCAACCAAATTTTATTTTTATTTTTATTTTTAATTTCCAAAATAATTAATGCATATCCATTCTACTAATGGAAACAAGACATTTATTCATTCATTCTTTATTCATTAATTCATTGGCTTCACTTTCAGTTGTGCATTAATGGGATGCAAGACATATTTATTACTCCCTCCTCCCAAATACCCTGTAATATATATATATTTTTTTGTGCAATATTTTTTTTTATTTGTCCCAAAATTATTGCAATATTTCCAAATTTAAAAATAATTAATACTCCATCCGTTTCAAATACCGTGCAATATTTGTGTTTGGCACGAGAATTTAGATGGGGAGTATTAATTATAATAATTTGAAATAATTTGGATATTAAGTGATGTGATTGAAGAGAGAAATGATTATTTGTTTTTTATTTTTTTTTATTTGAGTGATGTGATGGGATAAAGTGAAGTGTATATTAATATATGTATAAAAATATTATTAATTATTTCTAAATTTGGAAATGTTGCAGTGGACAAACAAAAAAAGGAAATGTTGCAGGGTGTTTGAGACGGATGGAGTAATATTTTTATACACATATTAATATACATTCCACTTTATCATATCACATCACTCAAATAAAAAGAAAATAATCATTTCTCTCTTCAATCACAGCACTTGATATCCAAATTATCTCAAATTACCATACTTAATATTCCCCCATCTAAATTTTCGTGTCAAACACAAATATTGTACGATATTTGAGACTGAGGGAGGATTATTCTCTACCTTAGATAATAAGAATTAATAATAATAATAAATAATAATAAGAATTAATAATAATAATAAATAATATATAAGTAGTATATAATATTTTTTTATGGATAAGATTGAGGGCTACACATGAATATTGTTCCTTCATTGCATACTAAATATAGAAATAAAAAAAATACACATAATAATGAAAAGCAATTTCTCTTGAGGATACATGCATTTTGTGCAACTCTCTATTCCTATCCACATTTTAATAATAATAATAATAATAATAATAATAATAATAATTTCTCTTGCTAAAAATATATTTGTATAGTATGGAGATTTAAATATCTTTTGTTCATATAGATTGGATTAATACAATATTTTATAAAATCAAATAATATATTTTTATTATCCTGGTGATCCGGTGGTGTAGGAAGTATATTTGTGACCGTGAGGTCATAGATTGTTGGTATACATTGAAGTATAAATAATATTGAAGTAGATGATGAAAAATATAATTGCTAGTTACGATATTAATCTCTATATATATACATACTTAAATGAAAGTAAAAATCGATTTGATGTAAGAATAATAATTTCTTTTTACTGTAATCGATTCTATCGATGCTTAAAAAAAAACATCAACAATTTTGAAATTTAAGTACAATCTCTACCACATTCATTGAATAGGTGCATGAATATACACTAATTAATAATTTTATGGGATCATCGCCGCGTCGCGTAAACTGTTTTAAATCAATATAAAAATGTGTTACATAACTTTGCAATAATTTTTATTCAATTCTTTCTAAACATTGCCCATACCTAAAATTATTGAATTTTGGAAAAGTGATATACATATATATATATATGTATGTATGTATATATTTGTTTATGTCATTTTGTATTGCAACAAGCAATGAATGAACTAACTTTGAGAAAATTCCAAGCAAAAATTAGACAAACATGCCAGCCCATTCACTTTACTTCACCCCATTAAATTTCCTCTATCCTCGACTGTGAAATGACGAATATACCCTCCACGACTCTCGATCGCCCTTATGGCTATCGTATATCACGCGTCGAATTTTATACTTTATCTGACTAATGAACGAGTATATTCGAAGAGTAACGAACTAAATGTCTAAATTTTATTAATATTTGTTGAATTTGTTTTCGTCTAAAACCCTAGTCGTAAAAATAAGTAATAAATGGTTTGGTTACTTCAATTTTCTTAATATTTCTTTCGGTGAAATAATTCGAAGAAGATATTTTTGGAAAAAATCGAAGGATTGAATTGTAAAAAAATGCAATATATATATATATATATCTCAAATGGACAAATTAAACTTATATTATTGATTTTTTAAGGCTCTATTTAACTCTCTTATTGCGAAAACTCATAAAATATTACGTTTAACTGTTGTTTAAACTAAAAAAAATCAAAACTATAACACAAAAATAAATAAACCCTAATTTTTTCATTGTCTAAAATATTATATACTTTCCGTCTGTCAAATTTATATTTATTTTCTTTGTAATAATTGTATCTTTGACGTAAAAATAGTGATTATTTTGCGCGAAAAAAAAAAAAAATTCGAAAATTATAAAAGAATTAATGACAACATGAGCTTAGTTGTGTTAGGCCAAACCCATACTTTGAATTTTTAGCAAAGTCTTAAGTCATCTTCTGCACTGCCAACCAATTAAATTTTAATTTATATTTATATTTTTTAAAAAATGATATATATAAATATGTATATATAGACAGCATAACATTTTTGTGGCTCATTCACTGGAATTTACTATAATGTTAAATAAATATGAATAATTATTTGTTGGTTTGTAAATTATTTTTTGGAGATGTTTATTTATTTAATATAGAGATGGTGGGCTACATCATGTTCCCCTTTCAATTTGATGATTCTAATATTAGAAAAATATTTCTTTAATTTTTTTCAATAAGAGAAAAGAATTTGATTCTAATATTCAATTATTTGGTGATGTAGGATTATTATAAATATAGTAATTAATTAACACATCTTATATATACATACATACATTTGTATTTATATTATTGCACCAATAAAATTTATTGTGTTTGGATTTATTTTTTAATTCAAAAAAAAAAAAAAAACATATTGAAACCCCTTTTGTAAAATTAAATTCATTTCATAATTTAGATAATTTCAACAGTTATATTGTCACAAATAGACATGACACCAATAAATTATTTATTGTAGTATTAATTTTAAAATGTTATGATGTTTTGAATTGTGATAGGTATAGTAAAAATATGAGTGAAAAATAAATATTGAATATGATATTAAAAAATAAATAAAACAAATAATGGATGAATGTGATGTTTTTTTTTTAAAAATTTTTTAAAATAATGAATAATATGAAAAAAATATAATAGTATATAAGTAAAAAGAGAAACATTCACTTAATGAATGTATTCAGGTGTGTTATATTATTATTATTATTATTACTAATTATGTCATTTGATTGAACAATATTGTCATTTTAAAGCCATTTGTTTGCCTATTGAAATTGAAAATTGTATAATATGCAAGGAAATAAGTTTAGGTACGTCAAGTCATGTTGAATGATATTTTTCCAATAAAAACATTGACAAATATTATATATATACATTAAAATATGTTCATATATTTAGTTCGTATAATTCAATATAAATAATTGAAAGCACTGACATCTCGTATATAGAAATAGGGCATGGATCAGCTGTTGGTGTTGACTTGATCGGATCAACATATGTTAACTAATATATATTTATATATATTTCAATGTATTTATAATACAACATATATTATATTACAACTTAGCATATTCTATCTTATAACACAACATATGCTGTGAATTATGTATAAACATAGGTTGGTCATCCATATGACATAGGTTGGCCTGATCAAATCAATACCATAGAAATATAAACATAGATTGGCGTTGATTTGACCGGATTAGCGCAAGATCTGCGGCCATAGAAATATAAAAAATGTCAGAGATTTTAAGTAAGAAAGAATTTAAATTTACAGATCAAAGAATCAAGAAAGTAATATAATTAATCAAGAACTTGGTATTCGAGACATCCGACTGTTCTTGAGAGGAATTTGATATTGTAATCAAAGTGATTGGAGACTCAATTAAAAACATTCAAATTGAAGAAAAAAGTCGTATCGTTCGAAGACAAAAATTCATGCGCTGAGGTATCGAGGAATAACCTTACGATGAACCAATTAAAACAACCATTTGTAACAATGATTCTTGTACGGTGTTTGTGAATCTTGGTTTCAGGGATCGCGGTTAGATTTGAAGTGAAATTTGAAAGAAAAATTTAAATTATAGATAAAAGTATCTAGTTAATGAATTTCACCTGAATTAGTATCCAAAAAATAAAATATTTACTCCAAATCGAGTCAACAAATTGTTGTATTATTTACTTTTTGCTTGTTGCTCATACTATCAATCGAGGAGTGATAACAACGTACATATTACATCGAAACTGCTGTTCATGAGAAACAATATCTCTGCTGACAAAAAAAATCAAACAATAACAAACAATATTAATATAAATTAGTTTAATTTTGAAAAACATTGTCATATACAGTGCAATTCATATTTACTAAAAAGTAATAAATATTATGTTTGAATGGCTAAAAATTATAGACTAATTATATTTTTAGTAAAAAAAAAGTATTAAAATAACACTGATGTAGTTTATAGTAACAATTTATATTTTTTAATATTTAAAATAACAAATTCTTGGTGTATATTTATTTACCATTATTTTAAAATTTTATATTGTTTAATATTTTCCTATGAAATTACTATATTCATGTTCATAAAATATCACGTTTAAATTATTATTAAAAAAAAAATTACCAATCAAGCATGCTATTATTAGGGTGTGTTCTTCTAAAGTTCGATTTTGCTTCTTTTTTTTATTATTTTATTTTTTAAAAGGTAGTTTGAACATAATATTTGTAAAAATATATATATTTTTTAATAAAAAATAGTAGCATGATTACTTAAATGAAAATATTGAATTTGTATAGTTGTAATTTATATTAACTTAACTTTAATATATATTCATGTGCAATCACAATATTATAATAAAATAGAGGAATTTGTTTGGTTGTGTTCTCTATTTTTTTTTTTAATTATTCATCTACAGTTATTAATTTTTTCAAAATATCATATTTTATACTTCATTTGTTGTAACTCAAATTATTTTCTTTATTATTTTCACAATCACACTAAAAAATATTATTTTCTAAAAATAATTATACATTGATGTCTAAATATCCTTAATTTTTACATAAATTACAAACATACAATTAAATATATAATTGATTTATAACTAAAATCAAATAGGAAAATATCAAAACTTCCGCTAATTAATAAATATTATTATTTTTAAATTTACTATAAAATCCAAAATAACTCATTTGGAACAAGTAAGAGGAAGCAGATATATTTGAAATATCATTCCGTCTCAAATACATGCAACATTTCTTTCTTTCTGTCAATATTCTAAAATAAAAAATAATTAAATATATTTAATTTCAACTTTACACTTTATCATATTATATCACTCAAATAAATATATATTTTTCTGTCTTTGTCATATCATTTAATTTAAAAATTATTTTATTTAATATTATCTATTTAAATTTTCGTACTAAATATAAATATTACACGGTATTTCAAATGAGGGAGGACCTATATATTTAAAATTTACATCCAATTCAAAAGAAGATGAGCATATATAAATCATAATAATAATAAAATAATAGTGGTAAATAATTAAAATAAAAAATATAATAATAGTAATAAAAAAGGGTCCCACCACGAGTCCCATTTCCCGAAAGAGATAGCGAGCTGTACTCTTTGTTTCTGACTTTTACTATCGTTTAGGTATTTTGTACTTTATTTATACAAATACATACATACACATATCTCTATCTATCTGTATCTATCCATCTATACACACATCTTACATATACATATAATAATAATAATAATAATATTTTATTAAGAATATAATAATATTTAATATATATTTATTTATACTCTGTGATGATGGTTTTGATTTATTTATTCGTCTCTCTCACCAAAATACACACTCAGTATGTGTACGCATTTATACATCTATATATAGCTTCAACCATCATTTCCTCTTTCCCCTGATTTCTGGTTTTCGCTTTCCCCAATTGTTCCCACTCCGCGCCCCCCCACCCCTTTGCCTTTGCCCTTCGATTTTCAGGTAAGGGATCCATTGCTCGCGTTCGCATTCGCATTCGCATTCGGATTTCGGATTCAGATTCAGCTCTTGCTGCTGCGCTAGCTAGCTAGCTGTTTGTTTGTTTTCCGTTTTAGTGTCAACATCATGAGGAAATGGAAGCTCATGCGTGGATCCGGTTTGTATTATTGGAAATGTTTTGCGATTGATTGTTTGGGCCCTAGCTGTATTTATTAGCTTCACATTTATTAGCTTCATTAAATGAGGTGTTTTAGTGCTGTAGATTCTCGATTGGGTATCTTAGCTTCTCGATTTGGTAACTTTTCCGTGTTGCACTGATGATTTTGTACGATCATACATGGTTTCTTGAGTTTTTCCCTTGCAATTTATGCCTGGTTTTCGGTTTTAGGTTTCTGGTTTTGCATACGCTTATAAAAATCTCTGTGTTTCAATTTGATCTGTATTCTATTGTGTTTATTATTCATGTATTTTTTTTTGCGATGATTACAGAGTTCTGTGAATTTCGGTCTCAAACCGATTTATGATAGATTACGCAAAAATTGTATGTATTTCAATTATGGTAGAGAAGAGTTTGTTAATTATTGGTTTAGACATTATTTGCATTATCGAGCTACAGAACTTTTAGTTCAGAGTATTGACGATGGAGACGAACGAGTGTGTCGTGTGTTGATTGTAGAATCTTCATTAAACATTAGATCGGTTTAGCGTAGATTTTCTGTTCTTCACTGTTCGTCGTTTTATGTAATTCACGAATTCTGGACAACAAGTTCGAGAAAATTATATGTAGAGAACTTTCTGTCCATTACCTTTCTGTATATATATTCAAGTGATTGCAAACAATGATGGTATTCTGTGCTCATGCTATCATAGATTTATCAAAACCTATTTTAGCTACTTCAGAGAAACTTATTTGTGTTTATTTTCCTTGAACGTGCAGTTATTTTAAGGGCTTACTGTTCGCTTTGATGCATCGTGAGCATTGGCCATCTGGAGTGTAAGTTCAAGCGCTCCTTGTCTCTGAGACTCAGCACCTGCACACACAGCACAAATTTGAAAAATGGGCCACAGCGTTGCTAATGAGAGTGAAGATGGAGTGCTCTCTGCTGATTCGCCTGTGAGTAATGATGGTGACAATTTCGGTGGAAGTTCTAATGGTGGGATTGTCTTAAAGAAAGGCCCATGGACATCTGCTGAGGATGCGATCTTGGTTGAATATGTGAAGAAACATGGTGAAGGCAATTGGAATGCTGTTCAGAAACACACCGGGTTGTTGCGTTGTGGTAAAAGCTGCCGTCTGCGATGGGCTAACCATTTAAGGCCAAATCTGAAGAAAGGAGCATTTACAACGGAAGAAGAAAGACTGATAATTGAACTTCATGCTAAGATGGGAAATAAATGGGCTCGAATGGCTGCACATGTAAGTTAAAATTGCATATACTCACACTTGTGTTGATTCATTTACTTAAAGTTCATTTGCCTTATAATAATTTTATATATATATATATATATATACCTCACGATGTAAGTGTACATGCTAGAATAATTTGAAGTACGTAGATGGTGTATATAATTCAGTAATCTTTTCCGAGTATACAGGCTAGATAGAGCTGAATTATTATTATGTGAGGATAGAATCTTCAACAGATTATTAGCTGCATTGAATTGATTACAAAAAGATGCTCCTTTTCATTTGATAGCCAATGGTATTTGCCTTTTGAGATGTAGGAGTTTATTATTGCTACACTTTTACTTCTTGTCTAGCCATCATAATATTTACTCACACTATGATCTTCTTCATCTTAGTTGCCGGGACGTACAGACAATGAGATCAAGAACTACTGGAATACAAGAATAAAAAGACGTCAACGTGCTGGCTTACCTCTTTATCCTCCTGAACTATGCATGCAAACCCTTCCCGAGAGCCAACAAGTCCGCGATTCCCCTGGAATGTACGGTGGAGATACAGGGTGTCAAGACATCTTGCAAAGTGATGGTTATAAGGCGTCCGATTTCATGTTTGATGGCTTAAACATGCTACCATGCCCACCAGAGTTTGCAGATATTCCTCCCGGCAGCAATTCTCTGATAAACGGTTTTGGTTGCCCTCAGTTTCACTGTTTTGTTCCCCAAACACTAAGGTCACAGAAATGCATAAACCCCCCTGATGAAGCCATGCCAGACTACATGGAAGGTGCTGCTAATAATAGAGCGCCGTCGTTTAACAGCGTGTGCAACGAGAAATACGAGGATAAAGTGTCTCAACCCCCCTTGGGTCTTTACTCCTTGTATGATATTGATCACACTGACAAGCTGTTGCCTCTCGGTGCAGATCAGGATGGTCAGTTTATGTCAAATGGTATTTTCTCTGCTTCTAAGCACATTTCCAGTGCCGAGAAGTTTGAGCTCCCTTCACTCCAATATCAAGAAACTGGTTTAGGTTTCTGGGATCCTCCACCAGAATCAGTGGATTCCTTTATCCAGTCTTCTATAGGTGGGCAACTCCCAACAGATTGTTCTTCTCCTCGAACCAGTGGCCTATTAGAAGACTTAGTTTACGAGGCAAAGGCTCTAAGTAATTCGCAGAATCAAGTTTCCGACAAGGTTCCTTCTTCCATTGGTGCTGGTACAGCAGACAGTTGTGCCGCCGTGTTCAAAGGTTATCTTGATCCTACTTCCCCACAGTGTAATTCATTCGGATCAATGTTCGGCGAATGCATCCCTGCCCATGGAGTTGGAAGTACAATAAAAGAAAAGATGCCCTGTAAGTGTTAAATTATTTATATATCAAATAGCATCTGTTAGATAATTACGTCAAATCGAGGATAAAACCTCTCTTTGCCCGGTTTGTGGATGTGTCCTTTTATAGGCTCACCACCATGCGGAGATTAAATGCCGGGATGGTAGTCACTTAATGCAGGTCATAAATCACCGGATAAATTTCTTTTATGAGAAAGGCAGATTGTGGTAGAACAGAATATTTGTTTGGAAATTAAGATAGCAATCACCATCATTATTATCTTTCTTATCTTCATGTTAACCTGCATTGACACTCTCCAAGGATTTACAAAATTCTCTAGATTTAACTTTCTTCATTCTTTGATTGAATACAAAATCTCTTGTGTGAAATTATGTGCCTTTTTCTCTGTTATCGATTCCTGAAAGATATATGCATTCATTACTTATTTAAATTACCAAATTACTTGTCATCCATGCTTTCTACAATGTATTTACAGTGATTATTGTGTTGTTTGCAAGGTCTTGGATATTCTTAGTTTGCCCTGTTCTTGGCCGGACATTATAGCTGTCATCAAGTCCATCTTTTTGCTGTTTCAGCTTGTGTGTCCGACCATGAACTGAATCTAAAGAACTCTTTATATGTTAGTCGTGGATACCGATCCCATGAATATGAGATTGAGACTAGTTGGAGGGGTAGGTACTACCGGGTAGGGAACATCACTGGATGGGCAATAATCATTCAGTTAAACGACGCGGTAGACAATACCGTATGGCCTTAAAGAAAATTGAATTGATCATTAGTCTCATTCGAGTTTTCCATGCCTTCCTAAATTGTTCTGTTAGGCATAATGTTTCCCCATGTTTTTGGTCTTTTTACTAATGGTTTCGAATTTCATTCTTTCCGATTGCTCGTGGGCTTTATATCGAATTTCATCTATTTATTTATTTTGTTGTTGTGGTTGTGTCCCCTCCCCTGCAGCTGTGAAATCAGAAGTTGGTGATCAAGGATGGATCCTGGACAGCAGCAGCAAACATAAAGAAAATTTGAACCAGTTGGTGTGTTCGAGACCAGATGCCGTACTAGGATCGTCCTGGCTTGCATCGAAGCAAGATCCGGATCCTATTGCAGCATTCATCAGCGACGATTTTGGGAATGATCTAAACATGTGTGGGGGAACTTGTTCTGTGTCCACTTCCACCTTGACCACCTCTTCTTCGAGCTGGGGCCTCGGCCTCGGCTCCTGCACCTGGAATAACATGCCCGCCGTCTGCCAAATGTCCGATCGCCCGACGTCGTAACTCAAGTTGCATCATCATCATCATCATCCCCAGGTTGTTGCCACTATTTCTTCTTTTTTTGGTTTTTGGTTTTTGGATGAGAAGAACACAGAGAGAGAGAGAGAGAGAGAGAGAGAGAGAGAGAGAGAGACATAGAAAGAGTAGAGTGTTCTGGAGGCGTATTTGATTGAAGATGAGGATTTCTATCAGCTCTGGTATTTGCACTCCATCCTACACTGGCTGGCTGGATGTTGGACTATTATTTTGTTTACATGCATTCTTATTGAAATTCTGATGCCTTTTAGATTATTATTATTATTATTGGATTAGTGAATTTGGTGTTATATTAAGAGGGTAAATAGTAAAAATAGTGCATTTTCATATAATTTTGTATGAATTGCTTCATGAAAATCTCTAATTTAGAAAAATAAATAAATTGTGATATAAGTATGGATGTGCTAGTTTGGAGATTTCAATTTAATAATAAAAATTTTGAATTTGAGTATAATCTAATACAAATAATAAGATGATATTTAGAATGTAAAATTAACTTTTAATATAATATAAAAAATAAATTTAATATTTTTTAGGGAAATAAACTTGATGAATAATACTCCCTCGAAGGGAATGAAGTAAAAACAAACACTCCCGTATGTATAAGTATTTGTTCTTTTTAATTTTTCAAATCAAAATCAATACTATTCATATTTCTAATAAAAATATATTTTTTTTTTTTCACAAAATATTTCATTAGAATAATATTAAAAAAATAATAATAAATTAATATTTTATATCAAATCAATTTCAAATTACAGGTAAACAAATTTTAATATTTTAAATAAAAATTTAAATTTTTATTAATATATTGAATAAATTATTATTATTATTATTATAAATTGAAAACAAAAATGGAAGTATCCCTCAATCCTCATTGATGTGTTGTGTCTTGATCGACGACAATGTGCCATTCCTTCTCCATGGGAGCCACTGCTCCTCCGCTCATCATCGCCCATCGCCCCTCTCTTCCACTGCCGCCTCGATTCTTTCGAATTCCATTCTCCGGGGAACCGCATCATCACCTTCGATTGGCCTCTGCTACTTGCAGCCACACGGATGTGAGTTCTATGTTTTTATTGAATTTAGGTTTCGTATGCAATTGTTTCGAATTTCGAATTACGAAACCCTAATTTTGGATATTCACCTGTTGCTGCATTAGATTCGCTGTGATTTTGTTACCTGTGTTGTTACAATGTGTGCTGTAATTGATTTGTCTCAAGGGTCCATCGTTTGATATATGCTGCTGCATGTTCATGACAAATCCTCAGTAATATGCGCCCTTATCTAATACACTTAATCACTTGAATGGTAGATACCGGAACCGTCGGGTATTGGGAGCAGTTCTAGGGCTGAAAACCAAGGTATTCTTTAGATTATGGGGTGGAAATGCATCTGATGATTGATCATGTTTGCGCCGCTTGAATTTGCAGTTCCTTCTTCCTAAAAGATTTTCATTCTCTTCCTGTTAGGTTCAGTTGGGAAGGACGACAAAAGTTCTCACTCAAACTCATCGAATGAGTACTTAATCGATTTCTTCGAGCATTTTATTGAATCTGTGTTCTGAATGTGTTGATATGAATAATTAAAGTATTTTCATTAGTGATGGATCGCTCTTTTCGTTCAGAAGCTAATTTCTGATTCTTGTATTCGGAGCTTAACAGGATATTGGACAAATTGAAGAGATACGGTGTCTCGGGAGTTTTGTCCTATGGTTTACTTAACACAGCTTACTATCTTACCACTTTTTTAGTCGTTTGGTGAGTGATGTTCTTTCCTTGTCCTGTTGATGAAACTGATTGATTTTCTTCCAAGTTTAAAAGTTCTTCTATTGCATCTGATAGAAAAACACCGACAATCAATTTCAAGTCGGTTGATGAGTACAAGATGTTGCTTAATTTATTCTTCTCGTGTTCTTGATAGGTTCTATGTTGCGCCTGCACCGGGGAGAGTGGGTTATTTGGCTGCTGTCAAAAGGTAAAACATATCCTTTTATATACTTGTTTGGAGTTAAAAGTATTCCCGGAAAAGAAACAGGTGTCTTTCATTTTCAGGTTTCTTAAGATAATGGCTATGGTGTGGGCAGGAAGCCAAGTGACTAAGCTTGTGCGGGCTGGAGGGTGAGATGCTGTAACCATACATTTGGCATCTAGATAGGGTTAGTTTCAGGTTTTTGTTTTAGTTTTTAGTTTTCTTCGATTCATGATTGCAATAAACATAACATTAGTAGGTTAGGCGGCGTTCAAAGATGCAGAAAATAAGCTATGACAATTTCCTTGGCCCGATGCAATCTTTTCTGTCACACCCTCTTTATAAGTTCATAGCCATCTTTAAAATCATTGCCTTAAGTATAACTACCTTGTGTATTTTAATAGTAATTTTTTCGACACATTTCAAATTAAAACATGTGCTGTGTAGATTACTATCATATATTTATCTGTATTATTGAGTGCATATATTAGAAATGTCGCAATAAGCTATGCCCGTATTAGTTTTGAAACACGATGATTTTGTCATATCAAAGTAGCGCCTTGTAAATTTGTGGGTAACCTTTAGAAATTACGAGTGTTTCTAGCAGGGCGGTGGCACTTGCACCTTTTGTAGACAGGGGATTGTCGTGGTTCGGCGCCAAGTTCGGGTTTGAGTCCCAAGGGAAGGTACCGTAGAATGCATTGAATTGACACACCACCGTCCGACAGCTGAAATCCAATGAATTTGTTTGTCTTGATATGTTCTTTGAGGTTGTTAAGAGTCGATTGATTTGTTATGCAATGCAGGCGTTTATGGCGATTGCCGGGATTTGTTTTGGATTGGCGTTCTTGATGTTTCTTGGGGTGACCATTCTCTCGGCGTAAATCGTCAGCGAATGCAGCCGTTGCTGTCCACCGGAGCAGCCGAGCCGATCCGAGCAAGCTGCGGCAATGCTTCGGAGAGACTAATGTTTCTGAAAAAGTGTTTTATGTGTTTTTGTTGTTCGTAGGTTGTGTGAGAGAATTGGATTTGAATCCAAAGAATAACGGCTTTGTTAGCCCGACACTAATTTTCATTTTTAATTGCAAATTCCTAAAAATAATGATAAACAATCTAAAATATTTTTTATAAAAGTAAAAAAAGTCAAAAAATTCAAATATTTACAAAAACTTAAAATATGTCCAAAAATCAATTTATTTAAAAAAAATTAAACGGAGTCAACTGTTTCTTGGGGTGATTTGATTTGTTTTTACTATTTGTAATTATTATTTTTTTCGAAAAATATTAATCTCAATATTTATGTTTTATTTTTTATATTATATTAAAAATTAATTTTATATTTAAAATATCAACACTTTCAATCCATATTATATTAAATAATGATTCAAATTTGAGTTTTTACAATTTAAATAAAAACTTTCAAACAAATATATCCGATTAAATGAGAATATTTTCTTCATGATAATTTAAAATGACAGTAGAATGACACATAAAATGTTAGTAATTTTTTTTAAAAATAAAATAATACTATATTTCCTTCAACATTTAATTCACTACTAATTTTGGTAAAATTAATTTTTTTATTAAATTTAGTCTATTACTAATTTCAATAAAATTAAATTTTGAATATTTAACTATTATTCTTTATTCAACTTTTACTTATTTAAAATCTATAATGACCGCTACTTTTATTATATTATCATTAGCTATTAATTAAAATTTAAAAAATACTCTCAATATATTTTTACTTTGATCATTTTTTAATAATTTTTTTTTAAAAAAAATAAAATAAAATACCTCCCATAAGATCCAAATAGAATAAATTAAAAGAAATTTTAAAGTAAACTTTTGATTTATTAATTTGAAGAGAAAATAAAACATTGAATAGTAATAAGATGAAATTAAGTACTACAATACAACATACCATTTGTTTCATACAATCACTAATTATTGAGTATTTTTTTAAAAAAAAATCAAGGCTATAAAATCAAAAATATTTTGAAATTCACATAATCAAAATTATAATACACTACCAACATGGTATGTGAAATATAATTTTTACATTACATTTTCATGATTTAATCTAAACATCTATATATAAAAATTCAAACTTGAAATACAATGAATCTTATAATTTAGGAATAAAATTGTAAGAATTATATCCACAATAGATTAATTTAATTACTTTACCTGTTTAAGAAATTAATTTAGAAATTGCATTTGTTAATTGTGCAAATAAGGGACCAAATTAAGTCTTTAATTAATAATTAAACTTTCAAATAAGTAAGATACATAATAATCTTATAGTACTAATAATAAGTGGCTTTCCAACTCAAATTTTCTTTGTTTGAAAATATTATTTCATAATTATGTATGTAAATTATGCATAAATCAATTTACTAATTAAATCAAATTAGGAATAATTCACATTAAATTTCCCATTCAATACTTGCACTATAATCTCCTCCATTTGCAATTTTTTTTCCTAATGTTTCAAAATTGGCAATGATTTTAATTCTATATAAATACTTATATATATAAATATATATAAAAAGATAAATACAAATTTATTAAGTTAATTGCATAAATATAATCGTTACTACTTTAATTAATTGCTAAGTAAGCTCTTTCTTTCTTTTTTTTAAAAGAAATTCAAACTTACCTTCGAAATACATGTTCAACTATGATTTAAATTATGTTTTTGTACATATAAAATAAATAAATCACATCTAAAACATATTTATCTTTTAAAATTATATATATAATATAATATTCCCTCCGTCCCAATACATAGTCTTGTTTACTATTTTTGTCCGTCCCAAAATAATAGTCTCATTTCCATAAATAATCATATCACTGTAAAACTACCCTTACTTTTTCATTATTATTATACAATTGTCACTCCTTTTTACACTAATACACTCACAAGGGCAAAAAAGTCTTTTACCTGTACTTTTTACCTTCTCGTGCCGAACACAACCCAGACTATAGTTATGGGACGGAGGGAGTATATATTTTCCAATCAAAATTAATAACTCAAACAACTTATATACTACTAAATTAAATAAAAATTAATGATTTGCTAGTGATCGATAATTTTTTTTTTATTTTTATAAAAAAAGATAGATATTTTTCCTATGTAATAAATATAAATAATTAAACGATTCAAAATTATCAAATCGAAATGTCCCTAATGACTAGAGAGAGCGGAAATAGTAACAATAGAAAGATGATAAATAAATTTATTTTTATTAGGAATAGTTTTATAAAAATAAAAATAAGTAATAATTGAAAAAAAAAAATATATAGATATATATATTTAAAACATTGTAAATTAAAAATAATAACAAAAAATTGAAACACATAATAAAACAATTATTTTATTTCAAGAACCCTAAAACCTTAATTAGATGTCCTAATCAAATCCAATAAACACACAGACACAGAGATACATGTGTACGGACGTATATAGAAGGTATAGATACATAAATATCTGCATGCAAATACACATATATATATACATACATACATACATACATATATACATATAGAGAGAGAAAGAGATGAGAGAGAGAGAGAGAGAGGACATCCATAATTAATTTATTACATATAAAGTCCAGTTGATTTTCTGTTAATTAAAACCTTTCCTTAATCCTTCCAAAAAAATATTTCCTTATTAATATATTGATTACTAATTATCCTCTTATTTATACCCCAATTTTCTTCCTCTTCCTTACTCATTCTAAATCCCCAAATTCCTCCATGGCCGCCACCACCACCGCCGCCGCCGAACCTTCTCAAGCCTCCAGCATTTCCGCCGCCTCCCAAAAATCCAAGCTCTCTTCAATGGCGGCCGCCGCCCAAATCCCCACCGCCGCCGCCGTCGGATTGAATCTGCAGCTCGCCGCCAGTCACGGCGGCGATCCGCCGGAAGATCCCGGCGACGAGCCAAAACTGGAGCTTCACTTATTCAATTCCTCCACCGCCGCCGCCGCCGCGGAATCTTCGTCGAATAATGACGGCGGTAGTAAGGCGGCGGGCGGCGGCGCCACCGATCAGGCGGCGAAGACGTTTGTGTGTAGCTTCTGCAAAAGGGAATTTTCGACGTCTCAGGCGCTCGGCGGCCACCAAAATGCTCACAAACAGGAGCGGGCGCTGGCGAAGAGCCGCCACACCATGGCGGCGGCGGAAATAGCCGCGCCGCCGCCGTACCCTTACTACCCCTACTCGACCTACTCACCTTACTACCGATCTTCCTTAGGTTTCAGGGCAGACTCTATGATTCACAGACCATTCCCATGGTCGTCTCCACCGCCGTCGCCGGCGTACGGATTCCGGTACGGTCCGGGAAAAATTTTCAGGGGTACTAATTCGATTGATGCAGCGCCGGTGACGGCGCCGGCGACGTACGATAGATTGAGGATGGAGAATTTTCCGCAATTAGGGCTTGAGAGGTATGGAGGAACTCTGAAACTGGGAGTAAACCCTAACCCTAATTCGAGTGACATTGATGCAGGGAAGACGACGACGACGACGATGAAGGGCCATGACGGTAGTAGAAATCAAGGGCTGAGATTGAAAGATGGGGATGATCGGGATGATCCGACGGACCAGGATGGTTCGGGTCTTGATTTGAATCTTAGCCTCTAATATGAATGGATTTTAAATTATGGTTTAGGCTATTTAATTTCTTGTATGTCACAGTTTTATTTTTGCATTTAAATTATCGGAAAAATATTGTCTTTTTTTTATTTATATTGACAATTTTAGTTCATATATTATTAAATAATAATGTTAATCCATTTTATTTATATTTGAATAAATTTTAGTCCTGGATCATATCCATTGTCATACAAATACACTATATTTAGAAAATTATTCATAAAATATGTATATGTTACTCTTAAATTATTAATAAGGTCACTAAATTGAAGAAATTAATTTGCATGATTGTCTTGAGTTAATTTATTCCCTTTGAAATTTGAAATTAGCATTTTTAATTAATTTCAGCAATTAAATCTATTATCGTTTTTAAATCATGCATGGGACAATACACAGTTACTTTTAATGTTGTAAGTTGTAACCATTTTTATTTTTATTTTTTTCAAATTGAATTTTGATATTGCAATAATCATCTCGATATTTGATTTAATGCTATAATTATTTGCAAATTAAAGCCATGATTTTATAATTTAACTAGTGAGTAAATAACGGATGGAAATAAATAAATATACGTAACAATATGGTAAATTCATATCTTGATTTTTTAAATGTTGTGTTTGACTTTGAATTTATATTCCATATTTTTACTGTTCAATTTCTAAAAATATTTTATACAATAAATTCTTTACTATAATATATATATATATATATATTTCCAATTCTCTCCAAAGGCTTACTTTATATCTTCGTATGTCTAAATAAAAAATTTATGTTTTATTTTTTTTTAGTAAGTTTGATCTCAATATATATCATAAATATCATCAACTTACATCTATATCAATAAGGTTATAACAAATTAAAAATTACATGCGGAAAGGATGAAAATAAAAATATATATATTAACTTAAGATGAAGAAAATATTATTTTCTCTCAAAATATCACATTGAAATTTTATTTCAATAAAAACTCAATTCAATTTCAAAAACTCATATAGTAGTAATTATTATAATTATGATGAAAATCATTGTAATTATAATATCTCGTTAATGTGCTCTTCTCAAATTTTACCATAATCATTTTATTGGATTGCTTGTTTGATGAGAAAAAAATAAAATATCAAGTGCAATTTCTTCTATCTTACATATTACGCTTACATTTTTATTTTTTTATTCGTTTCACAGCTCAAAGTAAAATCTTTTAAATTTTAATTAGATTAATTAATTATTTTAAATTTATTTCAAAACTTTTTTGTTTCTATAACTAGCTGAGCTCAAATTCAGCTCAAAAATGGTATGATTGAACTCATTATTAGTAATAATATATTTGTATTATTTTATAAAATAATATAATAAATAAATTTTTATGTCAAAACTTATCTTTATTGGAGTACAATAATCTATGAATAAAATTATATTTATTTAATTCATATATTAAAATCTATATATCATATCTATAAAATTCAAGTCGAAGAAATATACTATAATTTCTCTTAAAATAATAAATTAAAGTTCAAAATTGCTGCAAAGATTTGAAAGATTTTAACATTACTTGTCCGTTTAACACAATTTGAACATATACTTGCCGTTCTTCAAAGTCATTGTAGAGACTTATTCTTTCATCACCTCATACTAAACATATAAAAACAGACAGCTCAGAATTGGCAATAGGTTGTCCAGACAAGTATGTCACAACATCGAAAATCGTCGCAAGTACCTGGCGACTTAGGAGCTCGAAAGAAAACTAGCTTAAATAACAGCAGATTGCATCAAGATGTCGAGCCGGGATCACTGATAACCCCAAGAAAATCATCCTTTATTGTGCCGATACAGAACTGGAAAACAGATCGAAATCAGAATATGCAGGGCGGTCTGAATAGTAAACAAATTGCTAGAATATGATTTCGAAGATATGTTCATCCACTCGTTGATGCTGCAGCATTCGAGGTAAGAGTTCAAAATGCAATAGAATATGTCGATGGATAATAATCTGACAAGAAGGCGAGGATGTGTTGATTATTAAACTGAACATATGTGCTTATAATGATTTCATTTACACACTATTCTATGGGGCTTCATAATCGAGAATAGAGAACACACTGAGGACTTACAATTTCTATAGCATCAACTCTACATCCGATTATCTTCAGCCGGACTTCAGTGTCTTTCTGAATTTTGACCTGTTGAGGATTTGATAACATAATTATCAGTTACTATTATTCCAATATTCAAACCTAAAATCACAATCACCAGGGCAAATAGAACAACAGGAAAGTTTTCTTACAGATCCATCAGAAGTTGTGTAATTCGGTATGTCTCCAGATTGAAACTCCATGTCATTTGGTATCAACTAAATAACCAAAAACAGGAACATCGAAATTAGTCAGGAACATTTGAACACTTTTGACTTCCTCTGCTGAGGAAGGCTTGTTCGAGAGGTTTGATATTGTAACAGCCAAAGGGTGTGTTCTAAAATTTGTTTGAACTTGGCCACTCACATGATTCGACACAAAAACTTGGACGGGTCCAATTTCAGCGAAAAAACCCATCTGCAGCATTTCCAAACCAATAGAAAAATTAACAAAAGAACACAAGAATCGCTCATATTATACCCAATGAAGAAGGTACCTTGTTCACCATTGAAACAGGACCTTCTACAATCTCTCCCTTAAATGGCCGAAACACAACACACTGATACTTCACTGGAAAGGTAACAAAACCCGTTCCATCTCGAATTAAACCTTTCCCAACACTTTCAATTCCCGTTATTGCCACAATGAATCCATGCCGGCCGCTGTAGCAATTTAAATAATCAAAACATGAACAAAGAGTAAGAGCTCTGATCTTTCTTTCCCCAAAAGAGTTAATAGTAGTGTGTTAGCATGATCAACCTGCAAGTGCCTTCAACATCTTTCATGAGCTTGGTCACAAGCTTATCCCGAAGATCACGGCCAAAGTGACGTGGATGAAGCTGCATGTTCCGTTCCAATACTATGTGGAAAAACATTGCTTCTCTTTCCTTCAAGTTTCAGAAACACCTAATTTTACAAATGATTATTCCTGAAACACCCAAAGTAAATCAAGCCATGGGAACAAGTCTTCAGAAAAACCAGACTCTTCAAACTCTATAGCAAGACCGAAATTCAGAAAATCATGAGGTAATATGTATATGTATATGTATTTTTCTCTACATCTTCTCTGCAATTCCGATCACACGAAGAAAAATGCAGAAACAGAAATCGGTCAAGCGACTCACCACTAATGTTTTGAATCAGTACAAAAAAAAATTCAAGAAAAAGAAAAGAAAAGAAAAGAAAAAGAACAAGAACGTGAATCCACTGAGATATATATATATATATATATATAAGAATGCACAAATCCAAGAAAATTAAACTAATAAACTTCAACCATTCGAATCAATACAAAATCAAAAACGTCATCCAATTCAAACCCTAAATACCATCTCAGCTGCCATTGAAAAAAGATATGATAACAACTCACAATTCAAAAAAAGTGTTAAGAATTGATCTTACAAAGCCTCCGATTAACTTGTAGAAGAAGAAAACGATACGACTACCGACGTTAAGAAAGGAATTTGGGAACTTGAAAGTCACCGGAAAGAAGACAACGGGACGGCTAGGTTGGATTTCTGGCGGAAGCCAAGAAATTGATTTGGGGAAACATAAAAGGATTATATAAAATATAATATTGAAAATATATATAATTAAAATACTCCTACCCTTGAATACGGGCTAACCCGCCCGCCGTTCTGACCCGCGACCCAAATTATGGGCCCATTTAACCCGCCCGCTTAATAGGATGCTCAAATGCTCTATTGATCATCACCGAACTTCGTTCCAATTCCCTCATCAGCAAACCTTCTCCCGCAAACCCTAGGATGGTGGAGGCAGGCAGGCCGGCAGTCGCTATGCTTTAGAGAAGAAGAGGAAGGAGGACGTCGGAGGTGATGAAATTGGATTTGGGAAGAGGAAGGAGAGCTTCGGCGATTGGATTTGGAGAAGAAAAAAAAGAAAAGCGTCGTCGGCGATTGAAATTGGATTCGGGGAAGAAGAGGTAGGAGAACAACTGGATTTGTGGAAGAAGAGAAAGGAGAGCGTCGGCAATGCGATGAAACTGGATTTGGAGAAGAAAAGGAATGAGCCAATGCTGGATTTGAGAGAAGAGAGAGAAGAAGTGAGCGAGGCGCTGGGATTGCCCGTCACCTGCACCACACCCCCGTCGATTTTTAGTCGAAATTTTAATTCGAAAAGAAGGTCACAGAGGAGAGAGAAAGCTTGGACAGACAGGAGATGGGCTTCTATTATTGAGCCATTGTTCGTGCTCATAGTTCTAAACATATTACTCCAAATTTTTTTTAATGGTATATTATAAATTAATATAATATTGTTTACTGATCAGGTTTTATGCGTGATTTTATTATTTTTAATTTTTTAAAAAAATATTAAATTTTTATTTATTTTATTACATTAAAATATAATTTTAAATTTAAAATATACATCAATTTGTATATTTATATCACATTAAACAACTATTTTAATTTAAAATTTTACTATTCAAAATCAAAAATCAAAACTAAAACCTGAGAAGTAAACACACTAAGATGATTTTTTTTTTTAAGTAAAAAAAGACACAACTATTTACATACTTAATTTATTAAAATTTTTATTTTATTTCATTAACTAATATATATATTTTTCAAAATACTCATATTTTATGTTATAAGCAACAATATACTAATATTTTTTCTGTATGTCTGGTCACATTTATTTTATTTGAATATAATATATTGTAAATTAAAAAATTATTTGTAATATTAAATAGATAGTACAATTAAAAAAATAAATACTTTATTATAGATATATAAAAAATAAAAATAAAAAATAGATCGTTAAGTGAAATATATATATATATATATATACTTAAAGATGGTTTAAAGAGAAACTCCAAATTCTCATCGCCATCTATCACTAAATTATTTATTATTAAAATGATTAAATTTGAAATTAAAGGTGAAAATTGAATTTAATACATGTTGAATTTATTTGAAAGTCACTAATATAATTGTGTTAACAACATCAAAAAATACTTCAATATTTTATATTGAATAATTTAAACTATTTTCAATAAATAAATAAATATATATGCTCTCTGTCCCATATATTTTGGGTGTGTTACTGTAGATACGATAATTTAGGTAAGAAATGTATTAGTAGAAATAATTGTTATTTAGTAAAAATAATTATAGATAAAGATAAAGATAAATAAATAATTTAATTAAGATTTAAAAAATTATAAAATTCAAAACTTAAAATATAATTAAAGTAGATAATCATAGTTCCCAAAAAAAAAATAATAATAACAAGTTATATAGGACGGACGAAAATAAAAAATAAAAACAAATTATATGGGACAAAAAGAATATTATATTAATACTATGTTGAACAAACCCAATATTGCAAAGAGTAAAGTTGTCTAAACTAGTATTCCTTTTGTCCCATTATATATTTTATTGATTAGTGAAATTGTGTAAGAATTTTTGATATTTTTATTTTTAATTTTACGTATAAAATAATTGTATATGTAATACTCCATTCGTCCCAAAAGTAAATATCCATTTACTTTTTGCACGTAGTTTTAGAAATATTAGTATTATATTGAGATATAGTATAAATAAAATAGAAATGACTAAAATAATATAGTATATGCAATACTCTTATTAGTATGTGTCATATAAATATAATGATATTTGTGTAATACATTGTAAGTTGTAGAGGTATTTATAATGTTAGATAGATAGTACAGTTACTTAAAAAAAATGGATAATTTGTTATGGAACGGACTAAAATGGAAAAATGGATAATTTGTCATGGACGAAGGGAGTAATATATTTGTAATTCAGATAAAAGATAAAAATATTTTTGATATTAATGTATAATTGCTTTTACTAAATATTTTGAAATAAGAGTTAAAAAAAATGTACTTTGAGTTTCTACCGCGTGTGTATATATATATATACTTTAATTGTATATGTTTATATATATATATTTTAGATTTTCTATTTTTCATCAAATCTTTTAAAAATATTAAATTAAATATATATTTAATTTTTATATTCTAATATCTCTTTATATGAAGTCAAATAATTATTTGCTTTATTATGTAAAAAATAATTTAGTGGTGTAAAATGAATTTGTATATATATAAATTTTTTATTATATTTGATTAACAAAAATATATTTGTATTATTTATCTCATAAAACATTATACTATTATTTAAACTAAATTCCAAATAAAAAACACAAATTTCAAACTAAATACAAACAAATCCTAAATAAATGCGTATTACTTAGGGCACGGCGAGTCCGTACATTACATTGCCTCCGCTGATCTCTCCGACGGTCAGACCAATGAGAAGAAAGGACCAGACCAGAGTCCGTAGAGTTGCACGCCATGCTTTATAAGTTGTACTCAAAGAAAAAATGGAGACTGAAGAGCCAGTTTCGAAACCCTCATGGTTAAATCACGCACGACGACTCCTCGAGACTAAATTTCAAGGAATTCCACGGCGTTCCGGATCTGAATCGAGGAATCCATCTGTCTGATCGTTAGAGAAATTTCAACTGGGTTAGGGTTTCCGGTGCTCGTTTCCGTCAGATTTCTGCTTCGCTGCGAATACTTTTTTGCGCCATGAGGAAGAAGCTCGGCACTCGTTTCCCAGCAGTAAGTTTCATCTCTATACAAAAAGTTTTATGCTTCTTGGATTGTGTAAAGATTGTTTCCAATTTCCCTTCTTTTTGTGGTTTCATTAAGTCCGCCATACAGCTTGAATCGATGAATTGAACTCTCGTTCTTAAAATTTTAGGGCTGTTTGTGTTCATAGTGTTCAATTTTGCGTGTATGAGATGATCTGTGTGTTCTTTTTTATGTGTATAAAACATCTCACTCAACAACTATTTTTAAGCTCAGAAATTTGCTATGAACTGTGTTTGTCTGCGTTTTGTAGGGTTTTGGATGTTACATGTTTTGGATTTGAAATTTTTGAATGAAAATAATCTTTAGATGTTACAATTTGAACAGAGAATTGTTTTGACTAGAAAATCTGTTAAATGAAAATTAGATGTAAATTATAATCTTTTGGTGGAGGATGGAGGAAAAACAATTACGAAATTGAACTCTTTTAAGTTTCTTGAATTGGTTTGTGCCAATCTTTTGGGGGTGCAGTGCGATTCAAGGAAAGAACTGTTCTATCTTTTTACTAGGACTTATCTTTTATATTTCTGTAAATTTCTATACATTTAGAACATTGTCGATGAAGCTGGAATGGAATGGAATGTGACAGCTAATTTGTATGCTTTATATGAAAGGAAGTGGGGTGTCTCAAATTGTAAGTTATGTTGTATGGTAAAAAAAGAAGTATTTGTTCATAAATCACATTTATTAGATGTCGGCACACATTTTGGTAGCTTGTGCTGTCGGCAAGACATCAGCGACGAGTATGTTTGAAGAATATTAAGAGTAACATCGGAATATGGAATATGGAAAGGGACTTTGAATGAGTTATAACGGTTTACGCCAAAATGTTTCCTTATACAAATGTGCTCACAAGTTAGTTTGGGATAAAATTATGGTGTGATGTTGTTTGTGTTTTGAAGTTTTTGATGTTTTGAGTTGTTTTGGATTTGATCATTTTTTAAGTGGAAAATAATGGTGTGTTTACTTTGTGATTTTTAATTTTTTGGTTTGAATAGTAGGTTGGATGTGATGTTTTGAGAGATGATATAGAGTATTATTATTATAGCGAATCGTAATGATTGTATAGTAAAGAAAAAAAAAAAGAAAAAACAAAATCTCAAAGAAGTAAAACAAATGCATTGAAAACACGAGCAAATGCACCCGATTCTTTGCCAATCATAGTGGAAGTAAAACAAAAAAGTAGTTAGATGGCAGCATGAAACCTGATTGTGGTTTTGTCTATTTGAATTTTTTCTGAATTTAATGCAAAAAATATCAGTAATTTGTCGTTAGCTGTAATGATATTTTGTTATCAAATGAAGCTTCTTGAGTGTAGGCTGATCTTAGCAACATAAATTTGCAATCTTAATCCGGACGAGGAAGGCCTTTTGTGAAATGGCTATTATCCACTCATGACAACTGGATTTCATGCTTTTTTCTTTTTTGCCAGGCACGGATAAAAAAGATCATGCAGGCTGATGAAGATGTCGGGAAGATCGCCATGGCAGTGCCTGTTTTAGTCTGTATGTATATTAAAAAGTTTACCGGGCTATCAATTTTCATTACGTGCCATAGAATCTTAATGAAATTGCTCTCGTCTGGTTGTGCAGCGAAGGCTTTGGAATTATTTCTTCAAGATCTTTGCGACCGTACTTACGACATAACTGTGCAGAGAGGAGCAAAGACTGTTAATTCGCTGCACTTGTGAGTGAAAGTTTATTTACTTCATCGACTTGTTAATGGCGCCGGATATAAATCATGGTTTGAGAAGATGAATTTGTCAATTGAGACCATCTTAGGTCAAAAACTAGTTGATCTTGTATAGTATCAAATAATGCCTAAAAGTTGATCGAATATAAGGATTGATCCAAGTTGTTCTGTGTACGACAAGCCTGAAAATGAAAATATGCTTTAGCCGATAATTGCACTTCATGTTAATGTAAAATTCTCGACATTCTCTATGCAGAAAACATTGTGTGCATAGCTACAAATTGTTCGACTTTCTCAAAGAAGTTGTCAGCGAAGTCCCCGACTACAGTCATTCTGATTCAGCCGCCGACTTGAAAAGAAGGTGATCGATCTTCTGAGGTTTTTTGCCATTTAATAGTTTTTCACAAATTCACTCTACTCTCGATTTTCCAGGAAAGTCGCAGCCCACGAATCGAACGACAGCGACGAAGAGTCCAAAAGAAACAGCGTCGTAAGACTCACATCGCTAAATCTATAGCTTGTCTTTGTCATGACCTGTGATTCAACTCGACGATTATCTTTTTTCCTATCCCTTACAGCACGAAGCAGGTCCGGCGAGTAGCAGTGCGAGGGGGAGGGGAAGAGGCCGAGGAAGAGGGCGCGGCCGACCCAGCCGAGCAGCCGAAAGAGAATTCGCTCGTCTCGAAGCTGAATCCGCCGCTACCACCGTCGAGCCCGCAATCAAACCAGACCCCGACCCAGAAAGGACGTCGAATGACATCTCCGAGCCGCACCAACCTCCGAAAGATGACAAAGATAACAACGCCATCGGAGAACCCAAAACACCAAATCTCGATCTCAATTCTGGATCGGGCGAAACTTCAGCGAAAACAGCGCCAGCCCCGTCAGCTGACGCAAAAGTCGACGACCGCCCGAGCCTCTCTGAAATCGACGGGATGGCCATCGACCCCGTTCATTTGGCGCCGGTTCGATCGAGTTTAGATGAAATTGAGGAAAACTACGATGAAGAAGAAGAGTGATTCGACGGGCCATAGGTCGAGGTTTGCTTATAAACATGTTAGAATAGCCTTAAGCTTAAACTCCGCTACCGTTTGTGTTTGTTGTGCATTACGAGTAGTTGCCCGAGCCCGGGAACTCGTCGATTGTGTATGATTGTCGCAACATTGTGTGTTTTAGCCTCGGAAAATTTTTATTTCCACCCGGCCGTCTTATCGGATGTGCCCGGTGGAATTGTACAATATGATTGTTGTTGTCGTCGTATATGTCTGAGTAAATATGTTAAACTATAGAGTCGAGCATCGGGCAGAATTCAGCACTGTACTGATAATACGTCGTTTATTATTATCCAATTTTTTAGGAAAATCTCTAAAATTAGAATGAAAATTAAGCTAGTGAAATACTAATTTAGAAATCATTTTGGTCCTTACCTTATTTATGAAATTGAAATTTATTTTGTTGTTATCCAACGTAACAGAATTGAATTGATTGCTTTTATTTATTACAATAATGTTTTATATACTATATTTTGAAAAATAGTGGGTTCAAAATGTGTAACGCATGCCAGATTTGCAAATGAATTCAGTACTGCCGTTTCCCGCCAAACGAAAATATTGAAATCGAATCACCGTCGATCTCCGGCGTCCGTTTTGGAATGTGCAGGCGGAGGCAATGATTGCTCTTATCGGCGATAATTACTTCGAATCCTGATATGAAACCGTTTTGATACGTTTTTCTTTTTTTGGTTGAATTGCGGGAGGTTTTCTGTCCAATCGCCTCGATTGCGTAGCTATGTCAGTTGCCGGTGCGAACACTTCGTCGCCACTCTCGCTGTCGAAATCCGGCGCCACCACTTGCGGTTCTCTTCTCCGCGAACTCCAGGTCAATTTCGAAGAGTATATGATCTTATTTTTATTTTATTTTATTTTGTGAATGGATTTGTATGAATGGTTGCTGCGATTGAATTAGGTGTTTGCGAAGTAGGTTTTGCTGTCGTTTTCATTCGGTGAAATGCGGCCGTAATCCATTCGATGTTTGTATTTAAAGATTGGGTGAAAAGATTATCACCGTAGGCACAACCATTTTCACCTTTCTTATTGATATTTTCGAGTTCATATAAATGAAGATATGTGCTTTGATGGAAAAAGACCACCTTGATTATGGAAGTCTAATTTCTTCAATTGGATAGATATTCATTTTTGTTAGTAAATCTATTACAACAGGCAATCTGGGACGAGATTGGAGAGACTGATGTTGAAAGGGATAAGATGCTTCTTCAGTTGGAGCAGGAGTGCCTTGACATATATCGAAAGAAAGTGGAAAGAAGTAGACGGTACAAAGCTGAGTTGCACCAATCATTCTCAGAGTATGAAGCCGAAATCACTCATCTTACTTCGGCTCTTGGAGAGCGAGTTTCTGTGCCTCGGGTTTGCTCATCTTTACTCCTTTCGTTGTTATTGTATTGATTCTCATTGTCGTTACGAGAAATTTGTTGCTGCGCTTTTAAGTCGTTGTTTGCTATCCATCTTTTTCTTGCATTTGTTTCTGCAACTCAAAGACAGTGCTTTTCCTCTGTACATATTTAGCAGTATAGAATTTAACTCATTTGAAATTTATATCTGCATTTTGATGTCATTTTGTTGACTTCTTATTTATTCCTTTTGTATATCAGTATGACAGAGTGAAAGGAAATATCAAGCAGCAAATATCTGTAATAAGCCCTACCTTGGAGAGTCTGCGGCTAAAGAAACAGCAGAGAGTAAAGGAGATGTCTGATATTGAATTCCAGATTGCACGAATCCGATCAGAAATAGCAGGCAGTGATCACATTTTGGATCACAATGATATTCATGTGGATGAATCGGACCTAACAACCAAGAAGTTGGGGGAAATGAAATCGAACCTTCTGGAACTTCAGTCCGAAAGGGTATAATCATATCTATAGTATTTCTTTGACTCGTTTCGGCTCTCACCTTTTTGCCTAACAATTAACTTTTTCCTTTGCAGAATCTGCGACTGCAGAAGGTCAACGGACATATTAGTGCAATCTATGAGCTCTCAGCTGTCATGTCACTAGATTTTAAGAAGATAGTTAGTGAGATTCACCCGAGTTTTGTTGACAGTTGCTCTGGTCATTCAAAGAGTATAAGCAATGAAACACTAGCTAGATTAACTAGTGAAATGAATTCACTGAAGCAAGAGAAACAGCAGCGATTATTGAAGGTACTCTTGTTAATCTCCTTCATTATTAAATTTTATAACAAGGAATTTAATATGTGATGCAGTCTCATTAGCCTTAATGTTCTTGTTATCTTGTAGGCAACATTGCCAATGTTAGTTTTATGTATTTTACCAATTATGGCTTGATTATCTGTATTTTAATCTTGATAACTCAGACTGTCCTCTTTTTTTAATGTTTGAAGCTCAAACATAGCAGTTGCACAATCAACATCTGCGAAATGGAATCTGTAACTGCAGTTGGTTGTTGCCATTTTGAGTTTACTTGCTTACCATATTGCTGCCCTGCATAGGTGAAAGAGCTTGGGCAGATTCTTCAAGATCTTTGGACACTCTTGGATACGCCTGTTGACGAGCAACGAAGATTTCATCATGTCACACACTTCATTGCGTCTAATGCTGATTCAGTAATGAGCCCTGGATCTCTATCTATTGATGTCATTGAGCAGGTAGACCTTTCGGTAGCACTTAATGTTGCAAGTGATTGTGTTTTATATGTTAAGTGCCATGCTTTAATTTCTTCCCACTGCAATTTTGATATGTTGCAGACTGAAGCTGAAGTTGAGCGCTTGAATACTTTGAAAGCAAGTAAGATGAAGGAGCTTATATTTAAGAGACAGTCTGAACTTGAAGGGATATATAAAGGGGTTCATATGGAGGTTGATAGTGATAAAGCACAGCAGATTCTCTCATCGCTAGTAGAATCTGGTCTGGTTTGGTTCCTTTTATTTCATATGCATCTCTGCCAATGATAATTACTTGTTTGTCATCATCTTCCATAATCGATTTTGATGGAGCTAGGCTAACATTTCTATATACATCTGTGTATGCTACTTGCTACAGGATCGTTTTACGCTTTTTCATTATCTTGTGTTCTGTTGATACATTCTTTTATAATAATCTTAAACCGTGGTCTACTTTTTGGACACCTCATTCTTCTTTTCCTTTTATGCTCTAAGGCGAGTGAAATATTGTTGCTTTAGATGTTTCTCATGATTAAGTGATAAGAGAGATCCATGACATGCCAAGCAAATTTAAGCACATGGATTTGCAGCTAACTGAAAGTTTCCATTTCATTAATAACGTGGTAGATTAAGCGTAGCCATTTGGTGCAAATTTTTGTATCCGAGTCATCATTGAGTTTATGTCCAAGCTATATACATGGCAAGTATAATGTTCTCAAAACCAATGTAAGGATTGTGAAAGTCCCCCCTTGTTTTTGAGACTTCTTGTGTCACTTCATTCATGCTGCATGTATTTAGGCTAAGTGACCTTTCTAATAATATTGTATATACAAAGAGAGTAGGAGCTCAATTTGTATAATCTTGATTTTAATGAGGTGAAAGCCTTTCAAGAAGCTTAAAAATGGAATGGAACCACACTTGTATGTTAATCATTGTGATATTTTCTTGGTGGTGATTTAATCGGTTCGTTGTGCAACTGCAGGTAATATTGATCTTTCTGATCTGTTATTGAGCATGGATGATCAAATTACAAAGGCTAAAGAGCAGGCTCAAAGTAGAAAGGATATATTGGATAAGGTGGAGAAGTGGAGGCATGCATCCGAAGAAGAAAGCTGGCTTGAGGAGTATGAAAGAGTAATAATTTCTGTCTAGTACATTTCTTCATTCTTACTATCTGAAAAAACCTTTCGATTGCCTGTTTCGAACAGTTTGTTGCTTCTTAGTCGTTAGTTCTTTACATTTTTACTAGACATTGTAATGAATCATCCTATCACGGACACATCTTCTTTTGTTAGCGTTGAAACATTGGGACACTGATGGCATTGATGTGTTCGATCTTGGCCAATTACCTCTATAATTGTTTGATGATAGAAATTTATCCACTTGAATTGACTTGTGTTGATGATTTTGGTCTCTGCCAGGATGAAAACCGATACAGTGCTGGAAGAGGAGTGCACAAGAATTTAAAACGTGCAGAGAAAGCTCGGATTTTAGTCAGCAAAATACCATGTGAGCTTTTGATTCTTTGTTCTTAAATACTAAAATTTACTCAATTGTCTCTACTACATTGTTCTCTGAATTGATTTTGAAAATATGGTGTAGCTCTTGTCGAGAATCTAACCGCAAAAGTGAAGGCGTGGGAACATGACAAAGGAATGCCTTTTCTATACAATAAGGTAATGCAACTTTGTGTTTGCTTACGAAATTTCAGACTGCGATTTGATCTTGCTCTTACAAAATCTCACATCAAAATCTTTCGAATCCCAGGCTCCTTTGCTGCAGATGCTGGAGGAATTCACCATTTCCAGGCAAGAGAAAGAAGAAGAGAAGCGACGATCACGAGTATGCTCCATTGTTTTCTCCATTTCTGTGTGCTTTTAGACTCCAGTCTCCAGCTAATTAGCAGCTGCACAAATTCAAAAGATGATCAATGTAACACACTCAGCAATTCATATTTTTGTAGGAACAAAAGAAGCTACAAGATCAATTAGCTGCAGAACAAGAATCACTCTTTGGCTCAAGGCCAGCTTTCAAGAAACCACTGGGACACAGCCCATTTCCCAACTCAGTAGGAACTCCAAACAGTCGTCGTGTGGGAACACCATCTCGTCCTGCAATCTCTACTGGAAAAGACAGACGAGACAACAGTAAGTCGGGAGGCGTAATTCCCATTAACTATGTGGCTCTCCCCAAGGATGATAGAGTCAAGTAAGTAAACTGCAATGCTCACCATGCTCCCCTTCATGTTGGTGGTATATAGCTGGCGACTCCTGATGCCTAATTCCCTGATAATCGATTCTAACTCTACCTGATATTCTTTGTCATGAACCTTATATAGCACAAGTATATGCAAAGTGAGTCTACATACAATCGAATGGATGATTTCTTAGGCTTGAGACGATGCAACGATCATAGAATAAATATGAAACACAATCTGTCTGATACCATTTCTTCTTGTCCATATGTGTTTCGGTTTTCTTATACATTCATGCTCGATTGGTACGAAAATGACCAAAAATAGTTTAATGCGAATAGACTTTTTTTTTTTTTAGTACGCTTAGGAAAGAAATATGCCGGCGCATTATTGATTCGATTCTATGCAGCAATGTCATTGTTGCCTTCCTTTGTGACTTCTGGAAGTTGTTTCATTTCCTGCTTATAATGCTGCTCCTCTTTTAACTTTCCCCATAAGAACGAGTAAAGCCCGATGATGATTATAACTGCGCCGATCACCCTGTATCATCATGCATTGTGTTGTCTATATATGTTAGCATCGCGAAAATGGTTAAGATATGCAGGTGCATATACACAGATGGAAAGATACTCGAATCCACTCACCCTCCAAGATAGATCTTCTCAGCCAAGATGAAGGAGCCCATCACCACGGAGAAGATCATCATCATCGGGCTAAAAGCAGTAGTGAAAACAGGCCCTTTCGACTTCATCACCAGCCCTTGGACGTAGTAGGCGATCCCAGATGCCACGATTCCCTGCCGAGGAGGACACCATATATATATATATATATATATATATAAGAGCTGAATAATGTAAGTCTATCTACTATCTATACTCACAGAGTAGGCGGCAGTGAGAAGGTTGGCGTCGAAGCCGATATTCCAGGCGCCAAGATTGTGTTCGAAGACAAAAGTGACAGCAGTAGCCTCGAGTGTGCCGAGAAAACACACCCACGACGTGAGGGAGAGCTGGTGCTTGGCGTACGTCTTGAGTGCGATCTTCTGCAGAATGAAGAGTCCTGCCCACGCGACCTGCGCCGCGATGAGGTAAATGCAACCGATGAACCAGTCCTTTTCCGATGATTTAGGCGCAGCCGGGGCTTGCGCATCAGCGGCGGCGTGACGGTGCTTAGACCAGGGCAGCTCCACAAGAGGACCCTTGTATAAGGCCATCAGCATTGCTCCCCCCACAGTTATCAGTGTCCCCATCACTTTGGCTAGGCTCATCACCTTCTTAAAGTCCACTTTCTCCATCCTTAAACCAAACCAATTTGTTGGTTTGTGTTAGATTCACATTATATATATGTATATATATATATGGAGAGAGAGAGACCTGAAAACAGCGGCCATGACAAAAGTGACAGCAGGCAGGATGTTGATCATGGCACAGGTGAAGGTTGGTGAAGTGAGCTTCAGCCCCATGTACAAGAAGTTGAGATCAAGAACAGGCCTACATCCAAAACACCAACATCAGAGACAAAGAGATAGAGATGGAGGAGGAGAAGAGTTGGAAATGAAAAGAACCCGAGAAGGCCGAGGAGGAAGATCTGAAGGAAGACGCGGCAAGTGATCTTGGGCTGGCCGGCCCTCTCGAAGAGGAGGGCGAAGGGGGCAATGGCAGCGGTGGCAAAGGCGTGGCGATAGACGACGAGGACGTAGTGGCTCATGCCGCCATTGAGGGAGATCTTGGTGATGATGTTCATGCCAGCATAGCCCAGCTGCAAAGCCACCATTGCCAGGTATGGTGCCATCTTCCTCACTAGGCCCATTCCTCTTCCTCCTCCTACTACTTTCTCACTCATCTTGATTGATTAACGAATTAGTTAGTTAGTTAGTTGTACAAGATTTAGAGTGAGAATGAGAATGAGAATGAGAGGTGAGGTGAGGTGAGGTAGGGATGTCTGCTGTGTGTTTGGTCTATAGATACATACATATTTATATAGGCAGATACTTGCTGTGCCTTCACTTGTTTCACACTACGTATACCTCCTGCATGCCAGTTAAAGGTAGCTTTTGACATATTATATACATATCTATCTATATATATTTTTGTATGTTATTTTCTTATTGCTATTTTTGTCTCATCTTGTAATATTTCTTTTTTGGATTTTTACTATATATTTTTATTATTTAGAGTTTTTTTTTTTTTTAAAAGTATCAAATCAAATTTTTATTTTACTATTCAAATTCAACTTTTTATTATTTAATAACTCAAACTCAAAACTCCAAACCCACAAACAAACACACCCTTAGTGTTTATTCATACACGATTCTCAAAAAAAAAAAAATAATCTCTCCGTCCACAAAAATATGCTTATATGAGTTTTTTTTGCAAATTTTAATGAATATTGTATTATATTAGTTGATTGTAATAGAATTATTTTGAATAATATATGAGTGAATTAATAAGATGGACTTTTTTTTTTTGATAATATGAATATATGAATTGTGAGATCTTTATAAATAAGTGTAATATTAAATTATATGAATTGAGAAATGTGAGTTTTTTTTTAAATGTTAAATATAAAAATTATATAAGTAATATAAAAAATAATATTTTATATTGAATTATTGATTTTTTAAAGTAATTAAGATATATATATTTATATATTGTGAAATATGTGTATATAGTTTATTTTTTTATAATATTTATAGAAAATTGTGTATAAAAAATATAAAGTGAACAAATTCACTTGTTTTTTTTGTATGTTTTGCTTCTTTTTTTTTAACTTAATTTGTCATTATTTGTTTTATGATAAACAAATAACACCGTACAAATATCTATTTTTATTTACAATAATGTATTTATAGCTTAATTTTTTTATTATTAATTTTGAATAAATAGCGTTTAAAAATACAAACAAGACAACACCTTGTAAATTTTGTATTGTATAGATGGTACTATATTATTAATTTTGTTGTAGTTTCTTTTTTACCGTTATACTTTTACGGATTGTGGGACTAATTGAGATCAACATTCTTGGACATTCGAATACGTGAGATCAAATTGTGACGATAAAAAAAAAAAAAACAAATAAGTGATAATTGATCGTGTGAGTTAAAAAGAACAATTTGATCTGACTTTTTTGTTTGTCGGATATGATGTAATGCTAAATTACTTTATATCCATTTCCGCGGAATGAAACTTTTCGATCGTTTGTTAGTTAATATATTCATATACATTGTAAAATTTTAGAATCAATTTTAGAATCAAAATACTTGCAAAAATTGTTTGTTGTGTTTTATGTTTTTTAATTGAAATTTTTGAATAAAAAAATATATATATATTGAAAGTGATATTTTTAAATAAAAATATACATTAATATAGTATTTTAAATATAAATTTGAGTTTGATTGTAATATTTTGAATATAGTGTAAAAACATGAACAAACATACCCATTCTATTAAAGGTAACAATGTTATTTAAATAATTCTCATTAATTTATATCTTTTTATATTTATTAGTGTGGTATTATTATTTATTTAATACGTATATAATAAACACACGCACACATATAATATTAAAATATGCATATTGTGAAAATAAAAATATGTCTATTTATCACACTATACATGTATTAATTTAATATTATTCTGAAAATATGTAGATATATATATATATATTCACATAATTATATATATATACAAAAAATAAAAGTCATGAAATAGTTTAGTAAAGTATCAACATATTATAATATGTCAAATATAAGAGATTATAATATAAAATATTGGGTTATAATAAATAAATAAAATATTTGTTATAATAAATAAATAAGAGATTATTTTTTAATTATAAGAATATGTCATGTACATATCTGTATTATATTAATATAATTTATGTACGATCCGTTTATGTGTACATATACGTATTTATATATATATATATATAAAATTTATTGAAAGACACACAAAATATTACAATCATTTATAATAATTACAAATAAAGAAATAATATTCATAAGAAGTAAAATAAAATTCAGAGATCTCAAAAAGTTAGAGATATGTATATATATGTTATATGGTTAACATAATACGTGTTAACAATTTAAATTTTATACATAAATAGATAAATAAAAGACACAATAAATTGAACATATTGCTTGTACGGAATCTTTTTGTTAGAATTGCACTTAATTGTGTTCACGCATTAATAATTTTGTTATGAAGAGGAATTGACCTATTTAAATTCTAAAAATAATTTTTTATTATTATTATTTTTATTATTTACAATGTTGTTAGGAGCTTAAATGATTATTTTCACATTTAAAAATTATATTTATTGGTAACATTATACTGAGTTCGATCTAATATTTTTGTTTATTTTTACTTTCAGCAATGCGCGGATGATATATAATTTTGGCCGACAGTGCTGAATAGAATACGATGTTACAGTATATTATTTATATTAATATACTTAATACAAATACAATGCAAGAATTAAAAATACCGTGACATATATATATATATATTTTTATAGAATACATGTTTTAAATTTAACGGACGCATACTCTTATTTTACGGAATACAATCATTTTGGTTATTAGTTTTTAAATCAAATCCTATTCCATTCGACGTAATAAATAATTATTCTTTTATTCGTGTTTTCTTTTTTATTTTTCTCTTACTATTTGACCTTCATATTATTTTTATAAAAATGTATTATTCTCTCTAATAAAAATATCATATTAAATTATTATTTACATAAAAAAATAAATAAATACAAAAAGACATAGCCCAAAGTTAGTTCGAACATTGTAGCAACATATATACTTGGGCTTATATGAATTAGTGATAGTGGGCTATATTGGACTATTTATATAATTTTATATTATATCATAGTTAAATTTCTACCCATTTAATGAATTTTATATTTATAATTCAGTGGACTTTTTATTTTTATTTTTATTTTTTATTTATAATTTTCAATTATAGAAATTTCACTATTCAATATAAAATTTATTATTTTTCTCACAAAATATTATCTTCAAATCAAAACAAAATCAAACTTTAGAGGAATATATCATTCAACATAAATTCAAAATATCCAAAATAAATAAATAAATTGAAGCACAATAATTCCATGTATATATATATATATATATGGATAGTAATTAGCACAAACAGAAATGTACAGCCTTCATTAGGTTGATATTCATCAACACATAACCATACCTCACATTAGATATATATATATATATATATAATCAGCCCATTCCAAAATTCAATTAATTAGATACATATTTAAAAAAAAAATTAATTAAAAGGGCATTTTTCATTTCAAAATCCCAACAAGATATGACATGATATATTAGTTCTTGATCACTTGGTGGTTGTGTTCTTGATCAATGGCTATGGAGGAGCATTTTTCACCATTGTTATTCCCATCTTTAATGGCTTCTGGAATTTGATCATCATTTTCCATCTCTTCACTCATCATATGTTCTTTCTCTTCTTTATACTTTCCCCATAACACCGAATAAAGCCCGACGACGATTATCCCGGAGCCGATCACCCTAAAAAAAATTCGCTCATTAGGGTCATAATCTATATAATCGATCGATATTGTTGATGATAGAAGAATTCGAGTTCGAATTTTTCTTTTTTTTTTTTTGGCATACATACCCTCCAAGATAGATTCTTTCAGCCAAAATGAACGAGCCCATCACGGCGACAATGATCATCATCAACGGGCTAAAAGCCGTCGCGAAGACCGGCCCTTTTGTCTTCATCACTAGGCCTTGTACATAGTAGGACAAGCTAGACGTCACAATTCCCTAAATCATACAATCCAAAAATAAAAATAAAAAATGTTAACATAAAATCAGCACCGCGTTACCTAAAAATTTAAGCTGTCATAAATAGATGATCTGAAATTCCGAATGACTGTCTTATTTAAAAACTTTTAAATAAAGCAGTCATTCAGATCATCTAACAATGGTAATAATTCAACGACAAAAAAAAAAAATCTCACCGCATAGGCCGCGGCCAAGAGGTTCATGTCCCACCCGATCTTCCAAGCCGAAGCGCTATGCTCAACGGCAAAAGTGACGGCGACGGCTTGGAGGGTGCCCATGAAGCATACCCAAGATGTAAGAGAGAGTTGATGTTTCGCGTACGTCTTAAGCGCCGCCTTTTGGAGTATAAAAAGCGACGCCCATGCCAGCGTCGCTATGATCAAATAAACGCACCCGACGAACCAATCGCGGTCGCTCGTCTCTTTAGCGGGCCCGGAGGTGGCGGCCCCGCCGCCGGAATGGGCTTTCCGGTGCTTGGACCAAACCATTTCGACAAGAGGGCCTTTGTACAAAGTCATGAGCATTGCACCAGCCACAGTTATGACTGTGCCTATCACTTTTGCTTGGTAAATCACTTTCTTGATGTCCACTTTCTCCATCCTAATTATTTAAATAAATTATTGATTTTGTCAAAATCGATTTATACAATTTAATTGATTTATATATATATATATATATGTACCTGAATATAATGGCCATGACAAAAGTTAGGGCAGGTAACATATTGCTCATTGCACATGAAAATGTTGGGGAAGTAAGCTTCAGTCCAGCATAGTAAAAGTTTTGATCGATCACAGGCCTTCATGTCCCAAAAAAAAAAAAAAAAAAATTAGTTATTATTATTTATACATAAATAAATAAATGAATCTAGTTATATATATATTATATAGAATGATTTTTCATTAGCCTTTGTTTTGAAGAGTTTGCAACCAAACAGGATGTATTTCTTTTGGTGATTTTCTTTTTTAGATTTTTGTCTGTAGGTTTCAATTTTTCTTTTTTAATGAGTTCGCTAAATTTATCTCATTAATAAATTACCATTTAATTGTTATCTTCAATTCAAGACTTATTTACAATAAATATTATTCATTTTATAATATTTTTTTTATTTACTTTAATTTCTAATTAAAATTTCAAAAATATCTCCAACTATCTATCACATTTTTTTATAAAATATATATATATATATTTTAATCTCGAGGCCGAACCCAAGTGGATTAATTTTAATTGAAGAAGGGAATATTTATTTTTATAAAATATAGACTAATTTTAATGGACGAAAAAAGTATTTATTTTCTTAAAAAATATGGCCTCAAATCACTGTATTATCAAAAACAAAAATTTAAAAGACTCATGAAAACCCCCAAAAGTAACACACCCGAGAAGATCGAAAAAGGGCGAAACTTATTACCCGAGAAGGCCGAGGACGAAGATTTGAATGAACACCCGGAATGTAATTTTCGGCTGCGCTTTCCTAAACATCAATCGACAAAAGAATAAGTAAAAAAAAAAGAATAAAACTAAAAATGTCAGTAATACATGGTAAGCTTGCATTGCTCGTAGTATTAGAAAATGTATATATATATATATAAACCTTTCGAAGAAGAAGGCGAAAGGGGCGATGACGGCGGTGGCAATGGCGTGGCGATAAACGACGAGCACGTAATGGCTCATCCCGCCGTTAAGGGAGATCTTTGTTATGATGTTCATTCCGGCGTAGCCGAATTGGAGGGCGGTCATCGCGATATACGGCTTGCTACTTTTGAAGAAGCTCGAGCAATCCATTGCCGGCGGCGACATTGTTGATTTTCCAGTCACCGGAGTCGCTCTCTTTCTCTCTCTATATGTATATATTTTCTCTCTCTATATGTATGTATGTGTGTGTTTTATGTGAGAGTGAGTGAGAAAATGGATGAATCACGAATGAATTGTGATTCTTCCTTAAAAAAAATGTGTGTGAAGATGGGACATATTTATAGAGGTGTTACGTCAATGAAGCATTTTTGGTGTGTTTGCTTGGAGTTTTTTGGAATTATTTACTTTTTACTTTTTTTTTTTTATTATGTCTGTGTGACTTAGTTGTTTGAATATGATGTTTTGTGTGAGGGATATTTAAATGATAAAAAATGATACAATAAATATTGTCTCGGTTTCATTTGAGTTTTTAAAATAAATAAATTTAGATGACAAAAAAAAAATACAGTAGAAATAAATTTCGATGAGAGTGAGAGTGAGAATACTTGTTATATATATATACCAAAAGAATCAGTAAAATTTAGTGGAAAAAAGACTCCAATTATAATATAACTTTATTTTGGCAATTATTTCAAAAATTTTCTACTATTAGAATTTTATAATTTTAATATATTATATTCTAAAATATTTATTTATTCAAATAAGTATGAATTTTATTGTACGGTCAAATTTATAATTATTTATATTAATACTCTTATTATAGTAACTTAAAATACAATGATAAAATAGTTTTTCTATATTACAATTTACAAGATATTACTAAAATATAATATTTATTAAATTTTGCATCAAAAAGTAAATAAGTATGAGTATTTTAACAAACGGATGAATTATAAAAAATATTGTTAAATTTGATATATTTAAAAAAATAATTGAAATAATATATATATATAATATTCTATATTTTTTATGAAAAGTTTTCTCAATACATTCTTGAAGAATAACAACTACAATATTCTATGTTATTAAAAAAAATAGATATTCCATATTCATATTCATTATTATTATGTTTATTTAATATATATATATATATGGAGGGGTGGTGTGGATGGCCCTAATAAATTATTATTATTATTATTATTATTATTATTATTATTATTTTAAATGTGTATAGCTATTGGAATAATATCAAATGATTGTGTTATCCATCTTCACGTAATTATCATATTGATTATGGATCTTTTTTTATTTATTATTATTATTTTATTTATTAAAGAATGTAAAATTAAAATAAATTAAATAAAAGGACATTTGGATGGAATACACGTCCAAAACCAAATGGAACAAATTAGGCATCTGAGTCATGAAAACAAATGTTATTGCATGCCCTCGTAAGCTTTCACATTCTATCAAATATTACCACAAATTTTAAATAATATATCTCTAAATATGACATAATAATAATAACATATATTTTATATATATAACAAAACAATTATTTAATTCTAGATTACCATGCTAGGATCAATTAAATTAGTGCTGTTTTTCTAATCAAAGTATAGGCTCATTAAATAGTGAGTAATAATAATAATAATAATAACAATAATAATAATAATAATAATAATAATAATATATTTTTCTCTTTTTTTTTTTTTTTTTTTTTATCATTTTGAAATATGCATAAAATTAATCCTATATTTGATATGTAATTGTTGAAAATGTTATATGTATTGATATGGAATAGCTATATAACAATTTTTATCACCAAATGATAATGTGGATTTAATTTAATATATTTATTAATATATATATGTATTTGTATATTTCTTTGAAAAATTAAATTCATATCCATATTTTATATTATAAATTGTTATGAGACTAGTCAATATTATGACAGTAATATAACGTCTAACATATATTTTGATATCAAATGATATTTTCGACAATTATGAATTAGATATAAAAATATTTTTATATAGACTATATTGAAACGATCAAAATGACAAATGTACGCATTTATTAAGTCGTTATTCTTGTGTATATTATAGTATATATTCCGTAATATGTAATATTTTGTATAATATGATATGAAATATTGGTTATTACATGATTATGACTAAAATATTTTGAACATAGTTAATATATTTTTTTTTTTATATATATATAAGAAATATAGAGCGTTTGTTTGAAGACTAGACTGAATTTTGTAGTATTTATAATATTTTTTCTCCTCGAAACTATTAAATGAAACTTATAAAATATAGCTTATAATATTATATCAATATTTATTTTTTTATTCAGAACTTTAGGTTTATAGTTTGCCCAATCATTTTTTTTTATGTGACACAAATTTAATATATATATATATATAATATAATTCTATCATCTCACGAGAAATCAATATTCAATGTAAAATATTATTTTTATATTATTAACACGATTTTTTATACTTTATATTAAAAAAATACATCAAACACATCAAACAAACCACCCATTTATATCAAACACCAATTCATATTATGTTAGAATTTTATTTCAACTTAATATTTTACTATTCTTTCGAATTATCAATATATGCATATATTGTATGCTTATATTGATCAATTTTTTTGGAAAATTAATTTAAAATGAGTGAGATTATTTATTCAAATAAAGAAAATAGTCGATTATATTGTACACTTATTCTATAAATTAAAATAAAACTTAGTCATTTTAGTATAAGTTTATGGTTTTTTTTTTAGTTCAAAGGGTCGATTAAATGTGATATATTGTAAAAAAATGATACCATTTCAATGAAAAATATTAAAAATTGCATAAAAAAAGTATAAGTAAACATAAAATTGTTTACGATATAAATAAAGTATTATGAAGCTTTATCGATTCACCGACTCCTTCCTCAAATAAAGTTTGTAATGCATTCGTGTGCTTTTTTTTTTTTAAATAAAATTATCAATTGCTTGATCATTAGTTTATGAATAAATTATAAATTAAATGAATGATTGGTAATTAATTAATTTAATTTAATTAGATTAAGGATTATGTCAATGTCTGGTGACTGGCAAACCACTGTGAACTTAGTTGCACATTTTGTACTCAACTTTTGAGAACCATATATCATTACTTTAAAAATATAAAATAATAAAAAATTTAATTATTTATTTTGACATACACATGTAAGATCCATAATGTCTTATCAAAATAAAAAATACATAAGTATATATATTAGTTAATAAATGAACCAATTTAATTTGAGATTAGTATTAAAATGGTCTATTATTTAATTTATTTGAAAAATAATAATCTCAATACAATGGATTGAGAAAATGTTGGTAAGATACGAATCGATGTCATATCGCATAAACTCGGTTGCCTTTTACAGGACAACGTAAAATAACTTCTACGAATTTGGTTTTAATACTCAACTTCATATTTTTCTCATTTAAATTAGACAAAGTTTGATTAAAAAAGAAAAGATTGATATTTTTTTTTTATTGGTAATATACATTGATGAATAATATAATTATGGAATACATTTTGTTAATGTTATTATTTAATAATTTCATCATATGATATATATAATTTTAGACATGATTACTCAATAATTCAATACGTAGAAAAGTTCTAAGTAAAGAATAATGCATTTTGGACACGAAAACAAGAATGGAATCCACCGCGACAACAATGACGACGACGATTCTTAGTCTCCACATAACATTTGTATTTTGTTAATTATTTTTTCACCGTTCAATCTTTAAAAAAAAATAATAATAATACCACATATAACACAAAGCATCATATTCGATTATTATTATTTTACAAGTGCGTTGTATGTACCGGTGAAATTATGTATTTTGAATTAATTTGTCCCATCTTTTAGGTTTTTTTGGTTTTTCAATGTTAAAAATAATATATATATATATATATTTGTGATTTTGTTTTATACTTTTATTTTTTTTAGTAAAAAATATTAAATTTTATGTAATTTTTTTGTTGAATTTTTATCTTTTTTTTAAAAAAAAAATTCTTTATCCAGCTGCGCTGAAAAAAATCAAAAAATATAACATTGAATCGATAAAAATAAAATGATATTTTGCCCCTTGAAATTTTAGGGCTGGTCTGTTATTTTACCAATAGTTAAATTAATACTATAAATTCTAAATTCTTTTAGCAGTAGTTTGAAAAAAAATATAAAAAAAATTTAAAAAATATATATAATATTAATACCAATAGTTAAATAATCAATACTATAAATTAGAGTATATCATAGAGAGAGAGGGAAGAAGAAAAAAAAAAAAAAAAAAAAAAAAAGTTGAGAGAGAAAGTGTGTGTATGAATAAGGTAAGTGGAGGATGCACCAAGGCTCTAATGTGCAAATCTAATCATCATCCTTCATTACATTCTCAACATTTATCCATATATATATATATAGAAATGTATCTACATGTACTATATAAAACTAAAGCATAAATGTAGTTTGTGTATATATATCGTGTCGATTTTCTATCGACTAATTTAGGATGTGTTTAAATATATTTTGAAAGTATTTTAAGAATAGAAAACAAATGAGTAAAAATAAAAATTTGATGTGATGTTTTATATATATATAAATAAATTTTTAATGTAATTTATTTTAATTGAAAGATAAATATTTAATATAATTTTTTTAAAATATGTTATTTAATAAATAGTAACAAAAAATAATTTGAAAACATACTATAAAAAGTGAATCTTACATGTAACATGCATGATTCTGCCTCATTTCCTCACACAATCACACACATATATATATATATATATATATATATATAGAGAGAGAGAGAGAGAGAGAGAGTCGAATTGCATAACCATCGTAGGTATATTCCTATAGATCTTTTATAAAAGTAAGTTTAATTTTATTTTCGCATTATTTATTTATTCATTCGTCTCACTTATCATATTCATATTGCCGTCCTATATTTCATGCCACTTTTTTTCTTTAAAATAATTACACACATTAATCTCATTTTAAATTTATAATTATTTATATTATAAAATAATTATTTTTTAAATTTTTGTGTCTACGGTAACCCGGACATGCAACGTGAGATGAAGAGAGTAATTTTTATATTTATTATGTAATATCATATATTTATTTTTTGTAAATTGCATGTATATATATATATATACAAACACACGAGCAATCACGAAATTCCTTTTCTTCTGTGTATCTCAAATTAAAGTAATAAATAAATAAGTGAAGAAA